CTGGTTGGAGGTAATGCACGGAACAGCAAGCAATCCGTCCTGATTTCCCTCACTGTGACTGGAGATGTAAGAGGAAACAAACCCTTTCCTTCCCTTAGTGGCCTTTGCTCAGAGTGTTTTATCACAGCAACAGACTGAAACTAGAACAAGCTTTGTCCCCAGCCCAACTGTCATCTGCTTTCTGCCTCTGTGAATATCAGCACTCCAGGGAGCCCCCTATCCATGGAGCCATCTGTGTGCCCTGTCCAGTCCTGTTGAGTCCGTCATTTAGCATAGTATCTTCCAGGTTCATGGTTGTGTTGTACCACACACCAGAAACTCCTCTGCTTCGGGGTGAATAGTCCATTGTACACTCTACTACATTTTGTTCATCCCTCATCCATCGAGGACACCTGGGCTGTAGTGCTGGGACTTGGACTCCACCTCAGCACATGCCAGCCAAGTGCTTCTGTCTTAGCTACATTCCCAACTCACGGCATGTGATTATTGTTGGCACAAACACATGTTCAAGGTCCCACTTTGGGGGCTGAAGAGATGGCTCAGGGGTTAAGAGCCCTGGCTGCTTTTCCAGAGGATCTGAGTTCAGTTCTTAGCACCTACAGGGCAGGCCACAACCGTCTCTAACTTCCGTTTCAGGGAACCCAATGCCCTCTTTTGGCTCTTGAGGGTACTGCATACATGTGGTGCACATCCACACACACACAGGCAAAACACTCATACATGTAATAGAAAAATAAACAAAATCTTCTATTTTTTAATGATTTATTTATTTGTATTTTATGTACATTGGTGTTTTACCTGCAGGTATATCTGTGTCAGGGCATCAGATCCTCTGGAACTGGAGTTACAGTTGTGAGCTGCCATGTGTGTGCTGAGAATTAAACCCAGGTCCTCTGGAAGAGCAGTCAGTGCTCTTAACCACTGAGCCATCTCTCCAGTCCCAACAGAATCTTTAAAAAATTATCCTGGTTTTGCACTCGGGAGGCAGAGGCAGGTGGATCTCTGTGAGTTCGAGGCCAGCCAGGACTACAGAGTGAGTTCCAGCACAGGCAAGGCTACACAGAGAAACCCTGTCTCAAAAAAAAAAAAAAAAAAAAAAAAAGATCCATTTTCAACTTTTCCTGTATAAACCCAGAAATGGAATTCTAGGATCATATGGTCAATTCCATTTTTGTGGTGGGGAGAGACAGGGTCTCTGTATGTACAGCCTGGCCTTGAACTCTGTGTAGCCCAGATTAGTCTCAAACTCAATGTTTTGTGGCAGAAAGGAGAAGCATAACTAACACACTCACAAGCCTTTGCTCAAGAGACAAGTCTTTGTCCTAGCAACCATTAAAGCATGCTAGGAAGCCTCAGTAATTTAGACAGTATGTTACCATGTATGACAGGACACAGGTCAGAGTCCCCAAGATACAGAAACTTAGAATAATATGCACATGGCATTCAGTTCTTTAGGGAAGAACTTTGTTAGGATATCCTGGTGGCCATCTTACAAGGACTATATTCCTTTCTACATCTTGCATTGGACATCAAGATAAAATGCATGACTCTCACAGAGCTTTTAAATAATGAGTCAAAATTCAGAAACCATGAGACACTAATTATGCACATAAACTACATACATAAACAACTATATAGAGAGAATTCAATTATATACATAAAACAAGGAAAAAGAGACTCTGAGTTGTTGTTTCAAGCTAGGGTGTAATTGTAACCCAGGCTGGCCTGGAACTCACTATGTGGCCCAGAGTGGCCTCAAACATCGCGCCCCCCCCCCCCTCTGCCTCAGCCTCCTTAATGCTGGGATACAGGTTGGAGGAAACATATTTTGCAACAGCAACAAAACAGAAAAATACCTGAGTGTATTAGTCAGGGTTTTCTAGAGGAACAGAACTGGTAGAATGAAAATTTCTTTCTTTCTCTCTCGTCCCTCTCCCTCCCCCTCTCTCTCTATACACACACACACACACACACACACACACACACACACACGATGGACTTGCCAGCGAGAGCAAGAGCAAGCAGGCAAAGAGAGCAAGCTTCCTTCTTCCACGACCTTTATGTAGGCTGCCAGATTAAAGGTGGATCTTAGAAGACCCTGGTTAGAAGTGGGTCTTCCCTCTTTAAGTGATTTAATTAAGAAAAAAAGTCTCTCACAGGTATACCCAGACGCTTGGGTTTTAGTTATTTCCAGGTGTACTCAAGTTGACAACAAAGAATAGCCATCACATTGAGCAAATCAAAAATAAATAACAAACTAGGGGGAAATACTTGTGGTTCATACTACAAGGACAGGGGTTAATCAATTCAAAGAGCATTTTCAGTCACAAGAGACCAAGAACTGAAAGATGGGCAGATGGCGTGTATCACATGTCTTTCTGTGACTTGTCCATGCTCTGCTCATCTTCCAGTTCTTGGTCTGTGCAGTGCCCTCAGAGGCCAGAAGAGGGTGTTGGATCCTCTGGAATTGGAGTTGCATATGGTTGTGAACTGGTGTGGGTGCTGGGAACCAAACCCAGGTCCTCTGCAAGAGCAATAAGTGCTCTTAAGCTCTGAGTTTTCTCTCCAGCCACCACACCATAAACTTGAACATTTTCATAGAATATATTTGGTAACTTTTTGGCAGTGTAATAAGACATGACTCCCCAGCTTCCTGGTGTCCTGGGCAGCAGGCATGGTTGGCACTGTAAGGTTGGAAGGTTAGCACAGGGGATAACAGCCCCGCTGTATTTCTGGTGCCTTTGGGTTATGATAGCCAAGCTCAGGAGAGTTAAACAAAGACTTTGCGGTTTTATTTGTTTCTAACTAGAAAGTAACCTGAGAGTGGAGGGTGTGGACATTTCTAGAGAGCCACACTGAGACAGTCAGGGAGAAGGCAGAGCGCTGTTCTCAGGGCCCTTCTGTCATGGAATATTATTTTAACTGTGTAAAGTTGTGTTAAGCAAGGGATCTTGCGTCTTATGTCATCTGTGTGCTGCGTGGCATAGCTCTGTAAGCCTACCTGTGCATGTGCATGGGAATCCTTAAAAAGACCTCCACTCTCCTCTCTGTGCCCCCCTCCACTCCCCCCCCATCTCTCTCTCTCTCTCTCTCTCTCTCTCTCTCTCTCTCTCTCTCCTCTCTGCTCGTGCTTCTTCCCCAGGCCTGGTTCTTTTGTCCCCCTCCCCAACAAAGCTCTGATACTGGGTTTTGTCGTGGCTAGTGACCTTTCTGCACAGTAACCAGCGCCATTTATCATTTTCAAAACAGCGAAGGTTCTTAATTGGGGGCTGAGCAGAAGGATGCCCTTTTTCGGGAGACAGGAGCAAGGAGAGGAAGGTAGCTACTTGCTATCCAGCCTCTTGAGTGAGCAGGATTTCACCTCAGTCTTTGAATCCTGAGTTCTATAGAAGGATAGCGATTTAGATCAGGTCTCCTTTAGTGGCTGTGACGGAGCCAGTGCCGGAGGGAACGGAATTCCTGCCTGGTTGTGGCCTGTGTGCTCAACCACTGCTGGCCGCTGCTGAGCTGCAGTCGATGGTTGGGACAGCATTTGCTTAAGGTGCAGCCACTGTATTGAATGCACAACAACAGGACTTGGCCTCCCATCACCCACACCAGCGGCCTTCACAGAACAGCCTGCTCTAGGAACATCCTGACTTTCTGACAATGAGAAAGAAGATTCTGTCTCTTGGCTTGCACTTTCTGTGTATTTATCAGCTGACCTTCTGCTTGCTATGCTTTGAGATTTTATAAACCAACAGTAGAGCTGGGCAGCAGTGGCGCACACCTTTAATCCCAGCACTCAGGAGGCAAAGGGAGGCGGATCTCTGTGAGTTCGAGGCCAGCCTGGTCTACAGAGTGAGTTCCAGGACAGCCAGGGCTACACAGAGAAACCGTGTCTTGAAAAACTAAAAAACAAAACAAAACCCAAAAAACCAACAGCAGAACTCTGGGGCTGATTGTGGGGCGTTTACCCACCACCCCCACAGTTCCCCAGAGTTTTCTTGAGTGCAATTAGCAGGAAATATTAGATAGAAGGATTTATTGCGGAGAATATCGCGGAGATAAACAGAAAATAAAGGATAGCCTCGAGAGGGCCTGGAACCTATTCCAACGGGCCCCGACTGTCTCTGGTCCAGGGTTTTTATAGACGCCAAGGGGTGGAGCAAAAGACCTCCTCCCCCAGCACAGCCAAGTGCAGGCCATCTCAGACACCTGCACTCAGGCCCGTGGTCCTGATTATCCTCTATGTGGACCTGCTGGGTAAAGCCACGAGGAACCCGAGAACGGGCTCCCACAGCTGATGTGCCAGATAATCTTTGTCTAAATAAAGCTCAATTTTATTCTACAGCAAAAATGATGATGATGATGATGATGTGATAAAGAATGGGACTTGGGAATTGTGATTTGACAGAAATGTCTCTACAGGTCCCGATATTTGAACACTTGGTCCCCAGTTGGGTGCTGTTTGGAGAGGTTCTGGAACCTTTAGGAGGTGAAGGCTTCCTGGAAGAAGGGTTTTATACCTTGCCCACTTGCGGTTTGCTTTCTCTGCTTCTTGATGTGAAGACTCAGCCCCCTGATCCTGCTGCCTCCCCACCATGATAGACTGTCACCCCCTGGAGCCCTAAGTCAAAATAAAATTTCTGGTATACGGTGCTTTTGGCCACAGTGTTTTGTCACAGTATTAGAAAGTAACTAATACAGGGGTATGGTTCAGAGGTAGAACATTCTGGGGCTAGCGAGATGGTGGGTAGGGGCACCTGCTGCCAATCCTGTCCACCTGAGCCTGATGCCAGGGACCCACATACATGGTGGAAGGAGAGAACTGGCCACCAGTTTCACATGTGGGGCTCACGTGGGTGCGTGTGCGCACACACTCACAATGTAAAAAACATTAATTCCTTGGTCACACTAGCCATGTTTAGAGTGCTCAGGAACCACGTGTGGATGGCTAGGCAGAACTGGCATGAAACATTCCACTAGATGGCTGCTGAAGTATTAGCCAGACACAGGACTCCACGGGTACTGCTGATTTTTAATTAAATACCACTTTATAATGTTATCTGCACACAGTACACAGAGTTTTGTGAACTAACACATGCTGTATTAGTTTTGATGTTAACAAAATATAAGCATCTAGAGACTATATTCTAGAGTGACTTCATTTACAAGGCGGCTCCAGTGTCAGTTAGGATTGGGTCACATTTGAAATTTGTGAGACTGCAGGGTTGGGAGGGCCTAGTCCTTTTCTGAAGGCCACCTGCATCCATTCCCATGGTGCCCTCCATCTGGCTGGGTCCACTGGAAAATCCCTCCTCCTCCTCCTCCTCCTCCTCCTCCTCCTCCTCCTCCTTCTTCGTGTTTTGAGACAGGGTTTCTCTATGTAGCTTTGGTGCCTTTCCTGGATCTCACTCTGTAGACCAGGCTGGCCTTGAACTCACAGAGATCCACCTGGCTCTGCCTCCTGAGTGCTGGGATTAAAGGTGTGCCACCACTGCCCGGCCCAGCATTCAGTTCACTGATTCCCCAACCCCGGTGCTGAAAGCGAGGGTGTCATCAGGCTGCAGTATGGGGTCAGGGCTCCCCTCTTCAAAGAACAAGAACACTTGTTCTCATGTCTAGTCATGACCCAGAACCCCAACCTGCGGACAGAACAGCGAGCCAGCTTCGGGGTGGGAGAGGAAGAGAAGAAATGAAACTTAGCCCACACTGGAAGAAATGAAGCTTGGCCCACACTGGATGACCGGGGTGCCTTGTGGCTGGCAGATAGGCAGCAGCAGCGTGGCATTTAATGTTACCAGGAGAGTTCAGATGGGAGTTGGACAAGGTAGTACACGGCCATAATCCCGGCACTCTGGAGGCTGAGGCAGGAGGATTGGGAGTTCAAGACCAGTCTGGGCTACATACTGAATGCCTGTCTTCAGGGTGAGCATGGGTAAGAAGGGGAGCGGCTGGTGGTGTCAGAGCCAGGAGTGAACACAGTCAGGGCTGCGGGTGGGAAGTGGGTAGCCCTGCTGTCCGCTGACAGTCCGGTGACCCCTGGGGGGCAAGCAGGGCGTCTAGGACAGGGTGGGAACTCTGGAGACAGGTCTCCCACTGCCCCACGGCCCCGCCCCATCTCCACTCAGGAGCTCAAAGGCCTTTCTGCTCAGCTCTCACGGTCCAGCTTGTAAGAGGGTGGCCACTGTCCCCAACCTAAAAGCCATCGAGCTGCCCAGGCCCAGGAAGCAGTTCCTGGGTGGCACTGCTCACCCCGCCTGCCTTCCTGCAGTTACAGTGCGTGTGTACCTCAGGCTGGCCAGGGCTAAACAGCCCAGAGAAGAGGGAGGGAAGGGGCAGAGGGAGGCTGGGCACACATACCATGCCCAAATGATGGGTGCCCACCTGGGTTTGCCACACTTCCCCTCCCCGCTCACTTCTTTGCGTACACTGCTAGGCACTGACAGGCACTATCAGAACAGAAGCAAAACCTGATTTTAACTCTCTAATCTTAGCTCTTTCTGCCACCACCTAGGAATGCATGAAAATCACCTCCAATTCTGAACACCCTTTGAGTTCAAGGGCCAGCCTCCCCAGGGCCTCTGTGACTCTATGCTTCTCCGTGGCAGAGCCTGCCCCACTCAAGATTATGTGTCTCCCTCTGTAGGCCTGGAGAGCAGAACTATGCGGGCTAAAAAAGGGGCTAAAACCCCCTCAGGTGTTGCTGAGCTGAGCTGGAGAGTCCTCTCTCTGCTGCCATCCCAACCTCAGGCACGTAAGCCACAATACAGACATGGTCAAGATGGAATACGGAAGCGGCAGAGTGCTGGAGTCGGAGCACTGTTCGGGCGGAAGGGCTGTGACGAGGATGGCCTGTCAACATTGACCTATTAACACTGTCACCTTAGAGTGGGGTTCACTGGGTAGGGGCTGCCGCAGGTCCTAGGGGGCCATCTAGCTTGCCCACAGAAGCCAGAGAGGGCAAGAAATTGGAGGTTTGGACCTCTGGTAGGGTGTGTCGCCCCTCTGGATTTAGTGGCCCATGAGAAGGCTTCTGAGGGAGAATGCTCTCTGCTCTATGGGTTCTGGGACTCAAGACCTCCTGTGATGCCCACTAATAATGGGTCCCACTCCAGGTCCCCCGAACCAGGTCACTACAGGTGGCGTGAGGAACCCACATTTTAAACAAATCCCTATGGAATTCTGATGCCCACAAAAGCCTGCAAGCCTCTGCCTGCCACTCTCAAATGCGCTTATTGGTCCAGGGTCTGAGGTGGGGGTGGGGGAGCTAATCACAAAAGAGACAGGAAGAAAGCTGCAGACCGGTGTGTGAAAATACCTGCTCTGTCTGGACCAAGCTGGAGGCCAGAGACCCCGGTGGCCCAAAGATGGGAAACAGCAGATGAAGCTTAGCGGGTGGTCTAAAGGGAGAGGAAGGGGGGAGATAGATGTGGATCTGCAGGAGGGCTCTGGACTCTTCCCAGGAGCCAGGTGTGCCGGTCAGAGTGGCTTTGGCTGGAGGACACAATGAAATCATCTTCACAGGACTCGAACTGAGCCGGTTTTCAGAACAGGCCCAGCAGACCCTCCCCACCAGGTCTTCACAGAAGGAAGGCCGGTGTACACCACCACGGTGCAGATGACAGCTTGTTCCACTCAGGACTGGCCCTGCTGGGCCCGGCAAAAGGGACACCAATAAATACAGTCAGAGCTACGGACTCATGAGTGAGCCAGGTAGAGCTGAGGCGTGCGTGGCGGGTAGAGACCGACTTTGCTGGGTTTGCAAAGAGGGAGCAGACTGTCATGTTTCCGCTCTAAGGAATGTGTGGTAGCCTGCAATCACTACCAGAGGCTCACTGACCGTCCAAGGAGGTAAAACGGCTTCCACCCCCACTGGGCTAACCTGCCACACAGCTCACCTGGGAGACTCCCCAACTATTTGAAACTTCCAAGGTCAAGGTCATTGAACAGCTTCTCTGTCAGAGACGAGGGCCTCCCAAGATCATCTTGCAGAGTTCTCAGTTTAAAACTGGGATGCTTGAAAGGCAGGTTGGACAAAGGGTGGAACCGTGGGTGGCCTGTGGGCAGGGATACCCCCAAGGGAGGCAGATCATTCCTTCTTGGTGTGCTCCAGGACACGGTAGGGAACCCCAGGGGTGCTTCTGGAGCTATGCTCCTCCTGCATGACGGGCAGTGTGGCCGGGGTGTAGATCTCAGAAATGTTGTCATTGTTTTCCAAGGCCCCGTAGGAAAAAGAAGCTTTGAGGTCAGGCTGGACCGTTGTCCCTTTCGCATGCATGTCCTGCATCCCTGAAATGACATCCATGTCCCCGGTCATCACGGAGGAAGGGAGGCTACGTTTCCCCCTCTCCCACCACAGACCAACCAGAGCTCAGGGGCTGATCAAGTGCAGTGCTGATCCCCCAGATGCCTTAGAGTGAAGAGGAAGGACTCATGTTTACATGGGAGGAAGGAACGTATTTGCATCCCAAGCGGCAGGTGGACAGGACAGAACCCCGTGCCCCGGACGTAGTAGATGCCACTTTGCTGTTGAATGAACTCAGGGACCCAGGAAGCTTTCTTACTATTGAGGAAATAGGGCGACTTTTGCATCCTGGATACCCAGCAATGTGAGAGTAGCATTGTGATGACTGGAGGTAGTGTTTGACCTTTGACCTTAAGATTCCATATCTATATGCAGGGTGAGGTGTGATTTCCAATTCCATTTAGGGGAAACAAATACCCAGTTTTGTTCTTGTTATTGTGTTATTACTGTCCTTAGAGACGGGGTCTCACTTTATAACCCTGGCTGACCTGGAACTTTCTAAGCACATCAGGCTGGCCCTCAATCCACTGCCTCTGCCTCCTAAACGCTAGGGTGATAGGCAGGCACCTCCATGCCTGGCTTAAAGAACTTAAACTTCAATTCCTGTGACCTTCTTCTACAGTCCCTCCAGGGGATCACTGGGAGGCCAACTCTTTCCCTTACTCAATGCCTTGGCACTTGTGTCTCCCGAGAAAGGATGGTAGCAGCCGGCCTCTCACTGCCTGGCATTCCCTCCGCACTGGGCTAACACCGCACAGCCGGAGGCGGACATCAGGAGCATTGGTGGTGACTGAGGCGTGCTGGTATTGAGATGGCAACATGTGCTGTTTCAAATGTTCACCCAATTTTGTCTCATCTGACCCTTGAGGCCATGGAGAAGGAATACAGAGAGCTGGAAGCCACTTACCCGAGAGCCACAGCTGTTGAGAGGCAGCGGCAACGTTTAACACAAGGGTGTTTAAATCTAAAGCCTAGGTTCTTAACTGGAGTGGTATTCGGCCTCCCTACAGACTGAACTTAATCCCTAACCAACTCTAGGATAGAGATAAACTAGTACCCTCACTTCCTGGATAAAAAAACAAAACAAAACAAAACAAAAAACAGGTTCCAAGAGGCAGAGTAGCAGCATGCCCAAGGTCATACAGCTGAAGAGCAGCCGGGACCCAGCTCAGGAGCCTGCAGCTGTTGTAACGTCAGCTGAGGAGGGCCGCTAGCCTTCCGGGTGACACAGATGCAATTGAAGCCTGTTTCAGGGACCAGTTTAAGAGCCAATGGTCTGTGCTTGGGCAGCAGCTCCATCAGCAGAGTGCATGCCTCCTGCTTGCCTAGCATGCACAAAGCTTTGGATCCCAAGCACCACATAAAATTGGGCATGATGGCACACACCTGTAATCCTAGCATTTGGGAGGCAGAAGCAGGAAGTTTAGAAGTTCAAGGCAATCCTCTGTCATATAGAGAGTCCATGGCCAGCCTGGGCTGCAAAAGACTCTATCTTTAAAAAAAAAAAAAAAAAAAAAAAGTCTATGGTTTGGGGCTCATGGGTGCGGCAGGGCAGGTAAGGGTGTGTCTACTGCTCAGGGCAGTTAGTTTACCAAGCATTGTATAGCTTTGAATTTTGTCAACGCCTCCAGTCTTACCACCAGTCCTCAAGAGTGTGATGGGTGTGTGGATACGCACTGTAGAACATGGGATATTTAGGGGTATCTATTAGGAGTCTTAGGTTTGGGTTGGGGGGCCTGAGGAGAGTTCAGGATTTGATGCTGTTAGGAAATGGGCTAATTCTGTCCCTGAAGACCTTACAGATTCTCTTTTAGAAGACTGGATAGGCCTTAGGCTGTGGTATAAGTCAGCACTGACTGGCATTCAAGCCGGGCTAGGAACAGCACCTCTGCTTTCCGTGGTTTGGACAATGTTCATGCTGGGTCTGTATTCACACATCGTAACGGAGTGCTCTTGTCTATGTAGACACCCATCTGGATGAGCATGGCTCTACTGCTGATTGAGAAATGGTTTCTCTTGGGCCAAGGACAACAGAGCCAGTGGAGGCCCATTGAGCCTGATGGCCAGGGCTGCTGTTCTCTTTCCCCATCCAGGAAAGCCTCAACTGTGATGTATCCTGGAATCTGAAGTCACCAAACCAGACAGTCAAAGGCCAGACCACATGACCAGAGAAACCAAGGAACTGGAGAGGTGGTTCTATGGATGAGCAGGCCAGTCAAGTGCTGAAATACTGAACTCTGTGTGTGCGTGTGCGTGTGTGTGCGTGCGTGCGTGCGTGCGTGTGTGTGTGTGTGTGTGTGTGTGCACGTGTGTGTACAAATGTGCTCGTGGATGCATGTAGAAGCCGGAGGTTGATGCTGAGTGTCTTCCTTGACCACTCTCAGCTCTGGGTTTTTTTGAGTCAGGGTCTTTCCCTGACTCTTGAGCTCACTGATGAGTTACTCTGCCCCTGCCACCACTAGCACTTTCCACACCCGCTGCTGGGCCGGGCTTTCATGTGTGTGGGTGCTGGGGGTCTGTATGTGGGTCCTCATACCTGCAGAGCAAGGATTTCATGCACCGAGCCATCTACCCATCCCCAAAACTTCTAAGTTTTTCAAGAAAAATGGAAGCAAAGGCAAAGTTCATCAGGCATCTACTACATCCCAGGCACTGTGCCCAAAGCCTTGACACACATGCACCCCATAACCCAGAGATGAGGGGCCCTGTTTATGTGTGAGGATGAGAGGCCTCAACACGTCACGTGGGGGAAGGTGGCAGAGTTTGAATCTGAATCAGGCCACGTGAACACCATGCGTCCAGCAGGATTGTCTCAATTGTAGCTTCCAATCTTCAACGCCTCATTTCTTACTGGTCATGAGGCATAAGAGCCACACCCACAAACTGGTCATGGAATCCTGGTATCTAGGATCAGCTGATGTCACCCCCTACTTCCCATCAGAGAAAGACATCTGTATGTATGTACACAGGAACATGTGTATGGACAGACACACAGTTTATAAACACACAGACACACAGGGACATACACATACTCGCACACAGAGTTGACACCTCACCTATCTGGGATTCAGCTATCCAGCGCCCTCATCTATCCGGAACACAGCCGAGAAACAAGGAAGTAAGCAGAAGAGGCATCTGAGCAGCCAGGTTCGACGTTAACACAGTCCACGCACTTACAGCCCGAGCCCTGAACTGCCAGGAGAAACCTCAGGGCCCCACTCAGCCACTCTGCGTTTATCCACGCGTGGCTGAGTCGGGTCACATGGAAATGCTGTCATGGGGTTCTCTACTCCTACTCAGGCAGGCTGGCCACAGCAAGCAGGGCAGATGGCAGCTTAGTAGAGCAAGATAAAACAAACAAACAAGCCAGTAAGAAGCGGATGCAGCCGGGGCCGCTCGACACGGGAGCACATCAACCAGTCCTGAGAACACACTTGGGTCATGGCACGGAAACCTCAAAGCTCAGTGAGTCACGCTGCTATGCAGCCCAGGTTGGTCTCGAATTCATGATCTTTCTTGCCTTAGCCTCCCAAATGCTGGGATTGGAGGTGCATGCCACTACGAACATTGAAGAACTGCTCTCGACTAGGGAGTATTTTATGTGGCTGACACGTGTTCATGCCATGTCCACAGATTATGTGACTGGAGAATGGGTGATTATGCTGTGGAAAATGTAGAAGAAGATTCAGGCATGACCTGGCGGCTAGCCTACCTGGCATATTGCACCTCTAAATAAGAAGCATGCACACCGTGCTCCTAAAGTCAGAACACTGAATTCTGAAGTAGCCTGAGTAGCCAGTTACTGGCCTGGAGATGACTCTGCACTCCATTCCCCTGCCCCCTTTTTTATTTATTTATTTATTATGAATACAGTGTTCTGCCTGCAGGCCAGAAGAGGGCACCAGATCTCATTACATCTGGTTGCTGGGAATTGAACTCAGGACCTCTAAAGAGCAGCCAGTGCTCTTAACCTCTGAGCCATCTCCCCGGCCCTATATATCTTCTTTAATGTGCTTTTTCTGCATAGAGATCCTGATGGTGTGAATGCTCACTGTCCAATTCGAGGCAATGTGCTAAGCAATCATAGTTGGCTTCCACAGTATACGTGGTTGCTCACATGCAATAAAGCAGACGCGGTTCCCTGAACATGTCTCCAGAGTAGCTTATGGCCATGCCTTTACTAACTCACGGGTATTGCTGTCTTGTCGGGGGAACACCCCAGTAATGGCGACAGAGAGTCGCACCTTATATATTTCAAGTAAAGATTACTTTTGGGTTGGAGTGGTAATGTTAGTTGATATTAGTAGCCTGAAGAATTGATACCAGCCGAACTAACCGCTAATCCAGTGTTAACTGTCCCACTCAGTCTTCCTAACTCACCACAAGCCCCACTCTTCCCTAGCACCTTGTGTTTGGCTCACGGCTGAATGTTCTCGCCAAGGCTAAACACCATCTGAGCTGGTGTTCCCAGGGTGGGCCCTGGGAAAGCACCATGGTGCAGGATGGAGTTAGAGCGTTGGATTCACTCATGTTAGTTCTCTTCCTCTCTGTGACCACTCGGTCTCTGTTTGCCGGCTCAGGGCCTGGTACCGCTGATTGGAACCACACATGGTGTGAGTCAGGGTTTTCTTTCGAAGACCCCGTGACAGACTTGGAAACTGGTAAGGGGTTCTCAAGGCTGACCGAGGTGCCTCAGTCATCACCTCCTCATTAAAAGAGATACAAACCAACAAAACACAGCTAGAACTCACGCCACAGCACATCTGTCCCGCACCTCATTTCCAACACCAAGTAGCAGTCACTCTACAAGGGCAGCCAGCAGGGCACGGGGTGGGGGGGGGTTGGGGGGGTGGCGGGGTGGCGGAGGGGGCACTGTTACCTGGCATGGCGTCCATGGAAATATAGGGCTCGAACGGAATGGCCTTCTTCCTGTTTCGAGTGATTAAGAATACACCTAAGAAGGCGATGAGGCACCTGAAGACAGGAGACAGGAGAAGAGGAGGAATGAGACCAGGAGCAATGGCGAGGGGGAGGGGGACTCAAGGGCAAGCAGTTGAGGGCCAGCTAAAGAGGAGGCTGAGACCACGAGGCCTGCAACCAGCAAGGAACAGACACTGTGCATAATAACAGCTGGGGTGGGGATGGGGGGGGGCGGGGGAGGGGTACACACATCACAGTCCCCACAAACGGGGTTCAGAGTTGTTGATAAGTCTCCAGGGGAGCCCGGTGGTAGTGGCGGCACATGCCTTTAGTCCCAGCACTCCGGAGGCAGAGCCAGGTGGATCTCTGTGAGTTCGAGGCCAGACTGGGCTACAGAGTGAATTCAGGAAAGACGCAAAGCTACACAGAGAAACCCTGTCTCAAAAAAAAAAAAAAAACACAAAAAAAAAAAAAAAAAAAAAAGAGTCTCCAGGAGAAATGCCTGCAGCATGTGGCTCGTCTGCTTCCCTCCAGCTGGTGTTCTCAAAAGCATGCCTTTTAAAAAGCCCCATTATTTTTTAAACTAAAAACATTCATTTTATATTTTATTATTTTTCTATTATTTATTTATTTATTATGTGTACAGTATTCTGCCTGCATGTGTCCCTGCAGGCCAGAAGAGGGCACCAGATCTCATTACAGATGGTTGTGAGCCACCATGTGGTTGCTGGGAACTGGACTCAGGACCTCTGGAAGAGCAGTTGGTGCTTTTAACCACTGAGCCATCTCTCCAGCCCATTTTTATTATTTTTCATTTTTTTGGTTTTTCGAGACAGGATTTCTCTGTGTAGCCTTCACTGTCCTGGAACTCGCTCTGTAGATGAGGCTGGCCTCAAACCTTCCTGTCTCCGAGTGCTGGGATCAAAGCCACCACTGCCTGGCTTTAAACAAATTCTTTATGATTTGAATTCAGTCAGTATAAAAGTCTAGCAAAATGCAAATGAATAAATACTAGGAAGTCCCTGTGTCTCCTAATCCAACTCCCTCAGGGGCTGGATATTCTTCAAGCGCTCTCTCTCTCTCTCTCTCTCTCTCTCTCTCTCTCTCTCTCTCTCTGGCTGGCCTGGAACTTGTTATGTAGATCAGGCCGGCCTGAACTCACAGATTTACCTGCTTCTGCCCCACCCGTCACCCCCAGGGCAGGTGTGTGCCTCCACCTGACTCAGTTTTCCTTTTCTTTCAGTTTATGTAAACAAACAATTGCTCAAAATCAAGGTGCAATTTACAAGCAGTAATGTATAAATCTCAAGAAGGATGGATGGCTTGTTTCTATTAATGTGTGTGTGTGTGTGTTCACCTCCCAGGTCAAGATCAAAAGATTTCTATCCCTCTAAGTCAGTGGTTCTCAGCCTTCCTAATGCTGTGACCTTTTACTACACTTCCTCATGCTGTGGTGACCCCAACCATAAAATTACTTTGTTGCTACTTCATAACTGTAAATTTGCTACTATTATGACTCATAATATAAATATCTGGTATGCTAGAGATCTGATATGTGACCCTGTGAAAGCATCATTCAACCCCCATAGGGGTCACGACCCACAGGTTGAGAACCACTGCTCTAGAAAGTTCTATCTATGCAGCTGTGGGTGACCTTGAACTGGTCCTCCTGCCTCTATCTCCTAAGTGCTGGGATTAGAAGTGTGTGTCACAATGCCTGGTTTCATGCGGTGTGGGGATGCAACCCAGGGTTTGGAGCATGCCAGGCAGGAACTGTATCAAAAGAAGCCTCTCCCAGTTTCCTAGAAGGACCTCGTGTCTTCTCCTCTTCATGCCCCACCACGCCCAGAGTCTCTACTGCCCGACTTCTCTCCCCACGAGGTACATTTACCAGAAATGACAAGAAGAGAGAAGACTGCAGGCCTTTGGGGGAGCAAGCTGCTCACTTTGGGGGCCAGCACCCTCCAGCTAGCAGCTTTCCCAACTCCAGGAGCAGGGTTGAAGCAATGGGGTGGGGGCAAGGTCTGGCTAGATGGGGGGTGACTCACCCCAGTGCAAACAGGCAGATGTGTAGAGCTTCCTCCCCGAGGAAGTCCAGGTAGAAGATTGCACCTGCACAGTGGTGAGGGAGAGAAAAGATCACGACCGTTTCCAGACCTGCCCTGTGCCCACCCAGGGAGGTCTGGTTATCGGCTCTTCTGTGCAGGTACCAAAGTGACCAAAACCACTAGGACTGACAAGTTTGGAGGCAGACAGTCTTCTCTGATGGCCCTCTCAGGCTCTTTCTACCTCCATATTCAAACAGACTTTTGGGATGGTATTAAACCACTCCAAATAGCAAAGTTCTCGTAGATGCTTCCTCTAACAGCATCTTCTATCATTAACCACAGGTCACGATAAATTCCCTACCTCAGCTCCCCAAGTGCTGGGATTACAGGCTCCAGCCACCGTCCCTGGTTTGTTTGTTCATTTCTTCTTCTCCTCCTGATGCCCCGCCCCCTCCCCTCCCCCCTTTTTTGGACAGAGTCTCACGTAGGGCAGGCTGGCCTCAAACTCCTTATATGTAGCCAAGGATGACTTTGAACTTCTCCTTCTTCTACCTCCCAAGTGCTGGGATGACATATGCAGAGCCAGACCTGGTTAATGCAGCATGGAGGATGGAACCCAGGGTTCTGTGCACACTAGGCCAGCACTCGGCCAACGGAACCACATCCTAGCCCCCATGACCAAAACTGTTGAAGAAGCCCTGCCTAGAACCCAAAAGCAGGAGGAAGAGGGGATGTTTGGATTGTACATGTTGCAGTTCCAGAGAGGAAGTGTTATTAGGAAGGCAGAACTAAGGCTTAGAGAAGGTAAACTGATCATTCCCTGAGCCACACAGTCGGCATATGTCCATTGGAATGCAAGCCTCCATCTCCAAATCCCACACCCTCCACAAAAACCGCAGGCAGGGCCAGAAAGCCGAATCAGTTGAGAGGTAGGCTCCACCCCCACCCAGGGACAATGCCCCTCTGCTTAGGCAAGAGACGGAAACTCAGTAACGGCTACTCTTACGGCTACTCTTACCTGCTGTGATGGCCGCAGTGGTGGACAGGATGTAGCCAACGCTGGCGATCAAGGAGGAGTCATAGATCTGAGACGCTTGACTCAAAAACCTGCAACACACAGGCACTTGGGTCAGTGGGCTAAGGGGTAAAAGTGGAACCTGGGGTATAAGGCAAGGCATGGGGGAGGGTTTCTAGGTCTATAAGAGTGGACTCTCCCTATTACAGGGCACTGTGTATCCCAAGATTTGGGGTCTGAGCTTGGCCCACAGACTGAGGCCGGTCTGCAGCATGCCTCTGACTGTATGACTCTGGCCATTGCCACGCCCGTCTGCCCTTCTCCTCACTCCTGATCCCCACCTCACTGGACAGAGCTGCTCCTGGGTCCCACACACATCCCAGGATACTCTCCCGGGACTTGTCACATCCAGCCCAATGTTGTAATTTTTAAAATATTAGAAACATATTTTAGTGGTTACCACAATGAATGGGAGGAAGAAAGGAGAGGGTCAGCATCCCTCCTCATCTATGGCAGACACCACCTTCATATGGGAACTGATCTGCTCTCTGATTCTCTGCTGACATCCAAGTCGGCACTGAACAGCTGTCCACAGGGACATTAGCCACCAAGCCAACCGTCTGCGCATGGGCTGTGTCCCTGAGAGCAGTGAGGAGGACTATGGCTCTGGGTGCTGGGAGACTGTCCTGACTGGGAGACCAGAAGTTCCTAAGGGGTGGCAGGAGTCTCTGGTTGCCTGTGTGACCCTGATCTCTCAGCACAGAACCTGTGTGCTTGGCTAGGGCTCCCCTTGGGAGGGCTATAATGGTGTTGTAAGGCTAAAAGTCATAATGGTAGAAAGGGTGGTAGCGACAACGCTGGTAACGTGTGTGGACACCGAGCTGGGGCACCTCAGGCAGATCTGTGGGTGTCAGCTGCAGAGGGCGAAACTGAGCCCCAGAGCAGCCCGGTGAGACTTGGTGGAGCAGATGCACAGGGGCCCACACTGGGAGCCTGATGTCTAGGATTAGCTCTCGACCTTCATGTCCTGGCTCTAATCTCCCTCTGCCTCCCAACATGGGACAGACAATTCCATCTCCAGCTGTGCCCCCCAGAGGGTGCTGTGAACATAGGTGAAGAGAAGATGGGGGCCCCCATGAGCATCAGCTGTTGTTATGTTCCTCAAGGTCAGGTGGCTGGTGGGTGCTGAGCCCAGGCCAGACCAAGGAACCTGACCTCCAGGCTGGTTCAACCTCATCCACCATCTTGAATCCTGGCTGACTGACTCAGGTTGTCGCCTACAATATTCATGGAATGCCGCTCCCTTCCAGTCCCCTGGCAGGGCTCTAGGACTCAGAGGGGGCAGGACTGAAGTCTACTCTTAGGATTTCAAAGATTCACGTCACCCATATTCAGAGGTAGAAATGAGTGTTCACTCTTTTCTCTGTGAGGATCTGGGTCAGAGTTCTTAAAGACAGGAAATAACAACTCTATTCCTCCAAGCAGACAAGCAAGTGATTCCTAGGTGACTGCAAGGCTTCTCTCTTCAAGTTCCCACAGGGCAGATGACAGGAAGTGAGCCTGTTTCTCATACCTTGAGGTAGAAGGTGCACTCGGGACAGGGAGGGGTGCGTGCGTGTGAGCGTGCGTGCGTGTGTTTGGACTCCTTCTCCCAGGTGTGTGTGAATTTGGATTCCACTCGACCACCTCCCCCCCCCCCCCCCCCCCGCCACGAACTCATCTCCATCCTGATGCTAAACTGGTTACTGGCATCTTCTGGCTCCCCTACAACTTCAGGACCAAACAGAACCAGGCCCAGAAGTGGAGACAAGGCAACGCACGTGGCCTGGTAGATGGCAGTGGCCACCATGCACACGAACATCACGTAGAAGATTGGGTAGTCCAGCTGCAGGTTGCCTTGGATGGACAGCACGAGCATCCCTGCCACAGCCTTGACCGTCACCACCGTCATGGAACCTGCGGAGAGCAAGCCAGAGTGTGGGCGGCCTCAAGAGAATGTGAGGAATCGGATCCCGAAAGGACTTGGGGACAGAGGTGAGAGGGCCATGGAGCTCCCATGGTAAGAAGACATCACTGGCTAGGTCTACCTTGCCCAGGACTCCTAGGGGGCTTTTGGGAGCCCACTACCTATGATGTGACACCTCATGCAACCTTGAGGCAGGGGGAGGGGCTTGGACTTGCCTCTACTGGATGTGCCTCCCCATGGAAGGCCTTGCCTTCTTGTGGGTAGATTGGGGAGGATGGGGGGCAGGAGGAAGGAAGAGGGGGATCTTTGATTAGTGTGTAAAATGAATGAAAAAATTTTCTTAATAAAAATTAAAAAAAAAAGAATAAAAAAAGGAGGGATGTGAGGTGCCCACAGCTATTTCTAAATGTCACTTCACTGTACCCTAGTGGGCACCAAGTTCAGGTCTCTGTCCCCAGACTACATGGCAGTGGGGAGCGGGGCGGGTGTGTGTGTGTGTGTGTCTCTTTGAATGGACACACAAACTTCCCCTGAGCCCAACTTCTGCTAATCCAGGATAATAGGTGAGGAAAGAACTCAGGAATTGGGGCTTCAAAATGCTCAGTCACGTACATTTTCTGTGGGTTTAGGGACTGGAGAGATGGCTAAGTGGTTAAAAGCACTGGCTGCTTTTTTTAGGGGACCTGAGTTCAATTCCATCACCCACATGGCAGCTCACAATCATCTGTAAGTCCAGATTCTGGGGATGTGACACATCTTTGAGCCTTCATGGCAATCATACACACACACACACACACACACACACACACACACACACACACACACGGAATACCACCCCCCCACACACAAATAAAAATTACAGATAAATCTTTTTAAAAAACCTCTTTGTGTGTCTTCCAGTTGTTTCAGTTGTTTCTCTCTCCCCCTCCCCCCCTTTAGATAGACTTCTCACTGAGTCTGGAGCTCGTCCATTTGGCTAGACTGACTTGCTAGTGAGTGCTGGGGATGCTCCTGTCTCCGCCTCCTTCCTGCAAGGGTTACAGGTGCACAGCCTGTACCCGTTTTTATGTGGGCACTAGGGACCCGAATTCAGGTCTACAAGCACTCTGTTGACGGGGCCATCCCTCAAGCTCCTTCCATATATTTCTTTACCCCAAGAAGTTTCTAGTGTTCTGTACCTTTATGCATATGCAAATTCATATCCAACATATCTTCACTCACTTCAAAATCATAACTATGTAACAATGCATTTATATGATATGCACATGCACCTTATATGCTATAAAACATTCACAGGAAATGTAACCACTTAAAGGATGGGAGGAAAATGGTGGAAGTTATGTTTTCTTCCTGTACATTTCACAGTCGTGACTACCTCACTACAAAGACCCACTGCTGACCTCCAAGTGGCTTCAGCTCACAAAGTGCCACATCTCCTGCCACACTGGAGTTAGATAAAACAGCTGGAGGAAGAGACGGAGGAAGCCACAGCCCTGGCTGAATTGCTTTGCCTCCTCCTCTGTCAGCTGCCTCATTAGCTTTCCTCTGCCAACAATCCAGCACCCAGTGCCTTCTGGGACCCTCAGCCAGTGTACCAGTTTGCAGGCACCGGGAGCCATTGACGTCAAGCACGCATCATCATACTGTCCACGCTACCAAACAGCAGAAGGGCCATGAAGGAGGGGATGTTGATGACTCAGGTTCTAACCACAACAAACAAAGTCACAGCGGAACAGGGGACTGGCTTGTGCTGCAACCTGGGTACACCTGAGAATGTTATGTTCAAACGAGCCCGTTATAAAAAGGCCTCCTAGGGCCAGGTATGTAGTGTGCACCTGTAGTCCTAGCACTTAGGAGGCTGAGGCAGGAGGATCAAGAGTTCAAGGCTAACTGTCTACAAAAGAAGATCTTTTTTTTTTTTTTTTAAAGCTGAAGATGTAGCTCAGTTGAGAGGGGGCTTGTCTAGCGTGCACAAAGCCCTGGGTTCAGTCCCCAGAGCTGCCTAAACAGGGTGGATTGCAATCCCAGCACTCAGGAGGTGCCAGCCGGACAATGAGAAGTTCAAGGCGGCAGCACAGAGATTTCAAGGTCAGCCTGGGCTGCCGGGTATCCAGTCTCAATACAAACAAACGAAGAGCCATATCAGGATATAATTCCAGTTATAGAAGACGTTCACAAAGGTGCATTCATGCACAGAAGGTAGGTTAGCGTTTGCCCGGTGCTGGGAGGACGTGGGATGGGAGTCACCGGCACTGAGTATTTTAGAGGTGAAAATGTTCTACGATTAGATTGTGGCTGTGCGAATCTACGACTACAGCAATCCCCACTCAGTGGCTTACCTTGAGCAGATGAACCACGTGGCATATGAATTCTATCTTAATAAAGCTGTTTTTAAAAGGAGATCAAAATAATGCCAGCCTGTCTTCAGTGACAGGTATCTGAGTGGTTTGGGGGGCCTGTCATTAAGGTGGGGTGGGGAGAATAACATGTGGGTGCCTCTGCCCATATCAGTTAGCCTTCCTCCCAACCGGGTATTTCCTTGTCCGTTTTGGAGTGTGGTGGAAAGGGGAGACACCAGATGGCCAGCCCTGTCTCCTGCTCTGTTGGACACCAGTGACAAGCAGCATCCTTGCCTCAGTCTGGGGACCATTTCCCTGCTTAGCCCCGTCTCTTTAAAGTAAGGAGAACCTGTCTGTTCGGGTTCCATTCTTGCCCTGCATCTATACAGTCCATTGCGGATACATGGACAGTTCAGGGGTTGCTCTGAGGTGACCTCTGACCTCACTAAACTTACTCTCCTTGCTTCTTTTTCCTGTTGGGTCTCGGTCCACACTTCTGTGGCTGTGGCCCATGGGTTTGCTCACTTTTCTCTTGCTGAAGACAGTCCTCTCAAGAGTCACTATGTGGACCTTCAGTTCTGGACCCTTAGAAGACTTGAGATTTGAGCCAGAATGTGAGAAATGGTAGGAGCTACCTTGTTTAGCCGGGGCCCTGCTCCCTGTGGAGTGACCGCTGTGGTGTTCCCCAAAATATTGTGCACCCTAATAAACTTATCTGGGGTCAGAGAACAGAACAGCCACTAGACACAGAGGCCAGAAAATGGTGGCACACACACCTTTAATCTTAGTATTCCAGAGGCAGAGATCCATCCGGATCTCTGTGAGTTCAAAGCCACACTGGAAACAGCCAGGCATGGTGACACACACCTTTAATCCCAGGAAGTGATGGTAGGAAGCAGAAAGGTATATAAGGTGTGAGGACCAGGAACTAGAGCCTGTTAAGCTTTTAGGTTTTGAGCAGCAGTTTAGCTGAGATCCATTCGGATGAGGACTCAGGTTTCCAGTTTGAGGAAACGAGATCAGCTGAGGAATTGGTGAGGTGAGGTTGGCTGTGGCTTGTTCTGTTCATCTGATCTTCCAGTTCACCCCAATACCTGGCTCTGGGTTTGTTTTTTTGTTTTTTTTTTTTTGGTTTTTCGAGACAGGGTTTCTGTGTGTAGCTTTGCGCCTTTCCTGGAGCTCACTTGGTAGCCCAGGCTGGCCTCGAACTCACAGAGATCTGTTTGGCTCTGCCTCCCGAGTGCTGGGATTAAAGGCGTTCGCCACCAACGCCTGGCCTTGTTTGTTTTTTTAATAAGACCTTTTAAGATTCGTGCTACAGACTGTCTTGAACTGGCCTTATACAGAGCCAACAGCCATGAGTAGGGGAGACTGGGGGTGACAAAGCCCCATCATCCAGAAACTGCTTACCAAGCAAGGCCACCAGGAGGAGAATCACAATGATGCTGTTGGCGTTCCTCTCCTTGTAGAAGTACAGGAGCAGGCAGAACAGGACGATCACCACCAGCTGTGGAGGACACCAGCAATCACCCAGCACTTAGTCAGGAATTCAAAGTGTGTCCCCCGTCCCGCCCAGGCCCCAGTGTGTGTGTGACTAAGCAGAGAAAGAGCAGGACAAGTGTTGGGCCCAGGGGCACCCTTGGGAGGTGGCCGTAGGAGAAGTGAGAGTTCGGGGCTGGCTTGGGCTGCTCAGGGGGTTCAAGGCTGGCCTGGGAAACTTAGGTCCCATCTCAGAACAAGAAAGTAAAAAGCAGCTGGTGCAGACAAATGGTAGAGCGCTTTTCAGGGACATCCCATGCCTTGGGTTCTACACCCAGCAACCCAAACCCAAAATAATAAGAAAAAAGAAAAATGCCACCCCCAAACGAGACCTGTACTCAGGGAGCCATTTGGTCAAACAACGGGAACACATTCTTTGTCACCAAGCCTCAGCTGGACAGAGCTCCCAGAAAGAGGAAGACTCCTGGGTGTGGTGGCCCACCTGAAATCCCGGCACTGGGGAGGCAGAGGTGGGAGGATTTTGAGTTATAGGCTAGCCTGGGCTATGTGATGAGACTATGTCTCCAAATATAAAAATGGAAGATGAGTGGAGTTTGGGCATCACAGGCTGAAGTTGCATCTGTCTCTAAATTGCTGATGTGACCCTAGGCAAGTCTAGACATCTCCAAACCCCTGCTGCCTCCACTGCACTGTAGGGATGATCCCACTCACAGGGCAACAGTCAGCGCTGTGCTGGGTGAACTCTCCCATGTGTGTGCCGGGGTGGGGGCTCCCCAGTTTTCAGCTATTGCCTGAAATGACTCTTTTTTTTTTTTTTTTTTTTTTTTTAAAGCATTTATTTATTTATTATGTATACAGTGAGTGTTCTGCCTGCAGGCCAGAAGAGGGCACCAGATCTCACTGTAGATGGTTGTGAGCCACCATGTGGTTGCTGGAAATTGAACTCAGGACCTCTGGCAGCACAGCCAGTGCTCTTAACCTCTGGGCCATCTCTCCAGCCCTGAAATGACTCTTTGTGACTCGCCAGTGAATGTTAGGACAGCACTTGGTGCTAAACCCTAAGAGGGTAGTGCATGTGTGGGCATCTTGGGAGAGACCAGGAGTTGTGAGCCAAGCTCAGTGACCTTCCATACCCACAATGCCCAGCATTTAGGGAACCCCCCCCTAGACAAGTATTTCTTGAGTTTGGTTCAATCCCTTCATGCTGTGGGATGGTCTTTCTGTACACTGTGAATATATGTTGCTCTCACTGGCTGATAAAGCTGTTTGACCAATGATGAGGCAGAATAAGGTTAGGAGGTACATTCAGACTGATGATAGAAATGAAGAAGGAAAGGATCAGGGCAGATGCTTCGAGCTGTGCAAGAAGCAAAATGTGAAAGAACTGGTAAGGCATGGACCATGTGGCAATACAAAGATTAATAGAAATGGGTTAATTTAAATGTACTAGCTAGATAGTAATAAGCCCGAGCCATTGGCCAAGCATTTATAATTAACATAAGCCTCTGAGTGATTATTTAGAGCAGCTGCAGGATGGGGCAGGACAGAGAAAAGCCTCTGGTTTACACCTTCAACCCGTGGCAATGCCTTACTGCCAGGCCTGGTGAAGCCACCCAGCCCTCCAGGGGGCATCTTCCATACTCTGGGTGACTCATTCGCAGCCTCATGCTGCACCCCAACAACCCCAAGTCTAGTCTCTTGCTATTTCACAGAGAAGGAATGAGACTTGTCCAAGGCCACACAGCACACAGGCTTTGAGGCCAGCTCTCCCTGAGTGAGAGGACTGTTTCGGGGTTAGGCTCTGCTAAAACACTTCCTGTAAGGGGGTGACTAGAGGCACGGCAGACACAGCCCTGGCCTCCAGAGATCCCGTCCTCTGTTTTGTGGGCCTTCTGAGGCAAAAGGGCATTCTGACTGCTCAGAGTTTCAGTGTCTCCATCGATGAGATCAGGAGGAAAGCAGCTTAGAGAGTTGAGGGAATTCGAGACACATAAACCCATTTTGCACTGTGTGGACATGAGGCCAGCTCACAGCAACAGCTGTGTGAGCACCAGGGCTGTTTTCTTTTTTAGTGTGTTTGTGTATCTGAAGTAGATAGAACACTACTCTGTCCCCTGGCTGCCTGTCAGCTGTGTGATACTTCAAAAAACAGCATTCTTACATTGTTTAAATTCTTAACTTAAAAAAAAAAGCTGTTTTTAATTCTATTTATTTATTTGTTTGTTTATTTTTTGAGACAGGGTGTCCAAGTCCAAACTGGCCTTAAATTGACTATGTAGCTGAGGAGGGCTTTGAACTTCCGATCCTCCTACTGCCCTCTCCCGAGTGCTGGGATTATAGGCATGTGCCACCACACCTGGTCTATGAGGTGCTGGGGATCCAGTCCAGGGCTTCGTGCATGTCAGGGAAGAACTCTGTCAACTGAGTTTTTTTTAACTCAGTTTTTTTTTTAACTCCCTCTTTTATCATAAAAACTTTTTTTTTCAATTTCCTATTTATTTTTTTTTTTGTGCCTTTCACATCATGCCTCCCAATCCCACCCATCTCCCCTACCCCAATAAAATAAAATAAAATTTAAGGGAAAGAAAGGAAGAGGGAAATCCCATCACGGAAGCTGCAGCGTGACACAGTGAGTCGGCAGTTAACCCCTTGATCTATACATTTTTACATGCAGGTGATCATCGTAAACGATCATTGGTCTGGTTCGAGGCCCCTGGTCTCTGCTACGCCATTGACGCTGGGCCCTCCCTGCGACTCTTCCTAGACGTCCTATTGCTGCCCTGTGTCGTGGAGATCACAGATGGAGTGGATGTTGGGGTGGACAAACATATAGCCCTGGTTCTGGTCCTGGGTAGTTGCAGGGTTGGTCAGCCCGCCAGCTCCCCCCTGTCCTCACCACCAGGGTGAGCTCTCCAGCATTGCCCTGGCGAGTTCACCCCTTGCAGCGATGAGCAAGGGGTGGGGTCAGTTCTGCTTTCACACCCTCAGGGTCCTTCTCCCATACACACACCTTCAGGGCCAGCTCTACTGTGTTGTCCAGGTGTGGCATAGGGGCCACCCTCCCAAGGGCTGCAGCTGTGAGGGGCAGGGACAGCTCTCCTGCTCTTACGACTTCAGGGCCAGCTCTTCCATCTGCCTCAGGCATTGATGGGCTTTGAGGGGCAGATGGGCAACAGGGGCGGGGGGGGGGGGGGGGGGGGGGACGGGGACGGGACATTCTCTTCCCCACCCATTCCGCCACATGACAGGTGAGTAGTGAGGATAGCTCTCCCATGCTCACAACATTACCATAAAAACTTTAAAAGCTAGACCTACTGGAACAGCTACATGAAAAGCTGAAGCAGGAGGATCAAGACCTTAAGCCTGGGCTACACAGAGTTCAAGGATAGCCTGGGCAACTTAGTGAGATCCTGGTTCAAAATTTAAGAAGTAAAAAGAGGACCAGGGGCGTGGCTCAGCGGGAGAACTTGCCTAGCATATGTGAAGCCTTAGGTTTGATCTCTAGTACCATAAAAAATAAAAATAAAATTAGATGCACGATGTTAAAATTTTGGACATGAGAGAATGGAGTAGAAATAAAATCTACATCCTAATTTAATCTCCTAGAGACAACTACCCAGAATTTCTATCTCTCCACCTGCCCTCACAGACACGGGTTGTGCACACACCTTCACAGCCCTCTGATGACCCAAGACTGGCAGTGTACCATGGATGGATTTGGATGGTGCCCAGGACAAACATGGCACCAGCCTGACATGTGTACCCAGCACATCCTCAAGCTCAGTGGTCACACTGTGCCTCAGTGATCCCAACTGCCAGCTTTAGGGTCCAGCGAATGGGACTTGATCCTCTTTCAGCCTGTTCAAGCAGAAGGATGGGACCTTCACTTACCATGTACAGCAGAAAAGGCCAGCTCACGAGGTGCTTGGCGATGTTCTCGCCTGTCATTTTCTCGTGACTATTGGGTGCAAATGTCACTAGCAGGTAGGTGCCCACGATCGCCAGACCGCAGCCAACAAAGGACAAGACATAGCGTCCTGTGGGGAGGGAGGGAGGATGGTCAGGGGCTCAGGGCTCAGGCCAGGTACAGAGGGGGCCCTTAGCAAGTCAGGGCAGCCTTGGCCTGTGTCCTGGCTAGTTTTATGTCAACCCGACACAAGCTGGAGTCATCTGAAAAACAAGGAACCCTCAACTAAGAAAATGCTTCCACAAGATCAGGCGGCAGGAAAACCGGAGGCATATTCTTAATTAGTGACTGATGGGGGAGGGCCCAGACCATTGTGGGAGGGGCCACCCTTGGCCTGGTGGTCCTGGGTTCTATAAGAGAGCTGGCTGAGCAAGCCATGGGGAGCAAACCAGTAAGCAGCACCCCTCCATTGCTTCTGCATCAGCTCCTGCCTCCAAGTTCCTGCCCTGCTTGAGTTCCTGTCCTGACTTCCTTCAGTGAAAGACTGTGGATGTGGAAGTGAAAGGCAAATATACCCTTTGCTCCCCAACTTGCTTTTGGTTGTGGCATTTTATTATAGCAACAGAAACCTTAACTTGGCCTGTGACAGGCGCCTGGCACTGCTTGTATTTTTGGTTGTTCTTTACTTGAAAAGAGTAACCTTTCTTAATGTGTTCCTTTAAGCTTTATTTGTATATTTTTTTGTGTATGAGTGATGTGTCTGGGTGTATGTGCACTGGTGAGTACCTGATGCTTTTTGGAGGTCAGAGGGCATTAGATCTGGAACTGGAGTTATAGACAGTCATGATTCAACATGTGGGTCCTGGAAATTGAACCCAGGTCCTCTGAAAAAACACTAAGTGCTCTTAACGACTAAGCCATCTCTCCAGGTCCCTTTAATATGTGTGTGTTTAATTTGTTTACTTACTTGATTTGATTAACTTTCTACAAAACTTTTTAAAAATTTATTCTATTTATATGGGTGTTTCGCCTGCATGGAGTTACAGGTGGTTGTGAGCTGTCATGTGGGTGCTAAGAACCAATCCCGGGTCCTGTGCAGGAACAGCCAGGGCTCTTAACCACTGAGCCATCTTTCCAGCCCATTTTTTTTTTTAAAGATTTATTTTTATTTATGTGTATGCATGTGTATTTGTATGCCACCTGTATGAAATCACAGGTATATGATATCATGCTTATAATGTTATGGGGGAGAGTTCATCATGGTATCTTCACATGTGCTTATCATGTACTTTGTGCACATTTACTCCCTTAAATGTCATTCTAAATATCTTAAAACTTTCTTGGTTTCCAGTGGAGGGACCTCAATTAATGTAACACTGAAGCCCCTTGATCTACAGGTCCATGTTTCCCAGTTGGCTAGAATTATCTATAAAAAAAAAATCTATAAAAAAATGGCAACTTGGACCTTTTTTTCTCCCTTCTGTGCTTCTAAATGATGTGAGACAACACTTCTAGGTCAATACCTTTACTCCGTAAACCCAGATGTCTCCTTGGGGTGAGGGGGCCAGGCCCAGGTCTAGCTGAGCTAGAGGAATCTTTCGGGGGGGGGGGATTGTGAGCAGGTTCACTAGGCTGCAGGCTCAACTTCAGTCTTTATTCACAGTGAAGCAGAGTTTCTGCCTCCTAGGTCTAACTCCCATGGCTTTAAAACCCCGGGAAGGTGTGTTTTTGTTAGGTTTTCTAAAACCCCAACAACAGAGGCTCAATCATTATTGACGGAAGGGAATGAAGAAAGGCTAATCTTCAACAGGACCACAGACACAGCTGTGATCCATAGCCAGGCTGGGGGCACTTAACATTCACTCCCAGGAACACGGAACCCAAAGGGGAGTGGGAGGCGGAGGGGCTGTCCACGGGGCCGGCCTGGCTCCGTCAGAGACTTACTCACAAAGTCCTTCGGCTTCCATTTTTCTTTGATGAATATGATTCCGATGATGGCGCTCGCTGGGAAAGGCCAAGCACAGAGAAGAGGAGTAAGGCTGCGGTCAGGCAGAGGGGTGGCTCACCCACCCACGTCCTCTGGGGGGCTCGTTTGCATGGAGCCTGATGCACTTGTCCCCAGAGGTTTTCAGAATGTGGTCTCCTTCAGCCTCAGCCACTCCCATCTGCGAGAGAGGACCTTCTAGAGCCTTCTGTGGGATTTCTCATAAGCCAGGATCCTGGGCCCTGAGCGCCCACTGTGCAGGTGATAACTTCCATGTGTGATTTTTGGCATGCTCAACCTTAGAGGTGGGGTCTGCCGTTAGTCTTATTTGATAAATGGGGATCCTGAGGTTAAAAGAGGTGAAGCTGATATGAAAAGGCAAGATTTGAACTCAGGACCAGAGCCTTTCTTCTTCTTCTTCTACTGTATCCTACCTCCCTCATGGTGCTTGTCTTACTCTATTGCAGGGTCACAACTTAAACTCCTGTGACCGACCTAATGGACAGGGCTGGCAGCCACTGTGAATGACTCCATTACTAGCCCGGCTCGGCCTCTCCTGGCCGTGTGACTCTGGGTAGGTCACTTCCTGAGTAACAGTCTTCTACTCTATGAGATGGTGTTCTGGGTCTGGCTGCACCAACTTGCTGTCACATATTCAGACGGCCACAGGGGGCTTGAACTTGGCCACGGAAGCGGAAGAGCAGATGCATTTACAACATACAGTTCAGCAATCCGAGTGAGAGGCCCTTCTCTCCCGTCTTAGTGGTCACTCCTATCTCCATTTCCTTTTCTCTTCTCACCCCCCCACCCCGGAATCGGTCCACAAACCCCACTGAAAACTACTACTTCTTTGAGTTGTAGGGCAATAAGATTCTAAATGCAAATCATTTAGCATACAGTAAATGCTCATAATAAAACGATTCTTGTTACTGAAGTACTTGGAACATTGATGGAAAAGTCCTAAGTAGGCAATGGATGAGCTGTTACTATGTTAAGTATATTTCTCATAGGGTGACCTCGGAAGCTCAAGGAGCTTCTTAACCTCCAGTGGCTGGCTGACCCCCAAATCTTGCCACAATTCACCCTACTTATTTATTATTGCACTGGGCATCAAAACCAGAACCTGGTACTGACTAGGGCCATCATTTTGCATCCCAGCTCTCAGCCTCTAAGTTTAAAGTTGGTTACTTATTCAAAATCAAAGACTAATATTTACAGCGTTGGCCCCTCAGTCACTTATTCCTCGCTGTGAATGAAGGTTCCAAGAGGTCTTTAGGGACCCCAACAGTGGACAGAACAGTGACAAGGACGTAAATCTAACTATCAATGGGGCTCAGTAATGGCCTGAATGCAGGAAGCAGTCTAGAGGACAAAAGGAGAAGATGGAGATGGCTAAAAACCTCGCCTTAACCAGAGACATTCAAACCACTTTAGAAAAAAACGACTGGGAAAAGAAAAAAAATACTGGTCTGGCCTGGTAGCTGAGAGGCAGGCACTTGCCCAGCGGGTACAAGGGCCTGGGTTTCATCCCCAACACTTAACAGAAAAGATCCTGGGTGGGAAAAACTCAGCAGAGCTCCTGCAGACCACCAGGTCACCAGCCAGCCCTGTTCAACAAAGGGGGATTCTTCCAGAGCGATTCAGAAATCCAATCAAGTTTCCCATTTTCCAGTTTCTTATAATTGGTAGTGGCTGCCTGCAGAACAGAGAATTCTGAGGTTCAAAAGCTTTGATCAATTAATGATGTCTGCCCTGAGCCCATACATAAGTCATGCACAGGCCCTCCTGTGGTGAAGAGGACCTTGAATTCAAGGAGAGGTGAGACACCAAGATTCGCTGTTTTACTGAGAGCAGGGGAGAGCCAGGCAGAGAGGGGCTAGCAAAATGAAGGAAACATTCTAGATGAGTTCCAGCTCCTGGGCACGGGAGGTGACTGTTCACTCATCTATCTGTCTCTATGAGAATTGGATTTTATGCGTGACCTTGGGGCATTAAAGCTCTTCATCTTTGGTCGGTTCAGGTGCTCTGATGTGGAAATCACGGGAAAAGGACAGGTGGGAGAGGTAATGATGGCATGTGACTGGCCAGGATGACAGAGAAAGATCTGAGCATGAATGAGTGCTTCTCAGAGGTGCAGAATGGTGACCAGATGAAAGTTTAGTATGCATTGTTAGTGTGAAGATGTTTAGATTAAGGCTTAACTTCCTTTCGCAAGTGGCCATAAAAACAATTCTAAAAAAAATGTTCTGAATCTTAAACACGGTCTGGAGGTGGAGACCCTGGCTCATATCCCTGCCCTGTTACTGAGTGGCTGTGTGATGTGTGCCTTACTTCCTGCATCTGTAAAATGGGTGCAAGGTAGGAAGAAGGAAGTCCAACAGAGTGCTTCAGAGCTGGGCCTGTGTGTGATGCGGATGCCAGATGCTATTGCCAAAGCAAGGGTGTTTTCTTACTGTCATTGTTTTGTTTTGTTTTGACCATCATTTATTTTTAAAATATTTTATTTTATTTATTTATTTATTTTAAAGATTTATTTATTTATTATGTATACAGTGAGTGTTCAGCCTGCAGGCCAGAAGAGGGCACCAGATCTCATTATATATGGTTGTGAGCCACCATGTGGTTGCTGGGAATTGAACTCAGGACCTCTGGAAGAACAGCCAGTGCTCTTAACCTCTGGGCCATCTCTCCAGCCCTAAAATATTTTTAATTAAAATATAATCACATCACTTTCCCTCTTCCCTTTCTTCCCTAAGCCCTGTCCACGTCCCCTGCTTTACTCTATCTCAAACCGATGGCCACAAGAGTGCTTTGTTTTTTAATCTTGGTTTTGTTGGATGGGTGTTTGACCAGCATGTATGGCCCTGTATCACATGTGTGCAGTGTCTGCAGAGGCCAGAAGAGGGCATCGGATCCCCGGAGACTGGAGTTACAGTCCATTGTGAGCCCCCAGGTGGGTGCTAGGAATCGAACCTGGGTCCTCTGTAAGAACAGTCAGTGCTCTTAACTGCTGAGCCATCTCTCCAGCTGCCAAGAGTAGTTTTGTATTGTGTTTTGTTTTTTCGAGACAGGGTTTCTTTGAGTAGCCCTGGCTGTGCTGGGACTAAAGGTGTGCGCCACCACCACCTGGCCCCAAGAGTGGTTTTTGAATGTGAGTGCTCTGAGCTTCATGGTGGCACTCGGGCCACACTGACGATGGATCCTGGGTGAAGAGAAGGCGGGGGCTTACCTATAACTGAGACGGCACTGAGGGGTACGATGAGGGACAGCGGGGCGAAGGCGTAGGAGGCGAACACGCCCAGCTCGCCCAGCAGCAGCAAGAGCAGTCCCAGCCACCATGTCTTGGTCTTGAAGTAGGCCCGGGGGTCCTTGGAGCCTGCCAGGCGGATGTGGCAGTATTTCTACAAGTCCGAGAAGGAATGCGATTAGACCAGATGTTCGGAGAAAATCAAAGGCTCTGATGAAGGAACCCAAGCTGACGCTCCACTTTTGAAAACCATATGTGGGGCCTTGAGTTGGGTTTGAGGGAGATGTGGGTGAGACCTGGAAATTGGCATTTCTTTGTATGCATGCATATTCACATGTATGTAGATATGCATGCACATGTGTATAGGGGCTGCATGTTTACATGTATATGGGTATGCATTTGTGCATGCGTGCATGCATGTGTATGTGTGTGTATGTAGGCTAGAGAAAACAATCTTTCACCATGGTTTTTGACAGAGTGACTTGGTGGCCTGGGCTTGACAAGTAGCCTAGGCTGGCTTGCCAGTGAGTCCTGGTGATTCCACCTGTCTGCCACCCCAGCACTGGGTTACAAATACACACCACCACACCTGCTGTTTTTACAGAGGCTCAGGGGATTGAACTCAGGTCCTCAGGCCTGCAAGGCAAGGGCTTCACCCACTAAGCTATCCTCCAGCCCCTCTGTTTTTCTCGAGACACTGTCTCATGTCGCCCAAGCTGGTCTTCACATTTCAATCCTCAGGGCTGGAGAGATGCCTCAGTGGCTAAGAGTACTGGCTGTTCTTACAGAGAGCCGGGTTTAGTTCCCGGCACCCATATTGTAGCTCACAACCATCCATTACTTCAGTTCCAGGGGATCCAATCCCCTCTTCTGACATCACAGGCACCAGACACACACAAGGTACAAAGACATACAGACAGACAAAACACTCACAAATAAATCTAAAAAAAAAAAAAAGAAAAAGATATTGAAATCTTCCCGCGCCCACCTCTTGAGTTCGGGGTATCAGGCATGCGCCACTGTGCCTGGAGCTCAGGGCCTCGGAGAACCTCTGAGAAATCTAACAGAGGACATTTACCCACTGACTCCTGCTGTCACTAGCATGGGGACACTCTTGTCTCTTGGGACACATGTGTACCAGTTCCCTGGACCTCAGGGGAAGCTCCTCAAGCTGCCAGCCTGCTCCACAGCACAGCTGTGGCCACCGCCAGGCCAGGCCAGGCCAGGCGCTGTGGGGCTCTACGGTAACTGTGGCAGCCCCTGTCCCTGAGACTTGAGGCGTCCACAGCACTGGAATCAGAGCCAAAGGTGACGGTACCACGGTACCACGATGATCCCAGCAGCTGGAGGCACAGGGCAGTGTGAGACAAGACCGGGGCCTGTGGTTAAGATGTCACTCCACGGCTAGAGGACTGGGGCTTGGCTGGGGAGACGGCACTATCAGAGAAGCGTCTGCTGTACAAGCATGAGTTTGGATCTCACCATCCATGTAGAAAGCCAGGTGTGGCAGTGGCTGCCTGAAACCCCGGCACCGGGGAAAAAGGAACAGGAAGTGGTTTGCTGGCCAGCTGGTCTTGCAGTCATTAAGCTCCAGGTTCAAAGAAAGGCCTTGTCTCAAAACAACAAGGTGTGGCTGGAGAGACCACTCAGCGGTAAAAGTATGTAAGACCAGTCAGCGGTTAAGGGTAGCGCTGCTCTGCCGGAGGACCCGAGTTTGGGCACCCACTTCAGGCACCGCCCACAACTCCAGCCCCAGGGGAATCTGATGCCTCTGGACTCCGGAGGCACCTGTACTCGGGTGCACACACCCACTGCTGACACACAATTCAAAGTAAAGCAAATCTTAAAAAATAAATAAGGTGGAGAGCGACTGAGGACGGCACTCGCCTTTGATCTCGGGATTCCATATGCAGGGGTGCACACCTGCCCACACGTGCGCACACACACACAAAACTGGAGGTCCTGACCTATGGGAGCCTGGCGGGTATGGGCAGGGGAAGTAGGACTGCAGAGAGACTCAGGGAGCAGACAGGGTCTCCCTGCCCCCCCAGAGAGCGGTTCAGCAGACCCTCCTCCGCCGGGGACAGCGCTGGCACCTGAGACTCACCTGCAGGTTAAGGGCGATGCTGACCACGAGGTGCCCGAAAATCGCCAAGAGAGCGCCAATCAAGTTTTCCTAGAAGGAAGGGTCACAGAACGGATGTGAGTGGCACTTAAGCCAAGGGGTCCCAGGACACATGTGATATCCAGCAGTCTGCCCCCAAACAAAACCAGGACGAGGCCCACACTGTCTCCCTCCAGACCTGAGGTTGGAGTCTCGCCACCTGGGCATCAGCCGGCTTGTGCAGACAGGCAATGTGTAGAAACCAGTGGGCATGAGAGGAAGGCAGGCTGGGGCTCCTGCCGTCTCGCCAGGGGAGTCTTCCTGTCCTCTGACAGTCCAGCAAGAACGTCTCAATAGCCAGCATCAGCGGGGACTTTTCAGTTATTTAATCGACGCAAAACTCATTTATATCACCCTAGCCATGAGATTCAGGTTCCCTGGCATGCTATTTTTTTTAAATAAAAAGAATTACTCAGCATATATTTATGATAGAATAATTAAGAGCAGCATGTGGTGGCCACACCTGTCATCCCAGCACTTTAGGAGGTAGAGGCAGGAGGATTAAGAGTCAAGGTCATCCTTATGAGATGTTATCTCAAAAACCATAAAACCATGGGGCTGGAGAGAGGGCTCCATGCAAAGAGTGCATAATGTTCTGAAAGTTCCCTTTGCAGCACCCATTTGAGGCAGCTCACAATGGACTGTAGCTCTAGCTCCTGGGGATCTGCAGCCTCCCCTCTCCCTTCCCACCCCACTCCCAGCACAGCACTGATGTATACAACATACTGTGGACATACTTCTCTGTCAGGCATATTGCATTCATCATTTTTTTTTTCTTTTGAGCCAGGGTTTCTCTGTATAGCTTTGCACCTTTCCTGGAACTCACTCTGTAGCCCAGGCTGGCCTCGAACTCACAGAGATCTGCCTGCCTCTGCCTCCCAAGTGCTGGGATTAAAGGCGTGCGCCGCCGCCTGGCGCATTCGTCATTTTTAAAAGGTCAGCAAGTGCCTTACCACCTGAGTTGCAGCTCCCGCCCCAGGTCACCATTTTAAAGTTTTATTTATGTGTATGTACTTGAGTGGGAACCAAACCCAGGCCCTCTGCAAGAATAGCAAGTGTTCCTAATTGCTGAGCCACCTCCCCAGTCCCCGTACCGACTGTTTCTGACAGAGAAATGTGGTGGTTCCATACGGTTCAACTTGTAACTGGGCCCCCATTCCTTTCACACAGAGACCAGGCCGTCCTTTGATGGCCTGCTGGCTAAAAGAACGAGGCCCATGAGAAGTACTGTTTCATGCCACGGGGAAGTTAAGGGCTAAAGAAGGGGAAAGCCTCCTGCTACACAGACATGCCAATGCCATTTCAGGGAGGGCTGATGAGAAGGAATGGAGAAGTGAAAACTAGAAAAACCCACAAGGACAAATGAATTTATGCACCAGAACTTCTCACAGTGAAGGGTTCTAATGGTCAAGGCTGGCATTCACAGAGTGCTCACCCGTGATGGGGAGGCCCGGTCAAGGCTGGCATTCACAGGGTGCTCACCCGTGATGGGGAGGCCCCATCAAAGCTGGCATTCATAGAGTGCCTACCTGTGATGGGGAGGCCCTCTCTATACATTCTCTGTGGGTCACATACAACCTTAGGAGAATTGGGCTTAGTGGTGGACACACTGATGATCTCAGTTCCGGAGAAGTGGGCCAACCTTGGTTATATAGTGAGTTCAAAACTAGCCTGAGCTACATGGCAAGACCTTGTCATAAAAAAATAAAAAAAAAACAAATAAAACCTATGGAGCTGGAGAGAGGGCTCAGTGGTTCAGAGCACTTAGTGCTCGTGCAGAGGACCCAGGTTTGATTCCCAGCACCCACATGGTAGCTTACAAACTTGTAGCTCATTCCAGAGATTCACCAACACCTCTTCTGATCTCTGAGGACTCCTGAGTATACATGGTGCACATATATACACTCAGACGGACAGACAAATAGACAGATACAGACAGACACACACACCCCAAAATAAATAAGAAGCAAAAACAAAAACAAGCCCCAAACCAAGCTAAACCAAACCCAAACCCCCAAACTAATCAAACAGCAAACACCTCCAAGAAGCCCTAAGAGGTAGTGGTCCACTTTAATCTCTTCTCAGCACCGAAGCTGGAAGCTCACAGATGAATAGAGTGAGCTCTGGAGACATGACACAAGCCGACCAGGGTACAGACAGGAGGGCCTGGGATTGGAAGTGGGACTTCTGGTCTCCTGATAAGAATGCTGGCCCCACGTGGTCTCCAGGGTGCTCTCTGAGGAGTCGATTCAGAAGGGGAGAAGGAACTCGGGGCGGGGGTGGGGCACTGTGTAAGTACTCCACTCGGAGCTGACGCAGGCAGCTGAGTCTGCTCAAGTCGTTTGCGGCACGTTAATCTTAACGTCTAATAGCCGGTTACAGACAGACATGGTGAGTAACAGCAGACATCACTCAGGCCCTCGGATCTGAGTGTCTCCAAGGGCCTCATCAGCGCTAATTATGCCCCCGAACCCTTGTGAAGTGATGCGTGGTCTCGTTTTATGAACATTTAAAGTCATGGACAGCTGCCACCGCCCAGGGGTTACACAGTTTGAACACACATTCACCAGCTGCCCTCAGGGCTTGGCACGAAGCATTCAGAGCCAAGAAGGATCCTGCCCGAAGTTCCTCCTGCAGACTCAGAGCTGGACGACAGGATTCTAGTTCTGAAGCATGGCCAATGGCTTCCTCACTGGACCCCCAGCAGCTCCCTCAGTCGCTGAAGCGTCTCCCCCCTTGGCCCTTGTGGGGACTATTCACAGTGAGACGTACCAAGTGTATGACTAACACTGACTCTTAGGAACTTGGAATACAGACGTGGCCCTTAAGGTGCACTTGGGGACAAGCAGGTCTCAGCTGAGGGACGTGTGGTCCAAACTGCCTGGTGGAGGCTAAGGCTACGGCTTCATCTGGGCTGTCTGTGTAGCCTGGAAACCTGTCACCTCGGAGGGGCGAGTAGCTTGAGGCCAGGCCATATCAGTCCTTGACAGTCTCCCAGCTTTCCAGCAGAGAGTTGAGGTGATGGGATGAATAAGCAAATGCTGCCAGGCACGGCTTCTCATGGACATTACCTGAGGAGGCGCGAGACCAGGCCAGAGGTGCAGCTCAGGCCCATGCACGGCCAGCAGAGCCCAGCTCAAGCCAGGACGCTTTGCTCCCCTATAATTTTTGGGTGAGAAGTAGCAATGAGCCTTATGTTTAGGATAACCCCACATTACCTAAATGGAGACACCTGTAGAATGAAAGGGTGCCCCACACATGTGGCATGAGCCAGGAGTTTTCCTTATTTATTCAGTGAGACCTTTGGACCAAAGTGTCCTCAAAGTGAAACCTGGAAGGGCACCACTGGACAGAGGCAGTGACATTTCAGACTGCTTCGAGTCAGGGCTGCAAGCTCCCCGCAACCTCGGTATTAGGGAGACAATGGAAAGGCCAAAGACACCTCTCTCTGCTCCTGTATGGATTCAGCACAGCGGACCTGAGTGGGGTCCTGAGTGGGGTACTTCCTTGCTGTGTGACTTTGGGGAAAATGACCTCGAGTCTCTGGGCCTCCGCCTTCAGGTTTTAAAATGAAAGCGGATTATAAACCCCCCTATGATGATGTTCCACCAAAGGGAGCTGAAGCATCACACAAAATAGTAAATCCTAAAATGACTCCAGCAACTGCTATGGTTTGTCTTCATGTCTTTTTACTTATTTATTTTTTAAAGACAGTGTTTCCTGTAGCCTCGAACTCATTATGTCATTGAGGACAACCCTGAATTTCTGGTCCTACTGCCCACACACCTAAGTGTACCGCCAAGTCTGGCTCCTATGGGCTCACCTTTACTATCGTCCGTTTTTGTTTGGTTGGTTTGTTTTGTTGAGACAGGGTTTCCTTGTGTAACCTTGGCTGTCTTAGACTAGCTCTGTAGACCAGGCTGGCCTCGAACTCAGAGACCTGCCTACTCCTGCCTCCCAAGTACTGGAATTAAAGCTCTCCTGTGCCCACCCCACGCTGCCCCCTGCACCACCATGCTATGGGCTGGCAAGGGGCAGGCCCAGCTCTCCCACAAGGTGCAGGGCCCTGAAGCTGATATATTCTAATCCAAACTGATTTTTTTTTAATCCCCCATGACTCTGAAAGAAAATGAAGTGTTTCCAGAAAGGCAGCTGTAGGCAAGAGACAATCCCTGTATGTGGATATTGGCATCCAAGTGAGTCAGCTCACATGCCCTGGCCTAGGTCCCCCTTAGGTCTGTTCCCACCAGTCTCCATTTAAATACGACCACCATCACAGACAACAACTGGAGGGTAAACTGATCTCCCATAATGCTTTGGGCCCAGAGCTGTAAACAGGTAAGCTGCATCCTGGCTCACTTTGGGTGGCTGGCATTCCAGAGAACGCATCTCAGCGAACCAGGTTCTGCCACACCTGCAGCTTGGCTTCAGGCCACCTCCCTGACACTCTCTTTAACAGATGAGGTATTGCCTGCCTTGTGGCAGGCATCCCAACGACACTCATCACCAGAAGTAGGAACAGAAGGAGCCTAGCTGAGTGCCTGGCACAATATGAGCGGCACAAAATGGTGTCCAAGACCCTGGACCCTGGCGATGAGAAGATGATTCAAATTCCAGCTTTTCTGACTCTATTGACTGTGTGGCCTCAGGCAAGTTAATGGACTTCTCTGTGCTAGTTTCTTTACATGTAAGGTGAAGTTATAACAGACTTACTTCCTGGGACAGTCTCTGCTACACAGCCAATGCTCAACACACACTAGCAGCTGTTATGATGCCTATGGCAGTGTCTGTTAACTGACTATGGACAGAGGACCTGTATTTCCCACTGGGAAGTGTTGGAACAAGTGATAAAGGAATTGGGTGGATGGTAGGGTTTTCCAGGCAGAAATGGATGACTCATGCAGCTTGGAGTTCCTCATTCTGGGCATTCCAACCATCCTCCTAATTACCCTACAGGGCTGATTCTGGCCTGACCTGCAGGTCTGTGACTTTTCCAGGTTTTAACTCAAGATAGATCAATCAAAGCTAGGGCCTGTCTGAGTCCAAAGTCCGAGGTCTCAGCACTCTGCTCTTAGCCCTCCCTCCCTCCTTCTGTCCTTCCCTCTTTCCTTTTTTTTTTCTTTTCTTTTTTCTTTTTTTTGGTGGTGGTGGTGAGACCTGAGTCTCACTATGTAGCCCAGTCTGGCCTAGAACTCACAGAAATCCACCTGCCTCTGCCTCCCAAGTCCCAGAATTAAAGGCGTGTGCCACTAATGCCCAGCACCACATTTTTTCTTAATGGCAAGTCCTTGTGGAGACCTGTCTTCCCCATTTCTCTCCTGGACTCCAGGGAAGATGCACCTGTCATCCATCCACATAGCTGCCCAGGTTGACAGCCTGACCCACCGAGGCTGGTCTATAAACCACGGCCTCCAGGATTCTAGCCCAGGTTTGCTGGGCGGGGATTTGTAAAGAGAGAGGCAGGCAAAGAAATGTGTTCAAGGCTGAGACAGAACTCCCCAGGGATGTCTGGTAACCAGCCAGGCCTGGGGACCACCACAAACCCCGCTGCGTCTTTTGACAAAGATAGAAACTGAGGCACTGAAAGAGAGAGCCTGACTTGTCTGAGATCAAATGTGATGACGAAGCTGAGCTGGATCCCAGGTCTCCCGATCTTCACTGTAGCTGTTCTGCACATCACCCATCCCTCCTCCAAGAACACGGTAGTGGCCACGTGGGAGATGGAAATGACAGGCTTCCATGGAAAGATCAGAGAGCAAGAAAATCATGCCGCCTTGGCTTTGAAATAGACCCAACTCTGCATGGGCGCTACCTAGATGGGATGGAATCACTGAGGAATGTCACGGCCCGTCCTTGCTCTCTCCACAGTGAGAAGACTTTCAGGACTCCCATAGGTGTGTATCCAGCCTCCCCGATTGGGTGGAATTAAAATGAAACCAGCCCTTTCATTCTCCTCCTGTGTCTCTCCCTAGCACCTGCCCTGGCCTATAGGGTGACAGGGTCATCAGGAGTGTGTTGAAGCAGAGAGAGGGCACCAACTGAGAAGCCAAGACGCCAGTGAGGTGGTTAAGAGCATGCTACCATATAACCCCATGCCTCAGTTTCCTCGTCCCCAAAGCAGAGACGGAAACGCTGCTGGCGGCCACCTGCTGAAAGCGAGCCATCATATGTTAGTCACTGGTCCAAGCTTGATGTGGCTGAATTCATTTGCTCCTCCTAACGGCCAGGAGGCAGGTATTACTGTCACCCCACTTTACAGATGAGGAAAAGTGTGGGTCCATTTAGTGCTGATGAGACGATTGCCTGGGAAAACACACGCGAAGGACTCGGCACAGCACTGGGGCAGAATGAAAGCTCAGCACTCGAGACTTGTGGAGATTCTTATCATCACTCAGAGCTAAAAATACGTCGTAGTTCTTCCTAGCCGTGTGCTACATGATCTCAACTACGCCACTTCCCATCATTTGGCTCCATTTCCCCAACCCATGAAATCAGAGTGTTCGATGATCTCTAAGTCTCCTTCAGCCCAGGGTGTTATCAGTCTCGATGTGAGGGCTCTCTTAAAAAAAGTATTTATTTAATCTCATGTGCATGTGTGTGCACCTGAGTATATATATGTACAGGCACCACATATATGCATGTGGAAGTGCCTGAGGAAGGTCAGAAGAGGAGCGGGATGCCCTGGATCTGCCATGTGGCTACTAGGAACTGAACTTGAGTCCTCTGCAAGAGCAGTAAGCGCTCTTAACCACTGAGCCACCTCTCCAGCCCCTGTGATGATGATTCTTTTTAATTGTCAACTCGACACAGCCTAGAGTCACCTGGGAAGACAGTCTCAGTGAGGGAGTGTCTAGATCTGGTTGGCCTGAGGGCATGTCTGTGGAGACCTTCTTATGCTTACTGATGTGGGAAGGTGGGAAAAACTGCCCACTGTGGGCGGCACCATTCCCTAGATCTGGGTCCTGGGGAAAGGGAGAAAGCGAGCCGAGCACTAGCATGCACGCATACTTTGCTTTCTGATCTTGATTATGGATGTCATGTGGCCAGCTCCCTCAAGCTCCTGCTATAACGGTCTGTGACCTGGAATTATGAGCTTCTCCCTGCAGTTGCTTCTTTCACAGTGAAAGGAAACTAAGAAACCAACTAATTCAGAAAAAACAACAAGCTTTAAAAACGATTCCAGTCCTTACATGCTTAGGAACACCGAAATCTGACGCTAAAACCTTTTATCTATTCACAGGAAACAATCTGAAACACACCCAAGGAAATAATTTGAGATGAGCACCAGGGTTGGCACTCAGTCATGTTCGCAGTTCATCTCATCCCATATCCTACACACCCTGAGTGCCCACCAACAGGGAAGCCTTCATGCAAATTCCCATATAGCGGCTCAACAGGTGACTAGCAGACATTCTGGAAGCATGCTTTGTGGGGAAGTATTCCACCGTCAGTGCCATGAGGAAGTGGTCCACCAGGAAGGGGAACTGAAACAACCAAGATCCAAAACCTTCTAAACAATGTGGCACCAGGTCTTAAAATACTAGAAAAAGACAAGGTAAACTGAGACGTGAACAGAGAGGCTCTCCACCTAAAACCCAAATCTTCTGGACTGGAGAGATGGCTCAGTGGTTAAGAACATGCACTACTCTTACAGAGGACCTGGGTTCGTTTCCCAGCACCCACATACTGGTTCACAACCATCCGTAACTCCAGATCCAGAGGAAACACTGCTTTCGACCTCCTTGGGCATGGTGTACAGATGTACACATATATACATAAAATAAAACAAATATTAAAAAAAATAAACAAGCTGGGCAGTGGTGGTGCACACCTTTAATCCCAGTACTCGGGAGGCAGAGCCAGGTGGATCTCTGTGAGTTCAAGACCAGCCTGGTCTACAGAGTAAGATCCAGGACACCAAAACAACACAGAGAAACCCTGTCTTGAAAAAACAAAAAACAAAAAACAAAAAAAAAACAAATCTCAAATCTCCTAACTGGAAGTGTATCCCTTTTAAAATTCTGCAATTCAGGTATGTCTCTACTTCTCTATTTTTTTCAGCATTTGTATTTATTTTATTAATGTTATTTTTGTGTGTGTGCGCGCACATGCAGGTGCATGGACGTGTGAAGGTCAGAGGTCAACCTCCAGAGTTCTCATCATTTGCTCTCCATCTCATTTATTGAAGCCAGGTTTTTTGCTTGAACTCAGAGCTGGCTGACCTGACCAGTCTAGCTAGCCAGCTTGCTCCGGGGATTCCCCTGTCTCTACTTCCTGTGTCTTGAGATTATAGGCGGCCTACCAAAATTGCTTGGCATTTACATGGGTGTTGTGGATCCAAACTCTGGCCCTCACCCTTGTCCAGTACCTCACTCTCCTGCCTGAGCCATCTCCCCAGCCCTGTTTTTATCTGTTTGAATGAGCATTTCTTCTCTTTGGATTCCAGGTTGTACTGTATATGTGGAGGACCTGCCTGTCTCAGCTGGTCATCGGCATACAGACGCAGGGCACACCTGTGAGGCCATTCAGCTCCTGTGTCCCTCTTGACAGAAACCCACAAAATTCCCAAAGGAAAGTGAAGCGCTTGCCTTGTAGGAGAAGGAGGCCTCGCTGCTGCTCAGGCTCATGGAGCTGCTGGTCGGTGGGAGCTGCTGCAGCTGCAGACCTGCGCTGTGGGCCCTGTCCATGGCTGTCTAGTGGCACATCTTGCCTGGCCGGGTGCTGGGGCTGCTGCTAGGCAGGGTGCAGGCTGGAAGCCATCTCTCCCAGGGTCCACCTCCTTCCAGCAGCTTTCCAGGTCTCCTCTTCAGCAAACTGCGTTCTCTGGGCTCTTTTGCTTGATTCACAGCCTTCTCCTCAGGTTCCCCGAGAAAGAGGCAGCTCGTGTGTCTCTCCCAAGCAGAAGGGCGAGGGCGTGTCTTCTGACTCTGGCCAAGCTCTGGGTGGTGGAGAAGGACATGAAAAATTCATGCACATGAGACATAGCACCCAAGTGCATTGCTTAAGAATGCTTTTCACGCAAAGCATGACTGGCCACCCAAAGGGGACCCTGAAGGCATGATTATCAGGCCTCTGACCTCCTGAATAAAGAGATATTCTTTGAAAAGCTTTATACCTGGCCCTTAGACATCCCATTTCTTCTCCTCCTCCAGGACAAGATAAAAAAACCACCTACATCCACTTCTCCAGGTCTCCAAAATCAACAAATAGATCCCATGAGTAGCATCAAATAGGAGCCATCATCGGGTGTGGCAGCATATGCTTGCAATCCCAGCACTCGGGGGAGGCTGAGGCTGAGGCAGGAAGGACTATGGGATAGCCTGGGCTATATAATAAGATCTTGTCTTAGAGCAAACCAAATGAACAGTAACAACAATAAAACTCAAACCAAATCAAACATCAAATCATGGGGTTTTCAACTTAGGAAGGAAAGAATGTGAAGAAAATCCTGGCATGGGGCGGGGGAGGGACACTGAACTGGGAGGTGGGACCAGATGCCCATGTCAGTTTGGCTGTGGGTGACTCAGCGTCTTATCTGTAAAGTGTGGATAGTCATGTGGCTTCAAGCAGGATGACAATCACCCTGTTAATGTCACTGGACTGGTGTTTTCAGTGTTTCTCAAACTTCTCCCAAACACAGGAAAGGAAATCTGTACCAAGAGCTCATGGTTGAAACCCTACCACCATAGCAAAAGGTTCTATGAAGTCTTCTTATGCTTAGAAAAAAAAAATGAACATACAAACAAAATAACCCCTCCCCAAAGCACCAAACAAAACCCATACGGATTTAGATTCTATTGCATAATCTGTTTATTATGTTCTATGTTATAATCATTTATTATCGTCATGGATGTGTGTGTACGAATGCCATCATGTGCCTGTGGAGGTTGTGGAAGTCAGTTCTCTCCTCCCACCGTGGGTTTCAGGGATCGAACTCAGGCCGTTTGACAAGGTCTTTCACCGGCTGACCCACCTCACTGGCCCCTCCAGACATTTTGAATTGCTTTTGATCTGGCATGTGCTACCTTAGGTACTCTTGACCTGCCTACTCAACTTTTGAGTTAGTTTCCTTAGCCATAAAATATGGCTTATATTGTTTCTATCCCACAGGCTGCAGTAAGAATCTGATGGAATATGGCATGTAAAGGTGACATCGTAGATGGCCGGCAGGTGCCAACCGCCACTAGCATTACTTTATTTAGTTCTTATTTCCTAACACTCTTTATTGTGTGTATGGGCATGCATGCATGACATAGCACACACATGGAAGTCAGAAGACAACTTTGTGGAGTTCTTCCCACCCTACATGGTGGTCCTGGGGAATGAACTCAACTCATCAAGCTTAGCAGCAAGTGCCCCGACCCACCAAGCCACTGAGGCCCACTCCCCAATTTAACCCTGTAGTTTATTCATATCTACACGTTCCTATCTCCCAAGCGCGCACCCGAGGGAGGGTCCAGGGCTCAGCATGTGCTAAACAGTCTCTGCCAAGGCCCAGGCTTCAAAACACTGTGTATCCCATAGTTTCTAGTTCCTTCTGCCCCATGTTCCATGCCTAGGAATGTCAATGGCATGCACTCACATCACAAGACAGACATCATGCCCAGCACCTACAAGATGCCAAATGCAGGCTTGTACTAAGAAGGCAGCCATAAAGACCTGCACCTTGTGAAAGGGTCGAACGTTAAATCACTGCTGCTGCTCCCACTTGAGACAGTATTCCTGCCCAAGATACGGTCATCGGGGAACTCGCTGACTCTTATGTTTCTTACCTGTGAGGCCAAATGAATATAGGATTGCCCAGTGTCTGTGAAGGCATAATTACTTGTCATTAGATTGCATGTGTGTGAAAGCAATGCTGTGTTCAATGTCTCTATCTCTGTCTTGGCGTCATTAATGTGAGGGTGGTCTAGGGCTCTTTCTCCCTGGGAGAGACCTAGAGCTACATCCAGCCTGGTGTTGAAGGGGCCCTGGATTGAAGGCACCAGTCAGGTCCCCTGCTTCCTCTGGAGACCTAGCTCAGAGCCTGGCAAGGTGACTTGCATATATACCCACTCCTGACTAAATGTAGAACCCCTGATATACTGCAGTTAAAAAGAAAAGACAAGACAAAACAAAAAAGCCTTATTCAGGACGCATGACCACAAACAGATACCCAGCCCCACCCACAGGATGTCAGAGAAAGCAAACAGGCCTTGGGGACCAGCTAGGAAGGACAGCAGGAATTCAGGCCTTCTAACCTTCTTCAGGCCAGCTGGTTCTCTCTCTCCCTCTTGCCCGTGTGTGTGTGTGTGTGTGTGTGTGTGTGTTCACTGGCTTTTAAACAGCAGCTTCAGCAGCTTTCCCTCTCCACCTGCGGAACCCGCAGGGCTCTGAATGCACACAGAGAGGAAGGTCCTTCCTGGGCTAGCACATAGTCACCCCCAAAGCCTCCGTGGACTCTGCAAGTGGAGAGTTGCACTCCCTTATAAGGCTCACATTTTGGCCTGCTGACCGGTTGGTGTTGGTTTCAAAGCACTTTTCCAGGGCTGACATATGTCCAAGGGGCACACAGCCAACTCGGTGTTGACAGTCAGTCACAGCTCATGGTCATTGACCCAAGAGAGGAGAGAGAAGTCACCAAGCGCCTGCTTCCACCCAATCCCCCGGCCTCATACATGAATCACTCCTTAATCCCACCGATCAAGTTTTCCAGAGAGAAAAACAGAGCCTCACGGGCATGAGAAATAGTCAGTTTAGAAATTAGCTGTAACTGAAAACAAGGGTGTGTGTGTGTGTGTGTGTGTGTGTGTGTGTGTGTGTGTGTGTAGGGAGGTCTTGTCAACACCTGACGATTTAGTTTGACTAGAGAATATCGGTTTCATGCCAAGCTTTCCCTTCCCGAGGCTTTTGAGCACCGAAGGGTGGCATTCTCGGGTCCTTTCCCACTGAGCTGGACATTCGAGCGCCCGAGAGACACACCTCTGTTCCCAGCACACGGCTCCGTCCATCCATCTGCGAGCTGCACCGGCTATTTCCAGCATGCTGGAGTCGGCAGTACCATCCACTTCCTCATCTGGTAACGCCCAGAATCACCTTCATTAAGGCAAACCCGTGCCCACCCTCCTTGCAAATATGGAAGAAAAAAAAAAAATCGGAGGCAACAGGACCCAAGCCAACAAGGCTGGCCACAGCAAGGGAGATCGAATTTATATACTAGGGGGGTGTTAGATAGCTAAAAATGCGTTGCTTTCCCTAAAACATCAAGCCTGAATTCAAGTTCCCCTTCCCTCAGTCTTGACCACGACTCACCCGCGGCGTTGCTTCTAGATCCACCTATCCCAGGTTCCGGAGAAGCGACCGGGACACTCCGTGCCACCCCGAGGTACAGCCTCCTGGATCCTTTCCCAGCTCCGAGTTGCCAGGGGGCTGCTGTCAGTGTTTTGCTTTCAAAGGTCGAGACTTGATTTGTCACCCTGTCTGCCAGTCCCAAGCTGGCCGAGCTTCTGCGCAGGCGAGTGGCTGTCGGGAGGGGATGGGCGGGATATCCTGAGAAAATTGGCTGCGCCGCCAAGCTCGCTTGAAGCGTAGGGCCGAGACCTGGCGCTCACCTGGAGGAGTCCCCTCTAGTGGCCATGGGAAGAAGTCCCGACTGCTTTGGTTCCCAGGCTGCGGCAGCTCACCTCCACCTGCCGGACGGGTGGGATGGGCTTGAGCAGTCCGCCGGGTGTCCCCGCAACCTGCGCTAACAACCACAATCCCGGGACGTGGCCCTTGCTGCTTCCCACCAGGTAGTGAGTCCCTCAACATCGACACCCAGCAGAGCCTTTACGTGTCTCGGGGACCATGCGTACCCCTTCTTCCCTGCGCTTGCGTCCCACCTGTTGGCTGTATTGCATCCGTAATCTCCCAGCACGCCTGCCGCTCAGCAGTCCCAGAGGGCTGTCAATCATCCTAGCCCCACTCTGCCATTTCCCAGGGGTCCAGCTGTGACCCTGAACCTGCGCGCGGAGCTTCCACCTCGCACATTTTTTTCTGCACACGCTATTCGGTTCAGAGCCTTACAGCAACCTCTGGGGGAGAGTTTTACGAGGAAATGACATTGGGGCGACCTCGACCATGGGAAGGGGCTCAGGTGTGGGGCCAGAAGAGCTGGGAGGGAGCACTTAAGAGAGGCTGGAGCTGCCATATTGTATTATGGGAGATGCCTAAAGACCAGCTGGGCTGGTGCAACATTTTTTTTTTTTTTGAGGCGTGGGTGGCAGGAGCTGTGATCTGGGGAACGCGCCGGAGACAGTTTATAATAAAAGGCGTATCCCATAAATTTAAAGGGGCCACCGATGAGTTCAAGCCGGGCTGCGAAGGCGCACTGTGGCGGCCGTGAAACGGGTAAGGGGCTCTTGGAAAACTGCACGGTTGCCCTTGAGGACTGTGTCATCAACCCTTTCTCACACTCAGGGCGTGGATGGATACAAATACTCAGGTTTATTCCTTGGAGAGGATTTTCTGAGTGAGCAAAATTCCTAAGCCTTTGGTTCTAAGAATTTTAAGGAGTCATCAGAACAACAAAACAACAGCCACAAAACCCCAAACTCAGAAACAAAAACCCCAAATAGTTCCCTGCCTCAGGTCCTGGCATAATCAACCTAAACCCTAAAATTCTGGTAGCTTCTCTGCTGATTTTGAAACGGCTCTAACGATTGGCCAACAGCTTTTCACGTTAGAGAAACAGAGGACATCATTGGCTAGAGTTAGCCATCCGCCTGCCACCGGACCCTGGAATGTTAGGCCAGTGGTTGCCATAGCGACTGAACGGCGAGAGGCTAGACTGACTAGGTAGGAGCCAGCTCCTGTTGACGGGCCGGTCCTTGAGGTCGTGAGGAGGACTCGGCGCACTCCATGGGATACCCACTGAGACCTCCGGACTCTGAGTGCGTGCGGAATCTCTGTGCCCAACTGGGTGGTGCCTCCAGAGCCAGAAGGTGCTACTTGGTGTGGGGGTGGGGGTCAGTGTATACCTCAGTGTACCCATCTGAAAAGTGCTGCCAACTACGGTTCGCCTTCCCTTCAGACCCTGTGAGTGGTCTGGACATCTGACTCCCCCGGCTTCAGTCTTTGAGCGGCACCGGTACTGGGCTGCGCACGGGTAGACCACCAGGAGCTCTGATGATAGAACCCCTCTGGTACCTTGGGTCTTTCTCAGCAAGTCTCCCTTAATCGGGGGCCCCATTTTACCCATCTGTAAAATGAAAGGGTGAGACTGGAACCTTGGAGCCACTCGCCAGCTGTTATTGTTTGATCTAGGCCTCTGACACACTCTCTAATACCTAATGGGTCATTCCCCCGAGGCTTCAAAAGTCCCTTGAGTCTCACGCGTCTCCCACTTTCCTCAGGAAGGATGTTTTTAGTTGGAGGAAATCAGTGTAGATTCTAGGCCGTTGACCACCCATCAAGTGCAGGAGGCTCACCTGGGCAGCATCCTGTCCAGAGTCAGGCCCCATCTGTTCTCTACCGACTGCCTCGGCATTCCATGGAAAACTGGAAAACAAGACTGACAGTGTTACCTTTGGGCGGTGGGATAGTGTATTGTTTGACATTTTTGTAATTTCTTAAATTTTCCAAAAATTTTATAATTCGCATGAGAAGAAAAATTTCTTTTTTAAATCTCTTGAAATTTTTTTTTTAAAGATACTTCTCACTCTGTAGCCCTGACTAGCCGGGAATGCTCTATGGAGAGCTGGTCTCAGACCCACAGAGTTCCAGTCACCTCTGCCTCCTGAGAGCTGGCATTAAATAACTAACCCACCACACTAGACTTCCACAATGATTTTTGTTGCCGGTTTTTAAACTAATTTTTGTTTACTTTAAGTCTATAGATATTTTGTCTACATATGTGTCTGTGTACCATGTACATGCCTGGTGCCAGAAGGGGGCATCGGATCTCTTGGACTGGAGTTACATATGGTTGTGGGTCTCCATATGAATGCTTGGAATCGAACCTAGGTCCTCTGGGGGGAAAAATAGCCAGTGCTCTTAACCATTGGGCCATCTCACCAGCACTGTCATTTTAGTTTTTGAGATAGGGTCTTAACATATAGCCCAAGCTGGCCTCGAACTCAGTGTGTAGACCAGGCAAACCTTGAACTTCTGATCCTTTTGCCTCTTCTTCTTCTTCTCCTCCTCCTCCTTCTTCCCGAGATGGGTTTCTCTGTGTAGTTTTGGTGCCTGTCCTGGATTTTGCTCTGTCTGGATCTCAACGAGGCTGGCCTCGAACTCACAGAGATTCACCTAGCTCTGCCTCCCGAGTGCCACCACTCGCCCAGCTTGCCTCTACTTGAGTGCGTGGATTACAATATGTGCTGCTGCTGCTGATCACCCCAAGACTTTGTGCATGTTGGACCATATTCTACCAAAGGAGCCACATCCCCAGCATTCTCAAACTACTTCTGTAAAAGTGGGGCTGCAAACAGTTCTTACTAAAATAGCAAGGTCACACTGCAATGTGAGAGGTGAATCGTGAGTGCTTTCAGAGACACTAAAAGATGTTCTAGGGTCATTATTGATCATTGTCCTGAAATATCTTAATGTTTTCAAGCTGTTGTTAAAATCTTCCGTTATCCAAAAAGGCTACAAATTACAGCTGTGAAGATGAATTCAGCAAGGAGCACACACTGAGGAAGAAAGGTCTAGACAGACCTTTGTTTACTTAGTGCTCCATTCCTAGACGATGTGAGTTCCTTCGGGGGAAAGGGTAGAGTGAATCCTGAGTCTGCCCATGAAAAATTAACTGCTTTGGAGATGAAAGTGTTTGTGCTATTGACAATTAAAACAAAAACAAAACAGCCCCAGCTGCATAGATTGGAAAACTCTTGACGATCAGGCAGCAGGTGGCACAAAGATGCAGTCCCCGAGGGATGTTCCCTTCAGGTAGTGAGGGAGGAGTTTCCGGAGTGGCCCCCAGACTGGACGGGAAGGGAAGCCGACTCTAGCTTTCTGAGTTGAAGTGTATTAGAGATTGCACCTTGGATGGCCACACAGCCTGTTTGTTGAGAACTTGGTCCCTGGTCTTTGGTGGCATTGGGGTGGGGGTTGTGGACCTTTATTTGGTGGTATTGGGGTGGGGGTTGTGGACCTTTATTTGGTGGTATTGGGGTGGGGGTTGTGGACCTTTATTTGGTGGTATTGGGGATTGTGAACCTTTAGAAGGCGGGTCCTAGAGGAAGGAAGTTGTCACTGGGCAGGTAATCTGGAAGGAGATATTGGGACCTGGTCCTTTCCTGTTCCTTTTTTTTTTTTTCTCCTTCCTGGATGCCAGGCAGCGAAGAGCCCTCTTTCACTGCGTTGTGTTCCTGACGTCATGTACAGTCCCTGAGCAGCAGGACCAGTGGCTGGGAACTGAAACCCTTGAAGCTGTGAGCCAATGCAAGTCCTTGGTACTTTGTTCCAGTGGTAGGGAGGCCACCAACATAAGGACATGGAGGGCAGAGTTTAGAAAAGCCAAAGAACCCAAATATGATCTAAAATACCAGAGGAGAAAGTTGCATAGAAAAACGTTGGCAACCTGAAGAGATTTCTTTGAGTCTTGGCTGAAGAACAACCTGCCCAAGCTTGAGAAGTGTCCAACAAGGAAGCAGGAGGCAGGCCATTTCCTGTGGTCACATAACTGATTATATTCATGTTCCCATAGCCAGAATGGAGGGACACTGCTAGATAAGGGGTGGGCAGACTCTATAGAAGTGCCATGCCTCGTGACTGAGGGTGTGGTTCAGCTGGCAGAGTCTTGCCTAGCATGCATGTATGAAGCCCTGAATTCGATTCCCAGTACCACACACAGAGGGCATGGATGGTGGTGTATGCCTACAATCCATCAGTCAGTAGAGAGTGGCAGAAGGATCAGAAGTTCAAGGTCATCCTTTGCGGCGTAGTGAAATTGCCAGCCCAGGCTAAAGAGACACTGTTAAAAGGAAAAAAAAAAAGTATCATGCCTTACTAGTGAAGATAAACTTCTTCCAGAATAAAGGTTGTTCTGAATCTTTCACAGTTTGAAAACTTGGAGGGGTCAAATGAATCTGCAAGTTACTAAAAATAAAGCCAGGAGCCTGAACGGATGAGCACTGGCTGCTCCTCCAGAGGTCCTGAATTCAATTCCCAGCAACCACATGGTGGCTCACAACCATCTATAATAGGATCTGATGCCTTCTTCTGGCATGCTGGTGTACATGCAGAGCACTCATACATAAAATATAAATAAATTTTAAAAAGGAGTCAGTCAAACCTTTGAATGTGAAAGAATGAAATTTTCATACAATCTAGACCCAGTACAAAGATCCAGGACAATGTGACCCCAAGCAGGGGAGCAGTGCCAGGCATGACACACGTGACAGAATCAGCAGAAAAGGGCCCCCACAGAAGTGCTGCAGGAGCTGAGAGAGAGCACGGTCATCCCCGAGGCTGGACAGGAAGGTCTTTTAAAAAACAGAAAGAGAGCCGGGCGGTGGTGGCACACGCCTTTAATCCCAGCATTCGGGAGGCAGAGTCAGGTGGATCTCTGTGAGTTCGAGGCCAGACTGGTCAACAGAGTGAGATCCAGGAGAGGCACCAAAACTACACAGAGAAACCCTGTCTCGAAAAACCAAAATAAAAATAAGAGCTAACTCAAACTGGAGCTTGGGACAATGTATTAGAGTTTGAAAGGAGAAGCCCAGGGTGGGTGAGCTGTAAACCTCACAGCTGCCCGGAAGGGAGGAGCAGGATGGAGGAGAGAAGCAGGGATGGAGGTCAGTGGCATGGCAGGGACAAGATCTTTAGAAAAAGATTAAGGAAGCTCAGAGCATTAGGGAGTTTAAAAGCCCGCGAACTCTGGCCAGCATCTGAAAGAAAAAGAAGAAATCGTTACACCTGGGTGGTCAGATCCACAGAACCCCAGGGCGGCTGGTGGGGACTCCACTAGGGGAGAAGGAAACCGTCTTAAGGTAGAGATGTCCCCTGGACAGGTCCCAGGCCTTCCACTTGATTAACCCTCAAGGGAGGAGACAGAAGCCTGTCTCCACCATCTCCACCAAGGGGCAGATTCCTCTTTTACAGCTCCCACGGGTTGTCCACAAATTGTGAATCCTTGCTCTGGGGAGATGAGAACACGAGGATCCTGGGGACTCCCCCAGGTCAGCAAGTCAAAGCAGTCAGCTCCAGGTTCAGAGTGAGACGCTGTCTGAAATAATAAAGTGAGCAATTGAGGAAGACAATGTGGAGCTTCACATTCACACATATTTATGTATACACATGAACACACAGAGGCCATCGTGTGGCGTCTAGAAACGAAAAATACAATTAAAATGAAAACAATTGGTGAGATTCACAGATAAGACAGAACAATTCAGGTTGTCTGAACAGAGCTCAGAGATTAAACAAGACTGAGCTTCACAGACAACAGGCTCTCAGCCACCTTTAGGAAAACACCAAATGATCTAGCGCACGTATAACTGTCACCCTGGAAAAGGAGAGCAGAAAAAACTATTTGAAGAAGGAATGCAGAATGTTTTCAAAATCTGTTGGAAACTATGAACCTACCGACTCAGGAAATGCAGCGAATCCCAAACATTAAAAACCCTGAAGATGATCGTGCCAAGGCAGCATCAAATTCAGGTCAACGAGGGGCGGAGGGGGCAGAGGGGGCAGAGGGGCAGAGGACAGAACAGTGGTGGCGGCAGCAGGGGACCTCCGGGGGAAACGCCATTGTTCTGATCCGCTTTCTGCTGCTGTGATACGGGTCGTGTCCAAAAGCAACTTGGGCAGGAAAGGGTTTAATTCCGCTCACAGACCATCACGAGGGGAAGTCAAGGCAGAAATTCAAGGCAGGAACCTAGGTGGGGTGTGGTGTTCACACTTTAACCCCAGCACTCAGGAGCAGAGGCAGATAGAGCTGAGTTTTGAGGCTAGCCTGGTCTACATAGTGAGTGCCAGGACAGCCAGAGCATAGTGAGATCCTGTCTTTAAAATAGGTGAAGGCTGTCGTATGACACATTCTTAAAATCCCAGCACTGGAGAGAGAGACAAGAGGAACGCTGCAGGTTCAAGGGCAGCCCAGGCTACACAGTGAGATGTTGTCTCTAGGACAAAAGAACAACAACAACAACAATTAGGTGGGTTTTGAAAAAAAAAGGCACAAAGCAGACTCTGTGAGTTCAAGGACAACTTTGTCTACATAAGTAGTTTCAGGTTAGCCAGGACTACACAGACACCCCTGTCTCAAACAAAACAAAACGGCTCCTCAAACAACAAGAAAAGGGTACAGTGCTCACAGAGGAAGGAGGGTAAGGATTGCAGTGAACTTCTTCTCTGTGACCATGGGGGTCAGGAGATGGGGATGCAGCTCGGAGGGGGAGTGGGTGTCTAGCATGATCAAAGTCCTGAGTTCAGTGTTCAGCACCAAAACAACAGAAAAACACATTTAGGGCCCAGAGCAGGTCCTGTCAATCTCCAGTGAAAAAAAGAAAAAGAGAAAAGGAACCACTTTTAAATACGAGGCACATTTGGTTCAAAACAAAAGGCTGGGAAACGGTACAGATATTAATAGTAATCAAAAGACAGCTAGAGGAGCTGTAATAATAAGAAATGGACAGAACAGGAATATTCCCAGGGATAAAGAGAGGTATTTCAAAAGTACATACAGATCATATGTGTGCAGGTAGTTGTTAACAGTGCTTCTCCATACACAGAATACAAGTGAGAACACTGAACACAGAGATGAGCGGACAGTGATGTGGTACAGGGACCATCAGCACATCCCTTGGTACTGACAGGATAAATGGGAAATCGGGACAGAAAAGGCTTGAACACCAAGGTCGAGCAGTTTGACCAGGTTGACACTTGTGCAAAATACCGTCCAGCAATATCGAAAAAGAAGAAATCCACAAGAAGAAATCTGGGAGGTCCCCAACTGCTTGGAGGTTAAAAAGCAGACCTCTGCATTAAAAAAACAAAAAACAAACAAAAAACTGAAAGGAAAAGAACAATGTAACACATTAAAATATGTGATGCCATTAAGACTGCCTCTATGGATATGTTTAAGATAGTAAATATTACTTTACTAAGTGGCAAGAGAGATCTGAGTTTAGTGGCCCAAACTTTCTTCTAAGAGTTTAAAAAAAAGAAAAAGGGCATGTGACCCAGAGGAAGAAAGGACATGGAAAAGCTGTTTGCTTTTGAAAATATGGTTGGTCATGCTTGCCAACAAAAGTCTATAAAATATAAATCACTAATATGAGCAATAAAGGAGGGACATTGCCACAGATATTAAAAGGACAATTTGACCAGGTATGGGAGTGCACACCTTTAAACCCAGCACTTGGGCACAGACCGGCTGGTCTACATAGCAGAGTGACAAGAATAATCAAAGACCATTACCAACAACTTCATGCCAGTGAACCTCCTGAAGAGGAAATGGAAGAATTTCCTTGAAATGTGCTTATTACCAAAGTTCACTCAAGAAGAAACAGACTAGCCAGGCAGTGGTGACACATTCCTTTTATCCCAGCACTCAGGAAGCAGAGGTGGGTAGATCTCTGATCAAGACCAGCCTGGTCTACAGAGCTGACTACGCAGAGAAACCCTGTCTCAAAAAAACCAACCAACCAAACAAACAAACAAAAACAAAGCAGGAAACAGACAAGAGCCCTGTGTCTGTTAAGCAAAAGGACTGTGTCACTGAAAACCTTGCCCCAAGGAAACATCAGGCCTTGACTCCATTTGTGAATGGAAAGAAGAAATAATATCAATCCAAACATTTGGGGAGGAAATAATGCCAACACCAGGAAATAAAGAGAACTAGGGTGGGCAAGATGGCCTGGAAAGGCGCTTGCTGCCAAGCCTGATGACCCGAGTTCAGTCCCAGGGATCCACATGGGGAAAGGAGAGAATGGACTTCCTCAAGTCATCCTTTGACCTCCAATGTGCATGCACAGACACACAAATGAATGTAATGTTAAAAAAAGAAGAAGAAATAAACACTTTTCAATTCATTTTGTGAAGCAAAAGTCAAAGACATTTTAAAAAAGAAGAAAGCTAGCATCTAATAGTCATACACATAGGTGAGGACGTCTACATCACAACCAAGTAGCACTAATTCCAGAAATTTTAGCCTGGCATAGTGGCACACACCATTAATCCCAGCACTCAAGAGGCAGAGGCAGGCAGATCTCTGAGTTCGAGATCAGCCTGGTCTACAGAGTGAGTTCCAGACATCCAGACTTACACAGAGAGAAACTGTAGATGTAACCAACCGTCTTATTAAATAAGAAACACAGAACCAATGCAAAGAAGAAAGCCAAGAGATCAGAGCTAAGAGCCTTACCCGACTGCTTCAGGTAGCCTCTTCAGCCAAGAGACCTCTCCAAAAGAGACCTACTTCCTGTCTGTTTGCCTTTATATAGACTTTCTGTTCTGCCTTCTCATTGGTTATAAACCCAACCACATGACTGCCTCATCACTGCCTGTATGTACAGCCCCCCAGGTCTTCTATGGTATTGAGATTAAAGGCGTGGTCTCCAATGCTGACTGTATCCTTGACCACACAGAGATCTACCTAGCTCTGCCTACCAAGTGCTGGGATTAAAGGCGTGCACCACCAATGCCCAGCTTTTGCTATGGCTGTAATAGCTCTGACCCCCGGGCAACTTTATTTATTAACATACAATTAAAATCACATTTCAGTACAAATAAAATACCACCATAAGAAACTGCCTTGAAAAACCAGCCAATCAAACAACAACAAAAACTTCCTAGAGCCAAATGTGTTGGCACACATCTTCATTCCTGGCACTCAGGAAGCTGAGGTAGGAGGATTTGCAAGTTCTAGGCCAGCATGGGCTATTAATATATAAAGACACCTTGTCTCAAAAATGAACCAAACAAGTGAAAAACCAAAAACAAACAAAAAATGTCTAACATCCTAATTAATGTAGAAAGACCATGTGCATACCTACTCAAGCTGGTATTAAAATAAATACCAGTTATCATCAGCTCCATCCAGGTGGCTTGGGTGCCCTGTGCAATGCAATGTTATAAGGGAAAAAGTAACGGCCAGACAGATAGAAAGGGAGGAAATAAAGCCCTTCGTTATGTATAGATGCATATATTTATTAAAATTTCTAATCTGCAGAGAAGCTTTTATTACTGAAAAATGAGGCTAAGTTGGAGGACACAAGATCAATACATAAAAATCCCCAGAAATAGAGAATTGGAAATGGACATTTTGGGGGGTTGGGAGATTCAGCTCAGTGGCATCATACAATCCCCCACCATCATAAAACAAAAGGCAGTTTTGTTCTTGTTTTTTGGAGACAGGGTCTCATGTCAAGACTTTTGCAAAATTCCATTTTCATGACATAAAATATGAGCAGCAGGCGAAACTCTGAGCTCAAGGCAAGCCTGGTCAACAGAGCAAGTTCCAGAACAACCAGGCCTACACAAAAATCCTGTCTCGAAAGAAAAAACAAACAATAGCAAAACAAAACAAAAACAAAAAAAAAAGAAAGAAAGAAAGAAAGAAAGAAAGAAAGAAAGAAAGAAAGAAAGAAAGAAAGAAAGAAAGGAAAGAAAGAAAGGAAAGAAAGAAAAGAAATATGAAACCCCTAGGGTCCATCTATGAAAATCTGTGTTGGGATGGGGAGCTGGGCTCATGAGTCAAAGCTGCCTGGGGGCCTGAGTCTGGATCTTCAGGACCCCTGAAAAGCAGGACACAGCAAACAAGGCAGACGGTGGGGACTAACACCCAAGGTTGTTCTCTGACCTTCCCATGCGCACTGTGGCACATGCATGCCCCCCTCACACACACACCTCACCCCTGCCACTGAGGTTCACAAAAATACGCAATATTGATGCACTTACAAGGACAAAATACTGCTGAGAAATGTAAAGATATCAAAATAAATGGAGAGATACACCATATTAGTGGATCAGAATCCCCAAGGATGCTAAGCTATTCTCACTGAATTTTTGATGCCATGCCAATCAAAATCTAGTAAGAAATTTTTTAATGAGTAAACTTTTTAGTGTGTGTGTGTGTACGCTCATACATATAAAGTGCAGGTGCCTGTAGAGGCCAGAAAAGGGCATCTGATTCCTGATGCTGGAGTTCCAGGTGGTTTGAACTGCTCTATGTGTGGATTGTTGGAAAGTGAACCTGGGTGTTTTGTAAGAGCAGTACATGCTCTAACCACTTAGCTGCCTCACCAGTCCCAGGAAGATTGTGTGGTAGCAGTTGATCTGTTGATGGTAGCATTTGTGTGGCATTGTAGAAAGGCAGTTAATGTGACAGGAAGCTCAGTAATTGGCAGATGCCAGATCTAGAGGGAAATGACTGTAAAAGCACACGGGAACTTTTTGGGTTTTGGATAACCTTAATGTCTTAGTCTTGGTGGTATATAGCCCAACCGCACACACTGTCAAAACTTAGACTCATATATTTACCACTGAAGGATTTTATGACATGTAGATTATATCTCAGCCAAGCTAAGTTAATAATAAAAATAGCTGGGCATTGGTGGCGCACACCTTTAATCCCAGCACTCGGGAGGCAGAGCCAGGCGGATCTCTGAGTTCAAGGCTAGCCTGGTCTACAGAGTGAGATCCAAGACAGGCACCAAAACTACACAGAGAAACCCAATCTCAGAAAAAAAAATGAAAATAATATCTAAAGCTTCAGTGACTGTATGTAACGGTGAGGGTGAACTTGTGTGGCCTCCTTGATTCCATCAGTAGTGTGAGCTCCTTAATTCTGTCAGTACTGTGTGCTTGGAATCTGCGGTGGCACAGCATTTGGTACATGTCAGCTTCTGCCCCACAAGATCTCTCAACCTAACCCACCATTAGCACAGAGCTGACCGTGGTGTGAAATGACCCCTGAAAATGCTGTATCTTATTTCAGGTGTTTAGAAGAATGCGAGGCTGAGGTTTTCCTCAAAGGGATTGAACATGCCCCAGAGCTTAGCTAACATGGACAGCATTCTCCTGAAAGATGAAGACCCTGGCAAACGGATCAAGCATGGCGACAAAGTACAGAAAGGTGCAGTGGATTTAAATCACAGTTATGCCCACTCTATGTAAGAGCACAGTCGGGAGGATTAGGAAACCCTGGGTGTTATCCACAACACCATCATCTGATAGTGTATCAGATGGATTGCCTTCAGCCCTGCTGACCAGAATGTAGATGGGGAGAACTGTAAGAAGGGATGAATGAATGGGAAGGCGGCTGTCCCTTCAACAACAAAACGATAATGTGCTATTTCCGAATGTCCACTGCTGGGAGCTTCCCCGGCGGTGCATGGGTCCTGCAGAGGATGTAAGGAGTCGATGGAGAAGGAAGTGAGCCAGGCCACAGTAGTCGGGAGAATCTTGAAGCCTGACTGACTAGCAGCCAGAGTGGTGTTTTTTTTTTTTTTTTTTTTTTTTAAATTTATACAGAATTTAGTTAGCAGGGATACATTCATGATGTTCCAAAACATAGATCATATCATTTTTGGTTTTGGACATGTGTTTCACTTCCTTTTGCTCATCTTTTAGTCATCATTAATAAACTATGACAGAACAGAATTATCATTTCCAATAATTTCCCCTCAAGTTTTGACATCATTAATAAACAGAGTTATTATTCTTACTCATTAACCCCATAACCCAGTTTTTGAGAATCTAGAGGCATATGACAGTCTGTGCTTAGGCTGGTTGCTTTGGTTGCTTCAAGGACACTAGACCAAAACAAAATCCTCAACCACCTTGGGCATTTTGCCATGTCTCAAGCAGTGTGTTATTAACTCTTAGTGGTCAGAGTGCCCAGGAAAAATCCTCAGGCTAAAGCTGCTGCAATTATTATTTAAATTCTGGCATAATACAATCAATATTTATATTTATATCCTTATAGAATTTGTCTATATGTCTAATCCTGGCATTCTGTTGTTCCTTGGTTATATGACATTATAGTGGCTCTGCATGAGCTAACTTCTAAGAGAGGGAGGTCCTAACATCTCATACTTTTATCACCTTTCTACTCCATACTTTACTTATCAATATGTCTCTATGTAGGGCAGAGTTGTATGCCACATAATTGTCTGAGTGTACAGTGGGAAGAGGCTTGTAATCTGAACTGCGTACAATTCCTCTAGCCTACCTAATCTTGTTGACCTTTTTAATTTTACTTTGTTTTGAATATCTTGTTCCTGTGTAAGTACAGGGACAGATGTTTCAAGAATGTCTCATAGCCTCATGAAAAGACCTCTGGCTTCTTTATGTGTCACAACTTCCAAGGCATAAGGAAGACCTTCAAGTAGATAAGGATATCTCCCTCAAAGTGGGGGCGGGGAATAGTATGTTCAGGACTTTCCTGGGCAAGCTTAGAAGCAACATTCCTGGGAGAAGGCATAAATGATTCATAAGAAATTTTCCATCAACCCAATATCCTCAAATTGTACAAATATTAAAAGTGCCCCAAGTATGCAACAGGTGGAGATGAAAACCAAAGGTGGCATGGCAGCCATCATGTGGCTCAACTCTGCTGGATCCTTGTCAAGCAGCTGTGCTGGCTTTATGACTTCTGCCATTCCATTAAGATATGGCTGTGCCATCCGGCAAGAGTCACATTCTTGGATTTAATTGTGTAACAGGTCTTGCTTGATTTCTGACAACTAAATGCTTACTGCAAGTTCTCATTCATTTCACTTTTTTTCTGGGTTTATAGTTGAAATATGTTCCTTGTAGGCAGCATCTAGTTGGGTCTTTCTTGTCCAGTCTGACAATTCCTGTCTTTTAACTGGAATGTGTAGACCACTTAGCGTTTAATGTGGTTAGGAATGTGTAAGTCTGTTGATTTGTGACTTCCTTTCTGTCCTATCTGTTCATTCTTTATTGGTTCACTCTTTTCTATTGAATATTTTAATTTTTAAAGCATTTTATTTTATTTTGTATGTTTGGGGCCGCGTACCATGTGCATGCAGTGTTCGAAGAGGCCAGAAGAGGGTGTTGGATCCCCTGGAACTTTAAGTACAGATGGGTGTGAGCTGTCATGTGGGTGCTGGGAATTGACCCTGGGTCTTCTGGAAGAGCACTCATGCTCTTAACCTTGCAGCCATCTCTTCAGTTCCATTTTAATTTTTAGAAATCACACATTTATTTTGTATGTGCCTGTGATGAGGCACATGGACAAGAGAACAACTTTGGGAGTTGCTTCCCTCCTTCCACCATGGGCTTCTTAGGGACTGAACTCAGGCTTGGCACCAAGAACCCTCGCCCACTGAGCCATTATCTGACCCTGTATTGAACTTTTGTTTTTAATCCAAAGAGGACAGTTTTATTGATGCTTGAAAGAAAAGCCCTAGAGCAGACAAGCAGTAAATCTCAGCAGCTGCCAGGAGGAAGACAGAGAAGAGCAGGAGAAAATGCCACACTGGCCGCATGTCATCAGGGAGCCACATGGCGCACATGTGTGTGTGTGTGCATGTGTGCGTGCATGCGTGTGTGTGTGTGTGTGTGTGTGTGTGTGTGTGTGTGTGTGTGTGGTGCTGTAGAGAAAGAGTAAGGAAGTCTAAACTACTAATATAAGTATACTTTTGTTCTGGCCAGAATCCATGAGAAAGAGATAGAAAAAGGAAAAGGAAAAGTGGTATCTTTCTGAGTCACAAAGGTGGGCAGACCCCCTGAACCTCATGGCCGCTAGTAAGGACTGCCTATATTGAGTTCTCTTTTGTTAGCTCACTATTTGTCTGGTTGTTTATTTATTTTTTGAGACCGTGTCTCATATGTTCCAGGCTAGCCTTGAATTCAATATCTAGCCAAGGGATGACCTTGGATTTCTAATCCTCCGGCCTCCAGTTCCCGAGTGTTGTGAGTACAGGTGTGTGCCATCACACCTGGTATTATGTGGTGCTAAGGATGGAACCCAGGGCTTTGTGCATGCTAGGGAAATACTCTACCAGCCAAGCTCCATCTGCAGCCTAGGATGACTCCTTATGGCGTTTACCTAGCGGTCACATGGAGCAAACACTAGCGGCGTGGCACTGATGCTGTCTTATTTTTGTTGCTTAGGTTTTACCGCTGCTGATGCTGTCTTATTTTTGTTGTTTAGGTTTTACCGCTGCTGATGCTGTCTTGTCTTTGTTGTTTAGGTTTTACCGCTGCATACCCAACCCAAGCCTCCATTCCTTATAAATACAGAATATCAATAATCCCGGAATCAGAAAAAAAGGGATTTAACAGCCAAGCCAGGAGATTCTATCACAAAAAGGTAAATGACATTGCCTTCAAAATTCTTTGCTTGGATTTTAGCTGTTGTGTTTTTCTGTGAACAGCAGAGGGCAGGATCACCCAAGGAGCTGCCCCATCCTCCAAGGAGGCACACTGTCAGTATAGTAAGAACCAGCCTGAAATTAATTCATGATTGATTGATGGATCTGCTTATTTGCTGTGTTGGAGATTCACCCCAGGACTTTGCATATACTATGTGCTTGGAAAACATGGTCAGGGGTCTTGCTATGTAGCCCAGGCTGACTTTGAACTGAGGGTCCTCCTTCCTTGGCCACCTGTGTGTTTGAATTGGAGGAATGTGCAACCACACCCTGTAGCAAAAATTATCTTTAATTTTAAAAGAATAAAAATACAAAATCTTCCAAAGCGTATGTACAGGTAGTAGATGATAAAAACCACCCCACTCTGATCTGAGGGAATGACATAATCCCCCAGCTAACACATGGGTAAACAAGTTTCTAATAAACTTATAGTTGTGTTTGTGATGAGCTCCCCCATTAAAAATTTCCTAAAACAACAACAAAAATAAAATAAAATTCATTTAGCAATGTCTTATTGTTACTACGGGGCCTGGTAAGACGACTTAGCAGGCAAAAGTGCTTGCCACCAAGCCTTGAGCCCTGAGCCCCATGGTGGAGAGTAGCCAATCCTTTTTTTACTTTTTTTTTTTTAAATTTTTTTTCTAGACAGGGTTTCTCTGTGTAGTTTTGGTGCCTTTCCTGGAACTCACTCTGTAGCCCAGGCTGGCCTCGAACTCATAGAGATCTGCCTGCCTCTGCCTCCCGAGTGCTGGGATTAAAGGTATGTGCCACCACTGCCTGGCGCCACTTCTTTTAAAACTTGTCCTCTGATCTCCACCTGTATGCCATGGTATGTGCACACACATGAGTAAATAAATAAATGCAATTTAAAAATAATGCTATACTTGGCTTTCTCTATCCATCCCCATCCATCTAGATCTCCAAGTCTGGGAAGTTCTGGCTGTTTCCTGGCCAACCTTCAACTTATTTCTGGGGTCTGACCTTCTCCTTTCCTACCAGCAGGGGGCTGTAGCAACTCACAGGCATCCCCATAGAGGCTTCACCTCTTCACATCCCTCCTCCTTTTAAGTAGGACCCTGTGAGTAGCATGCCTTTGGAGAAGTGGCCATCCCAGTCACCTTCTGCTGCATTCTGCAGGTGACTGTCATCCTCCCACCTTCCCTAGCTGGCAGAGAAGGGGTGGGAGGACCCCGGTTCTGAACACAGGTGAGGTATGCCATCGACCCCCGCCCCAGAGCCCTCACCCCAAGGACTCTTCCTTTGTGAGCTGGAATGCGGAACTAGAGAGTGGATTAAGTTCTTTTAACCTCTGAATTACCTCAGGATGCTATGAAGCCTGCAATAAGTAATATAGCACACACATATTTTAGAATCAGTCCCTGGTAGCTTTGCTCAGGATGATAAATATTTGCTCAGGCGTTTTTCCTTTTTCTCTAGTTTCTCTGTATTTTAGCTGTCAGCCTCTTCCCCACTTAGCTGGGTGGGTTCCCGTGGATCTGCTTTAATGATAGTTTGTTAGCTGTCCATGTCCAGGGTGTTTGCAGCTTAGCTTCCAATAAAAAGAATAGTAGCTGTCACTGACCAATCCCTAATATGTGTTAAAGCATTTTTAGATCGTATCACTTCTCTCCAGAACAATGCGAAAAGGAAGGGTTTAGTGTCTTCATTGAACATAAGAGGAAACCGAGGCTTAGGGAGGCCAAGTGACCCACCCTCGGTCACACAACCAGGGTTTGCCACATAAGAGGCTTTAAATAAATATTTGCTGAATCAACGTTGAAAGAATTAGGACCTCAACCCAGGCGCAGCTCAATCCAAAGCCTCTCGCTCTTTCCACACGGGCCACGCCTGCCTTTGTGGTCTTCGAGGCTGTAAAGTTGGTTGATGAAAGTCAGCATAGCATGCTTCTGGAACAGCCTTGGCAAAACAGACGGATCTCCAGGGAGGGCAATAAATGCTCCTTGCCGGGGCTACATCCCACGTGGCATCCCACTCTGAAGACTGATCCAGGAACTCCAAGTACTGTGTGAAATTCTATCATGTCTCCTGCCCAGGGAGCTGGCGTGGCCACCAGCCAGAACGGCAGCCACATAGATACAGACAGAGACCACTCGGAATTGTCCAAGGTGGTTGTATCCATTTGATGCAAAAGCTTTCATCTGAGCCTTTGAGAGCTTTTTTTTTTTTTTTTCTTCTTCTTTTCTTCAAAAGCCTGGGTCTCTACAGACCCAGCCCTCTGTGTTCTCTGTTCCTAGCTAGCAGCCTTGAGAGCGGTCACTTGTCCTTTTGGGCATCAGTTTCCTCATCTGAAACATAAAGGTTGGGGTTGTGTAATTCCTGGGGAGTTATATAATCCCCGTGCCCCAAGCACGGAGAATCCACTCCTTCCATGCTCCGTGCCTGACATTCTCATTTTTCCCGGGGGAAATGAGCGTGGAGAAGTAATGCGCTTGCGCGGCATCACCCAGTAATTTGGTGAGACAATGCAAGTTAACAACAGATTCGAAACCTCCCCGGCCTCGCCACCCTTCTTAAGACAGGAGGCGCACACACCCTGTGCTGAGCCCACACCCGGTCATCTGCTCACCTTGGAGCTGTGACCCACTTAGCCTGGCTTTACCACGGTGCCCTCAGAGGCAGGCACTCATCTTTACTGCAGCTGAGCCTCGGGGCCAGTTTATATTCCTTACAAGACTCCCACCTCCGTGGTGCCAGTGAGATGGCTCAGGGGTCAAGGTATCCCCTGGCAAACTTAATGATCTGAGTTGGGTCTCTGGGATCCCCGTGGAAGGACGGAAGTGACTTCCTCAGGTTGTCCTCTGGGTCTCTACTCTCATGTGCTGGTATGTGTGCACCATTGCACACACACTTTCTCTTTTAAAGTAAAGGAATCTCACCACAGGGGGTGTGAGGGTCCTGCACACACTTGTGTCTAAATTGGCACTTTGGATTGCTAGGAATAAACTTTGTGATTATTTACAAATGTGCAGCTATCTTTACGTTCCCGAGGAGACATGCCTCTAGGGGACAAAGCCCTCCCTGTCCAGCAGCCCCTTGGACATTTTCTTCCCTCTCTCCCAACTTCAGCTCCATCTCTCCCATTTTCCCAAGCTATGTAGCTGTAAGGGCAACACCTGGTGTCTCTGCATCTGTTTCCTCCTCTTAAAAATCAGAGTGTTACATTAGATTAGCTTCTCCTGGGAGTGACGATTGCATGCCACCCACCTGCTGCCTTCCATTTGAATGAATACATGTGGGCAGAACAGGGACTCTGTCTTCTAAGTGGGCACCATTTAAGCTGCATGATCAAGGGGCTGGAGAGATGGCTCAGTGGTTTGGAGTATTTGTGGCCCTTGTAGAAGACCTGCGTTCGATTCCCAGCACCCATAAGGTTGCTCTTAAAATGCATAACGAAATGGAGTGTGCTGGCCCATTCCAGCACCCGGGAGGCTAAGGCAGGAGAATCAGCAGTTCAGGGTCACCCTTGGTTGTATAGTGAGTCAAAGTTCAGCCTGACGTAGAGAAAGCCAGCTCAAAACCAAACTAGTTAGCTATCTAACTAACTTGGTAGTTCTGTACAGGGTCTGACTGGAGATCTACCCTCCCAAACAGTCGGGGCCAGAGTTTAAATGGTTATGAAACCATGCAAGGTTATGTTTACGGATTAACTCAGATAGAATTTATGACGCCAAGTGCGTGGGATGCCATGCCTGGCTCTAGGCTCTGCTGTAGGACCTCCCGCATAAGCCTGGGCCCAGGAGCTGAATGCTGGCTCCCTCATGGCCTCTTCAGGCACATCCCAAGGTTAGGTGGATAGGGATCATGTCCTACTTCTAGAACCTGCAGAGACTGCCCATCCAATGAGCTCTCCAAGTGTCTCTCAGCCAAGTGTCACCCAAGCTGTGTGTTGGGTGCAAGGAGGGGACACATCTACCAAGCGTTGCTTGCTCAGTCCCATGCCCACAAGATGGTCCTGGCTCTGAGGGGGCTGTGGTGGGCAATGACTTCTATTCTGCTTACTTGGAAGTGTCTCATCTAAGAGACCATGGGGGTGGTTGTCCACACCTGGTTTTATCCTGCCCACCCTGAGGGTCCTGCCTCACTTCCAGCAGCCTCACAAGGACCCTCTGCATCTGGGTTCTCTGCACCTTTGGGGGTCCTCTGGATGTTATGGAATCCAGCTCTTCCCCCACTGTAGCCTTGGGTGATTTCTCCAGGGTAAATATTCCTACATGGCCGATCCCAATGACCACTGTCGGGATTTTAACGGTTCCCATCACGGGCCAGCTCCGGCATGCAACAGCCCAAGAGATTCTCTTTGGACCTTTATCAAGAGCAGATTTCGTCCCCACAGGCTAAACAGAGACAGCCCTGTTCCCATGTGCCTTGGACTCTAGCCATTTTGCAGTTTGACCCAGTTGATGGATGTCCAGTAAAGTTGTCAGATTTAGCAAAGGAAAATGTAGATGCTTGGATAAATTAGAATTGCAGATAGGTAATTATCTTAGCATAAGTATGTCCCAAATACTTCATGGGCTACGCTTAAGCAAAAACAGCTATTTACTGTTTGTGATTCTAATTTACCTGGGCAGGTTGAGAGGAAGCCGTGGGTGTGGGCAGAGGTGTGCTAGAGATGTGCTAGAGATGTGTCCTCCCTGCCCACTGTTCATACCTGTAAGAGTCGCATAGCAGAGGCTGGAGAGCTGGCTTAGGAGTTAGAGCACTGGCTGCTCTTGCAGAGGACCTAGGTTCAATTCCCAGCACCCACATGGCAGCTCAACTGTCTGTAACTCCAGTTCCAGGGGATCCAATGCCCTCCTCTGGCCTCCACGGGCACCAGGCACACTCATACATGCAGGCGAGACACTCATACACATCATCATAATTAGTCACACGTGACACTATGATTCCTGCGCAGCTGTCCCTAGTGACAGGGACCCTGGGATCTCACTAGGATCCCAGCACCTTGAGGCCCAATGAGGTTAAAGTTACTCAAGATCAGGTAGCTGACCAGCGCAGAGGACAGACTTTCCAGTTCATGGCCCTGGGGAAGGGTTTTTCTTTCATCCCGTACAGTCTCGTCTGAGAGGCTGTTGGTGTCCGTGGTTCCTGACTCTGACTTCCGCTGGTTGGGCAACATTAGGTCGTGTTTCTTTTGACCCCATCCTCTCAGTTTCCCAATGAAGAGTCATTGAGACAGTGAGCCATTGTGAAGAGTCAGTGTGTGCTGGGTACAGTGGGCAAACAGCAGTCCGGGAAACTGACGTCCCCCTGTGGTCCTTCTGACTCTTGGCCTGGAAGGCTGTAGCCTCTGTTTGTTCTCTCTCTCTCTCTCTCTCTCTCTCTCTCTCTCTCTCTCTCTCTCTCTCTCTCTCACACACACACACACACACACACACATTCAGTCCCAAGATCCTGCTAACCTATGCCTCTGTTCTTTATAACAAACTTCAATCACTCTGTGCCCACTCTCCAGATTGGAAAGTTCTGGAAGGCACTGATGGTGCCTCAAGCTCTCCACCTAGATAAGGCAGCAGGGACAATAGAGGTAGGTTGTATCTGTGACTGAGTGGAGCTAGCCAACTCTGGAATCTGGGTCCAAGGACTCAAGTCTGGGGTTCACTGCTTACTGGCTGTGGCCCCACATGCCCAGCTTCCATTTCCTTAGGTGGCTTTGGTGACGCACCCACTTCCAAGGGCACTCACCATGTGCTCAGCATTTGGACTTTGGACAAATTCATCTGCATGTGCCTCGTTTGTGAAATGGGGACAGTAATCCCTTCCTCATTGGGTGATGGCGAAAATGAGATTAGCTTTAAGAGGCTCCCAGCACCAGGCAGGACCCGGGAAACTGTCCCAACAGTGAAGCGTCTCCTCATTTCATGCCACTTGCTCCTCCAGCTTTTCTCAACACTGGTGTCCCCTTAGTAACTAGCACCAGAAATGAGCTAGAAGCTTCTGGAAGCCCAGGTAGCTTCAGCAGCAGAGCTAGCTCTGAACACGGCTTCTGCTGGCTGCTCCCTGGCACCCCAGTCTCAAGTTGCCCTCGGGCCCCATGGGCTCACCTTATTTTGTCTCCAAGTTCAAGATGGCCTCATTTGGAATGAAGGTTGTTTTTGTTTCATTTTGCTTTATAAACAGAAACACTCCCCAATTTCCCTTCTCAGAGGCCTCAGAAGGAAGCTGAGTCAGGTGGGTGTGGTTACCATAAAATCGGTCACCCTCCCTCCCTCTTTACCTCGGGCTTGGCTGACCCGGTCCACGGAGGCTGACATGCACACCGGCACATTTCCCTAATGACATGAGAAACAAAACCTCCCCCAAACAGTGTTCCTTTAGAACCCAGGCTGGGGGCTTAGTGGAAAGAGCAGGGGCTTTGGGAGACCCGACCAGGATTAGAATTCCTGCCCCTCCCTCGGGAACTGTGATGGCGATTGGGCAAGTCAGAGAAATGGTGGCGTGAAGCTGTCACCCCTGAAAATGATGGAGCCTGCCCTGTAGGATTAGAGGAAGGCTTAGTTTTAATGGATGGAAAGCTGGCGGAAAAGCGGGTTGAAGTTACCGTGCCCAATGACGCTGCATTCTTGTCCTTTTCAGGACAACATCCCAGGCCCTGGGTTCTACAACGTCATCCACCAGTCTCCAGTGTTCAACAATGTCTCTCTTTCCAAGAGAGGAACCTGCACTTTTCCTTCCACGGTGAGAGCCCTTGGGTGTTACCCACTCAGTCAGTCCCTCTGTTCACTTCAGTCCCTCTGTTCACTGCATAATGACACAGTGGACAGCTGGTCCTTTCTCTCCAAAGGTCCCTGTTCTGATTAAGACCGCAGCCACTTCCTGTGAATTCCCAAAGATGGATCTGAGCCCGTGTCTTTAGGCCACTTGTCTCCACGGATGCGTGTGGACGAGGTGGGGGAAGAGCCAGGGCTTGGTTGCCTTCCTGAGGCTTTTAGCTATGCCAGGGAAACTGCTGTGTCTGGGCCCCAAATAATTTTTTGTTTTGTTTTGTTTTTCAAGACAGGATTTCTCTGTGTAGTTTTGGTGCCTGTCCTGGATCTCGCTCTGTAGACCAGGCTGGCCTCAAACTCACAGAGATCCGCCTGGCTCTGCCTCCCGAGTGCTGGGATTAAAGACGTATGCCACCACCATCCAGCTCCAAAATGATTTTTAACACTTGCTTCATATAACTGGGTTGTTCAAATCATTGGGAAGTTGGATGGACCAAAAAAAAAAAAAAAGAAAAGAAAAAGAAAGAAAGAAACTAGGGGTGCTGTTTGAGGGCATGCAGGGTAGGAGGTGCTTCGGCCAAAGCTGATGGCCTGAGATGGATTGCTGGGACCCACATGGGAGAAGAGAGCTGACCTCTGATCTCCACGCTCGCATCCTGCCTGGCATGCTCGCATCCTGCCTGGCATGTGCATCCTGCCCCATACTAGAGAAGAGAGAGAGAGAGAGAGAGAGAGAGAGAGAGAGAGAGAGAGAGAGAGAGAGAGGGAGAGTGTGTGTGTGTGTGTGTGTGTTATCACTCGTGACTTTATCTTTGCTGAGACTCCTTGCCGTCCAATACACAAATGAAGTACCAGTGAGCCTGAGCAGATGTGGGTGAAGACAGCGTTCTTCTGTTTCTGGGTTGGTGTGTGTGTGCTGAGGATGGCACCCACGGCTGTCACCACTGAGCTATGGCCTCAGCCTTAAGGGACTCAGGTGAGGGAGCGAGCCAAACAGAGCAGGGCTGCCTGAGGTGAGAAGCAGGCGGAGCAGAGCCAGAATCTGCCATCAATAGAACACATGCGCCTGCTTGTCCCTGTAAAGGTCATGTCGGTCTCTTGCATAGACACAGCCGATGTCTGACATGGGGCCTGACTTTCTATTACCCTCACACAGTGGGACCAGTTAGGGCCCGCCCAATGCAGCCACCTCTTGTTGGGAGTCGGGCTGGCAGGGTGGAATATTCAGGAACAAACTGACTTAGGAGTGAAAGTTCACAGTCTCCGAGCCCTCAGCGAAGTCACGGGATAGACAGGAGGAAGACCCCAAAGCAACCGTCACAGAAGTGCCTCGTCACAGGCACATGCCGCAGCACCGGCCCCGGCACCGAGACCTCATCCTGACTCAGCTGTGGAGCCTGGATGTGACCTCAAGCACGTCACCCTTCTGTGTCCCAGTTCCTCGGAGACTCCCTGGAGGCTCTGGGCGAACTGCAGTGAGCAAGACTTTGAAAGTGCAGAACAGTGTAAACAGGCCATGATCTCGCACTGTCGCCCGCCTGAGTCACCCTTCAGACTGCCCATAGCGCCTAGGCTCTCTCAGGGGACTCCTTTGCCAGACAGTGCACTACAATTCCTCCTTGGTGCCAAGAAGGGGCTGGATTGGAGACGCAGTGAGGACCCTGCCAGTCTTCTCCGGCGGTGACTTTCAAATGGTTCGGCTATCCATCCAGAGAAGGCCTGAACTGTAGAGTCCAACCAGGCCTTTTACTTCTTTAAAAAAAAAAAAAAAAAAAAAAAGACACAAAAAAAAAAAAATTAAATCTTTAAAAAAAAAAAAAAAAAAAAAAAAAGCCCCAGAAGAAGGAGATGTGGGTCTGCTCCACCCTTGGTGCGAGACTTCAGCTTTATATTTGTTGTTTTAAAGAAAAGGTGGGTTTTTAATTGTCTAGGAATGAGGGCAGGTGCCTGCACTGGCCAGCAGAGGGTGCCAGGTCCCCAGGAACTGGAGTTATAGGCTGGTCTAAGTTGCTTGATGTAGGCGCTGAGAATCAAATCCAGGTCCTCTGCTGCAATGCTAGAATGCCTGAGCCATCTCTCCAGCCCCAGCTTTATATTTTTAAATACTTGCGTTTCTTTGTTCTTGGGAAGGGGGCCTTAAGTGGTTTGTAATACCTGGACTGTAGGTCCCACATAGTCTCTAGTTTCTGTCCAAACTAGATGAGGGACAGAGGGCCTTTTCCCCACTTCTGCGTTCCAAGACTCGAGGAAATTCAAGTCTCCCCTCTCAGAGGAAGATCACAAGGGCCCAGAGGAGTGTGATTGGGGTGAGGCTGCCAAAAATGTCCGTGGGCCTATAAATTCTACACACTTCCTGATGGCTGTCAGGGCGACACCCAACCCTTTGAGAAGGCTTGGTCTCTCCAAGTTTAAATGATATAAAGCACCTCATTAAGGCACTCCAAGTTTTGTTCTAGAGTCTTCGACAATTCTGACCAAGAAGCTAAATGAGACGGCGTGGGATTGGGGGTTGGGGGTGGGGAGATAGAGGGACAGGGGTGGGGGGGGGGACGACGGGAGGGGGGATGATGTGGACACTTTGGTGGTCTTTCTGGCTTGCACAGTGGCAGGGCGGTTCTGGAGGAGTCAGTATGTGTGTGTGGGTGTGGGGGGGAGTTGCCAAGGGCTGGTGGGGGGCCTGACTGGAGACCACAGGCCTGGCAGGTAAGTGCAGGGTACACAGCTGGGCACTGAGTGCTGCAGACACTAATCCTATTATGACGCCTCAGGGAACTTGGCACCATGGGACTTTTTTTTAGAACACTCTCCTCCCCACCCCACCCTGCCCCCTCAACCCCCCCCCAACATAAAAGCAATGTCTCTGAAGGCAAAAAAGATACCAGGGTGAAAACGTTTGCTGCTCCTCCAGGGCCGTGCATCCTGACCTGTTTCTCTTTGGAGTGCATTTCTGATCTGGGTCATCGGGTGGAGGCAGCCGGCCTCCAACACCGTTTTATTAGCAGAGTGGAGTTTTTTCTTCTCTGAAATGGTCATAATGTCTGCTGCTTAAAGTTGTACAAACCAAAGACAACAACAAATGGGAGACAGGTGGCCGGAAGTGAAGGCCGCTGCCAGGGGCGTAGTCCTTGCTGTGGGAGACACTGAAGAGCCTTACAGCTAGAGCTGGGATTTGAACCTGGGTTAGAATCCAGATGAGGATGACCCTGCTTCTGGTGAAAGCCACACCTCCATGCCACCGTTGAGAGTCACGCCCACCCAGCCCTCGAGGAGGGGGTAGGGGAAGTAAAGGTCGCTCCTGGCTTCCCCCACTTCCTGGGTGCCTGGGTGGTGTTGACCTCTGTTGAGTGGAGAAAACCCAGGGTAGTGTTCCCAAGCTTTTCACCGTTTTATCAGATTCTAATACTGGCCAGGCTGTCATAGGGTAAGGAGATGTTATCATTGAGTTTCTGTGACTTTTGCCCCCATTCATGTGGCAAACACTGATTGTGTTTGTTTTTGAACTGAAAATAGTTTATCATGGTCTCTGGAAGGGACGGGAATTGGTTCTGTTGAAACTCAAGTGTTATAGAGTTTTTATGAATGCGGTGATTTGTTGTTCTTGGTGGGTTTTGTTGGTTTGTTTGTTTGGGTTTTTTTGGAGACAGTGTCTCACTGTGCAGCCCAGGCTGGCTTCAAACTCACTGTCTTCCCGTCTCTGCCCCACAAAGTCTGGACCACAAGGGTGTGCCACTGCGCCCGGCATGAAAACAGTGATTTGGTAGGAATGGGGGGCATGAAGAGCGGTCCCTGCCTAGCCCTGCCCCTTTAAGCTGCAGCAGCTCCCTGTAGATACCGCTGGGGCCAGTCTAACCCTCCTGTCCCAGGAGTCACCCCGCAGCTGCTGAGGCAGGTGGAAGTGGCCAGGAGCAGGGTGCAGTGAGAAGGCATTGCTGGGAAAGTCACTCTCTCCAGGTCCCAAACAGATGACGAATACTTTAAATTAGTTTACAGAAGTTGGAATGGGTCTGAACTTGCATTTCCCAAGAGCGAGCCCTCAAAGCCCGAGGTCCAATTACCACTGTTGCTTGCTACAGTCTTGCCTCTTAGGGGGAAAAAAAATGCTTGTAAGCTGGGCATGGTGGCCAGTGCCCGGCCTGCCAGCACTGGGGAGGCCGAAGCAGGAGGAACATTGCAAGTCCGAGGCCAGCCTGAGTCACACAGTGCGCTTCAGGCCAGCTTGGGCTACACAGTGAGACTCTGTGGCAACAAATAAACAACCAGGCAAACAAGCAAGCAAGCGATCAAACAGCCATAGACTTGGGGCAGGGTCCTTTCCTTTTGGCCTGTCCTCCCAGCCCCGGGGTCACGTGATGATGCTGATTCTTTCCCTCCTTCCTCAGTGTGCCCGGCTGGGCAACATCATTTCTAAATATCCTGCTGCCAATGCCTACACCATCCCCTCAGAGTTGGTTTCCAAGAAGGACTTCAGCAATTCCTGTTCCAGCATGTTCCAGCTGCCAAGCTTCATGAAAGTGGTCAAATCGGAAACCCCCGCCCCAAACCAGTACCACGTAAGGACACCGCCTGCCCTTGTCCAGGACCTGTGCTGAGAGGGTGTGTGGACAGAGTTCAGGGGAGAGCATTTTAACCCAGAGGGTCAGCCGGTGGGCATGTGAGCAAGCTGGGGGAGGGGAGGGGTGACCGAGGCGAAGGCGAGAATCTGAAGGTTGGGCAACGGTAGAGGGCGGCAGGGAGCCGCAGGGAGCCGCAGGGAGCCCACTTCATTCCTCGCCTCTCTCGCAGAGCCTGGCAGGGTTTTCCTCCTCTGTCCTAACAGATGCGCACTCACCATCCCAGCTGCTGACACGATCCATGCACTTTTTAGAATTTGATCAGGAAAACCCAGTTTCTTCCTATATCTGAAAATGGTCAGTGTTTTTGTTTTTGTTTTCAGACAGGATCTCACTATGTAACTCTATCGTGGAACTTGCTATGTAGTCAAGGCTTTGGAACTTGCTATGTATTCAAGGCTAGCCTTGAACTAACAGAGATCCACCTCTCTGCCCCCTCAGTGCTGGGATTAAAGGTGTCCGGAATCGTTTGTGTGTGTGTGTGTGTGTGTGTGTGTGTGTGTGTGTGTGTGTGTGTGTTAGCAGTAGTGCTCTGAGCAGAAAGGAATAGGTGGGAAAGGGTGCCTGTAGGAAGCTGTAGTTGGACTTTCTTTGGATTACCAGCTCCCAAATAGTGACTCGGAGACTTCTTACTAAGTATGAAAGCTTAATCTTAGCTTAGGCTTGTTCCCAACTAGCTCTTATAACTTAAATTAACCTGTTTATATTAATCTACATTCTGTCACATAGTTCGTTACCTCTGCTCAGTACTGTGCGCCCCACTTCCTCCGTGTCTGGCTGGTGAACACCACCTCTTTTCTTCCCAGAGTTCCTATCTCCGGAAGTTCCACCTATCCTCTCCTGCTTAGCTATTGGACATTTAGCTCTTTATTAAACCAATCAGAAGGTGCCTAGGCAGGTGAGGTTAAACAGACACATCTTCATAGTGTACAGAAAGATTATCCCATGACAGGAAGCTTTAGCTCAGATCTCCACTCTGCCATGCTCTGTGCCTGGCGCATGCTCCGCCATCCTTTCCAGGGCTTGGGTTGTTGATCTGTATTGTGGGGGGAGATGTGTTCATCTTCCAGACTTGATGAAGACACTCATCGGGAGAACCTAGGTTGAGGAATGAGTGCAGCACCCGGTGCATGGTCTGCAGTGATCCAGGGAAGGGGGTGGGCCGTCTTTGGTGGGTCATGGGCTCTGTGGAGCCACCACTATAAAATGAGAGCGGTGACATCTGCTTTTGGGGTGATGTAAAAGCCAGGGAGAGCATAAACCCACGTGAGCACCCTGAAATCCAGGATGTGACCCCCAATCCCACATAGAAACTGTGAGCCACAAAGGGCTGCATTTTGAAGGACGTTGGTCTTAGATACCTCATTCTCAAGTTCCTCTTTTGAAACACGATTTATAAGTAATATTTATTTGTCTACAGAGCTCCTGCCCGCCCTGTAAGACTGGGCCAGTGGACTGTAATGTGCTCAGAGCAGGGGTGGGTGGTGCCTGCTGGGTCGGCACTGGGCAGTAGTAACTTAGTGGGGACAGCTGCATCATTAGAGATTTTTAGTAGCAGCATATAGAACTAAAAAGGAATGGGTGAAATTAATTTTTGTAACATATCTTGTAATTATATATATATTAACTTTTGCAATATATTTTAATATATCCCAGTAGATTAAAAATGTCATTGTTTTGACATCAATCACATATTGACATAAGATTATTTAATGAGATATTTCAGGAGGACCCTTGTCTCATTTGAAGTTTTTTTAGTTTGATGTGTATTTGCTATTTACACCTGTCTTAATTTTGGATCAGTCACGCTTCCAGGCCTGATTGTGGCTACTGTATTGGCCATGCTGTTCTAGAATGTTTCCCTGGAATAACTGGACCCTGATGATGATGACGACGACGACGACGATGATGATGATGATGATGTGTTGATTATAGCAGAGGTGTGCCTTGCACAGGCTGAATCAGCTGGTCTATGAATCATGTGGTCCTTGCACTAATTTCCAGTAGAGTACCAGACATTTTATTGTAATTCATGGATTACCTGATTGCAGTTCATAGTAGAGGATGCTAAGATGTGTGTGTGTGTGTGTGTGTGTGTGTTATAAGATTATTAACAAGGTATTTCAGGAGGACCCTTGTCTCCTTGAAAGTTTATGGAGTTTGACGTGTATTTGATATTTACAGCCTGTCTTAATTTTGGATCAGTCAGTCATGTTTCCAGGGTTGATTGTGGCTATCTCAGCATATCACTGAAGACCCCAGGGCAAAGTCTGAACTTTGTTCTCTGTGCCCTGGGAAGCCCCTGAGGGGGTCTGGGAAGGGTGGTAATAACCTGAGGAGGTTTCTAGAACACCTCTTCCAGACTGCAGTGTGGTTCCAGAGAGGAGACTGTTAGGCTTGCAGGAGAAAGGAAATGTACGGTCCGAGAATGATCTGGTCTGCACAGGTGCAAGGCCCTGGCTACCTGGGAGACAGGCATAGCTCTGGTCCTCTGAGCACCCCTCCGTGGCCTCCTTGGTTGTAGTGGAAGGTTGATAAAGCTTGAGCTTTGCCTGGATGCTTCCAGTCCTCTGTATGCATCCGAGGCAGCTGGCTTCACCCTTGCACTGACCCATGGAGCCCTGGACACAGCAACATGTGTTAAATGTTAAATGTTAAATGTTTGTCATCAAATGAGTGACCTCTGGAACCATACAGCCGTGAAGCTGCAAATGACCAAGGTCCAGACCAGAAGTTTTTTCTTTAAGCCAACACATGCATGGTGTGTGTGTGTGTGTGTGTGTGTGTGTGTGTGCATGCACCTATGTGTGTGCACCTGTGTTTACGTGTTAAGGCATCAGGTGTCTTCTTCTATTGCTGTCTACCTTTTCTATTATTTCTATCTATCTATCTATCTATCTATCTATCTATCTATCTATCTATCTATCGAAAAGGTCCTCCCCTGCTGGCTGGCCAGTGAGCCTCAGGGACCCTTCTGTCTCCGCCTCCCCAGATGTGTGCCACTGTTCCTGACTTTTTATGCTGAGTGCTAGAGGTGGGAACTTGGGTTTGTATGTTTATTCAGCAATCTTTTTAATGGCTAAGCCATTCCCCTACCCACATAGAGTGCATGGATTTTGTTCATGACTGTTTCAATGTAACTGAACATAACATATGTATATTTTGAATAATATGCAATTAAGCCCTGGAGAAATCCAGCATACAGAGTAGAATTTCTATGTAATTCTACTTCCCCTTTTTTAAGTTCATTTTTAAAATTATGTGTATATGTGTGTAGGGTGTGTGTGTACCTTAGTGCAGGTGCCCCTGCAGGCCAGAGGCATCAATCCCTTGGAGCTGGAGTTATAGGCAGTAAGTAATGGGCTGCTTGGTGTGGGTGCGGGGTACCGAACTCTGGTTCTCTGCAAGAGCAGGATGTGCTCTTAACCGCTGAAGTAGCTCTCCCGCCCCGTGCCAATTCCCATATAATGTGGGTTCCCAAGGCAAATGCCTCCAAGAGCCAGGTGCAGTTCCTTCAGGGTCTTCACATTCACACACACTCCTGTCTGTTTTGGAGTCACCCTGCATGGGTCTAGGTGTATTTCTCCGCTCAGCTACACCTGGGCTTCCTCTCCACGGAGCTTCAGCAACTCAGCTTTGTTCTGTTGTTACCTGCTGAGTATTTTCTTAGGCTAATGACGAAATCTTCCTGTGGACTCACAGGCGTACAAAAATGTCCTGTTTTCCACAGGTTTTCTGTCTGGGTAAGAACAAAGCCAGGGAACTGTTTTGTCTGCAGGAGGCTTTTCCCCAACCAGGAGAACAATGGCGGCGGCGGCATCAGGCAAGGAGCCCAAAGGCCATAATCCAGTTAGCCATGCTGTGCCCTGAGCAACTTGCCCGGCCTAGGTCCGGCTTCTCCTTTGGAGTCCTTTGCTGTGGGGGTTGTTATTATCTTCCCTCTGGGCCTGGTCCTCTCCTGTCCAGTAATTAGCCTGCCCATCTGGCCTTTGTGCAGGAGCTCTCCGCACGGAACCTGCCATCAGGACCCTGGGAAAAGAAAGCTACATTCCTCCACCTCTGTGAGCACAAAATCAAAATGCCACCTGCATTTCTCAAGAAACTTTTTTTTTTTTTTCCCAAACAAAGAAGTATCAGGGAGAATCAAGCCATCCCAGCCCCCAGCGAATAGTTTCACTCATTCAGCAAATATTCCCAGCACTCTTGGGCACAATTTTATTGCTCCTGTTATCTACAACTACAGGAGACTGACTGCAAATAGGCACTTCAAATATTTGTGATTCGTGCATAACAGAAGAGTGATCTCAGGCCCCCTGAGGCCCAACCCCCCCCATCATTTTTAGAGTTCTGAACACATGGGACGCTCTCACATGTCTAGTGTGTGGATCAGCCAAAATTCTTAACTTCTGGTCTGTCCAGAAAAGCAGAGAGAAGAGAGTGATTGCAGACCTGATCATAATCTTGAGCGATAGGACTCGGGGCACCCCACATGCCCTGTTTAGAGAGCACTGTTTGCACAGAGAAGAATGCAGCCAGGGACCAGGTTGGGAGGCATGGGGACTTGTTCGGGAAAGGATGAAAACGTCAGCAAAAGAAATACAAGCCAACTGTGACAGCACCGCACCGCACACTCGGTAAAACACCTCCCGACGGGCAGCGGGGGAAGCCGGCCCGTGGCGCCCAAGACCCTAGCTAGGACAGAGAAGAAACAAAGGAACAAACCCCCCAACTTTCTCTAGATGGTTTGTGATGCTCCCCCTGCCCACAACGATGCTCTGAAACACGCAGAGTGGGGGTCATCAGATGAATTTTACAGAGAGAGAGAACTCAGGCTCAGGGAGATTAAACCACACGAGCAGGGCAGCGTAGCCATAGGCAGGCGGCGGAAGGGGGGCCAGAGACCAGGCTCTTCAGGTTTCTCTCCAGTCATTCTCTTCTGGCTTCACCTTGGTGTGCGTGCATGCGTGTATTCATGCATGTGTGAGTGTGTGAGTGCGTGCGTGCTTGTCACAGACCACTTGAGCTAAGTAGATGAAGTCACAGCCATAGTCACCTTTTCAACTCACGTCAATTCTCCTAAAAAGGACACGTTTAAATGTGGCTCATATTTGCCGCCTGTCCAGGCAGAGTGACAAAGACAGAGAGGGGCAGGCACCGAACACAGAGTGTGTTTTCTCTCACACAGGCCGCCAGCGCCAGCTGCAAACAGAGAAGCAATCTCTCTGCTCGAGTTGGGTTTCTGTCAAAAACAGAAAGAGGAGTCTTCCCCTTGGCCCGCTCGGCAGGGCCAGCTCCAGGTAAGAAGCTTGGCGTGTGTGTGTGTGTGTGTGTGTGTGTGTGTGTGTGTGTGTGTGTGTGTGTGTGTGTAGAAAGTGCGGAACAGAGAGATGATAAGGGACCCAGTAACTCTGCACATGTTTCCTAAGCAGCCTTCTTGACATGACTTTTTGGGGTCAGACACACCAGCTCTGGGCAGCCAGGTGGGAAAACGGCCTCAGCCACTTCCCCCTGACAGGGAGGGAGAGAGGAGGTGACACTGCCTCAGAGGTCACTTCGCAGTCTATTCCTAAATAGTGCACCAGGTGGGTCTGGCTGCGTTTCCCAGTGTTTAGTCCGCAGGGAGTGTTCTGCCTGCCTGTGTCCATGGCCCTGTAGTTCACGCACGGAGGAAAGATGCTCAGAGTTACAAAAGTTGTCCAGCGTCACTGGCCATTAAATAGCATCTCTAAACCCAAAGATGCCTGACTAGACCCCCGCTCCCCTTCGGATCCTCAGTGCCTTCTGGAACCAGGATCCAGGAACACATCAGAGCTCGCCAGAATTAGACTCTGCTGTATTCCAAAAGGTGGCAACACCCCTGTGCTCCCACACTTCCCTCCCTGGAGGACATCCTGGGAGGATGTGGATCAGTTCAGAGGGGTCCAGAAGAGTCCACATAGCCTGACCCCCAGCCTTACCCAGCCAAGCCTGGAGCTTTGGGCCCCAGAACCCAGAGGAAGGGCAGGGAGGCACAGGGTGTGGAGAAAATTGCAGGGCACGTCAGATTTCAGCAAATCCAGATTAAAGCCAGAAGATCAGGCTGAAGCTGAGTAACAAAACCATCGCTAATTAGGAGGCTCAGCCCAGCCACAATGCACCCCCTCCCCTCCCCCACACCAGCCCCACAAAGCCCCACCTTGTTTGTTTATACAGCAGAACAAAGCTGGCACCCTTGGGGTTTAGCCAGAGCTCTGAGATGGGGCCTCACATTCAACACAGAGGCTCCCCGGGGTCCCCAAAACAAAGAACAGAATGGGGGCCAAACTGCTCCTCCAGCACAGGGTGAGTGTCCCCTTGTTTCCGTGGGGGCGTCCAGCTGCTCCCTGGTGACTTTCCTGGAGATGACTGACGTCCTATAGCATCGCCCTGCGTCCTCCTCATCGCTTTTCCAGTAGAAAAGTGAATTCTGTTTAAAACAAAGTCACCCTCTCAGAAGACAGGAAACAGGAAGAGTGCTTGAGTTTGGGGCCAGCCAGGGCTAAAGAGTGAGGCTCCCTCTCTAAAACAAAAACTCATAAAAAACGAAGTCAAATTTACAGTGCCTTGAGAATTTGAACTATCAACCCTACAGGGCCACCACGACTAAGGTTTTCCCCAGTTTTCTGGATCCCACCAATTCTACTAAATTTATTTTCCTGGCATGACTCCTCTTGACCCCACCCCCACCCCCATCCCAGCCCTGATTCAGTCATGGTCACTTGTGCATAAATGTCATGATAGTATGTATAGATTTTCAAGTTTTGTGTTACTTTTCCATCCATGTACATCTTTAGAAATATATTAGCACGTGGCACCTGTAATCCCGATGTTTGGGAGGCTGGGGCAGGAGAATTATTATAGGAGATTCTGTTTTTTAAAGGGGGTGGGGTTGGGAGACGGGGGCACATTGATTTCTCCCACAGAGTGAGAAAGCCAGGGGGAGTGGGCGGTACCTGTAATTCCAGAACTGGGGAGGCAGAGCGGGGGGGCTTGCTGGCCGGTCCGTCTAGCCAAATCCCAGGACTCCAGGTTCAGTGAGAGACCCTGTCTCAAAAATATAAGGAGGGCTGGCAGGATGGGCCAGCAGGCCACCGCACTGCTCTCCTCAGGACCAAATGGTGGAGAAGCAGCTTCCTCAAGCTGTCCTCTGACCTCCATGTGCATGCTGTGGCCTGCTGTAAACGCACACATATGTGCCATGAGTAAATAAATAATAAATAAATGAGAAGACCTGTAAAAGGCAGAGAGTCGTTGAAGAAGACGCTTGGAATTGAACTCTGGCCCCCGCAGGCACCAGCACCTAGAAGTGCACACACATCCACACAGAAGCAGACACACGTGCAAATAACGAAAAGCACAAACAGAAACAACAAAACACCCCAGGCCGTGCGCAGGCGGCCTCCTGGCATTCGAGAGTGTCATGGGGAACTTGCCTTCCACATACTTTCCTGGATGCTGAGGCTACACCCAGTGCTCACACCGAGGGGCCTGCTGTGTGTCCAGCTTCCTGCCTGGAGCTCTTCCGTTCCATTGACCAGTGCCCCTAACTTCTGAGTGATGGGAAGCTTGGACCCATGTGAGCAGGTGTCTGTGAGGGTCTTTGCCCAGTACAACACTTCATGTCTCCCAAACACCTGCATCCACTCCCTAAGCTCTCCCTCCAGCTCAGGCTGTTCTCTCCTCCTTAAGCTTTGTGCATAAGTGAAGTGGATTTGATTAGGGTTTCTTCAGACAGAGCATGGGGTACGTACGCATGCAGATTCTCAGTAAGAGTCTGTTGTGCAGGACTGGAGAGATGGCTCAGTGGTTAAGAGCTCTTGCTGCTCTTCCAGAGGACCCGGGTTCAATTCCCAGCATCCACTTGAGGTGGCCCACACTGTCTGGAATTCCAGCTCCAGGGGATCTGACCCCTCTAGGAACACTTATCCCTCAACATGCCCACATGCAAACAAAGACACCTAAAAATAATAAAATAAAAAAAAATTAGGAACCTATTACTTAGGGGCTGGGGAGGTGGTTCCTTGGGTAGGGATACTTGCTGGACAGGCATGAGGATCCAAGTTCAAATCCCCATTACCTATGTAGAAAGCTGGGTGTGATCACACATGCTCCCATAACTCCAGTGTTGTGGAGGGCAGAGGCCGAGGAATTGTTGGGGTTTGTTGGCCACCAGCTTGGTCAGGGAGCGATCTCTGGAATAAGGCAAAAAGTGACAGGACATGGCAGAGCATCCCTGGCCTTTGTATGCACTCAGGCATGCATGCCTGCACACCCATGAATGTATAACACACACACACACACACACACACACACACACACACACACACACTCGCACACACTCGCACACACTAGCACACATCTTTTGCTTATTTGACATTTATAAACTGTTAAGCTAGCACTCAGCTGCTGGAACCACCCTGTGCCCAGAACCCGGAGTGTTTACTCTACAGAGGGAAAGTTGTGCCAGCCCAGGGCTGCCCCAGTGTTTGGGGTGTGCTTTAGGTGACTGACTGGATGGATGTCCTCTGGCTAGCTAATTCCTATCTCTGGGCAGCAGGGCCCTGGGTATAGGTAGGAAGGGTGAGCCCCACATGGCCAGGCTGCTGTGAGGCCCACGGGTTGAAGTGTGTGATCCAAGTGGAAGGTTGGCTTTCAGCCCACACAGGCAACCTTCCCGTTGGACCCACTGGGACCCACTGAAGTGACGACGTCACTGTGCCAGCTGTGAGAGCTGGTGGCAGGTGCTGCTTTCCACCGCTCTGGGAAGAGTGTCTCACCCTATGTCAATGTTCTCTCTGTTCAGGGCATTACAACATCAATGAATCTTTGGTAAAGCAGTCACCAAAGATCTTAGTGTCCTGCTTCAAATCCAAAACTGGTCGTGGATTAAAACTGACGTCAACAGGCCCAGGGCCTGGTTACTACAACCCCAATGAACACACCAAGATTCTGAAAAAGCCTCATATCCCGTGAGTCCTGTATTTTTCTTCTGAGGTAGCTCCAGGGGATACTCAAAGGGGCAAAATGAGAATGGGCACCATCTAAGCAGGACCCAGCCCAGGGGCCCCTGCCACCGTGTTACAATGCTCAATAAGCCATTGGAGAGTATATGACTTTAACTGAGTAGCATCTGTTAGGAACATGTCCCCCCAACACAATAGTAGAATCACCGTATTTGCTTCCTGGAGGAAGGAGCTCTGTTTCAGGAAGGTTGAGGGATTTGCCTGAGTCTGCACAGCTCACATCCTGCCAACAGAATTCTGGGCTGTCAGGATCTTGCTGTGTTCCCCATGAAGCTGACTTCTCCTGGGGCCACAGTCGCTCTGTTTTTAGAATATGGCACCTCCCCTGTGCTCACTTGGGGAGATGCAGAAGCTGGGGCGCACTTACCGGTGCACTGACGGGGAACGGCTGGATTTGAACTTGGCTCTGCTGTGTGCATGCTGTGTGGCCTTGGGCAGCATGTATTACATTCTGTGAGCTCTCCTGCCTTTCTCTGAAAAGCTGAATGGGTTTAATTCATGCCTCATAGGGTTACTTTCAGAATTAAAATTTGTCAGGCATGCAGTAGGCACAAATGATGACTTAATATTAACACAAATTTAAAAAGAAACAGAGCTATGTGGGTTGGCTCATGCTTGTAATCCTAGTACTTTGGAAACTGAGGCAGGGGCATTGAGAATTCAAGGCCAGCCTGGGCTACATAGCCAGATCCTGCTTCATCAAAGCAGGGTGGGGAGGATTGAGAGCTGTGTCGCCGTTTAAAATAGATGCCGTCTGAAAAGTTTTATTTTTATGTTATGTGTGTGGGTGTTTTGCCTGCATGTGTGTCTGTGCACCATGTGTCTGCGGTGCCCATGGAGGCCAGAAGAGGGTGATGGGTCCTCTGGAACTGTAGCTACAGATGGTTGTGAGCTGCCTTGGGGGTACTGGGAACCTAACCCCAGTCCCCTGCAAGAACAAGGGCTCCTTGCCCCTGAACCCCCTCTCCAGCCCTGTTATACATCATTTCTAATGTTACTTTCATCTAAGAGACTCAAAGGCATTCAGTGCTTAAGAATTCCTCAAGTGGCTGTGGAACTTCTAGAACTAATTGCACCTAACGTCGATCTTGTCACTGTCTGAGTCTGCTCCTGTTGCATCCCCCCTTGCAGGTCCAACCATGGCAAGGGCGACCACCAGGGTGGGGGCTGAGTGTGGGGACACCTGAGCCCCTCCCCAGAGGTCAGGCAGGTGTCACGGCCACAGCTGCAGTAGGCTGGACATCCAGGCAGCTGGTAGGGGGCTGGAAACATTGGGCACCATCTGGCTGTCGTCAGCCTGGGGCAGGGGGCAGGAATTCAGGACTCTGTTAAATCAAATAGGAGCTGGAGAAGGACTCAGGCTTAGATGGAGGCTACTAGTAAGTTCCCTCTGTGGTCCCACTGTGGGGTTCTGCAAGATCCTCCCAGGCCCTGGGGCAGGGGACCAGGGCTACTCCCCCTCTGAAGGTCAGAGACTCCTTCCTTCGGGCTCTGCACAGGAACTGTTCCTTGGTCTCCCTGGGAAATGTTGCAGAAGGGGCAGAGGATTATCCTCCATGGAGCCTTCTTGCCTCATTGCTGAGTGGAGTTGATTTTCTATGCCGTGACTCCTGCGAGGCTGAATGAAGCAGAACTTGGAAACAGTTCTTACTTTTTCCCAGCTGACGCATAAAAGCCGTGCATATTTATGGAGGCCATGTGATGTTTGGATGCATTACCTAATGTTCAATCTGGGAGACACGTCTGTCCCCTCAGACATCTGGCTCTTACTCATTACAGCTGAGATTATCCTACAGCCTACCGAAATAGGATACAGCTGCGATTTTGCATGGTGGCTCAAACCCACAGCCTGGATCTGGACGCTTCAACAAGGAGGGCCTACTCCGGAGCTTTCTGGAATGGTAGCTGTAGGGCAGTGCCACGCCGGAGGCTGGCGCTTGTGCCTCAGAAGATGTGGCTGAGGAACGCGTTGTGGCTGTTCTCGGCCCTCGGCTGCCCAGCTGACTCAAAGCTAGGAGGATTTGTTGGCTTGTGAGTGTTAGCCAGGGTTTCACTTCTCAAGTTCCTCAGTACCCGTCCTGGGGGTGACTCAGTGAGGCAGGGCAAGGCACGGTGAGGGCTTTGAGATCACAATGGGGTCCTCCCGGTGCCACCTGCCGCCAGGTAGAGGAACACCCAGAGACTCCTCTCTGACCACTTCCTGGAGTCTCTAAGCCAAAGGCTTTGCATAGCATGCTGTCCTGTCAAGGGTGGCCCGAGAATCAAGCCCCTTGGCCCATCTCCAATTCAGTAATTACGCTGGGCCAATTATGCTGGGCCCACCTAAAGTTCCTGGGGATTGTCGATTCGCTGTGGGGTGCATCTTCCCAGGCAGCTCATCTGTCACTGCCCTTACCCTGAAGAACAGATAGATACCGCATTCCACCCCAGAGGCAATCGGTGGCCCTTTAATGTGGAGAGGAGTTGTGAGAAATTGCCCCTTTATCCCTCCCAAACCCGGGAACCCCCCAGGCAGAGAACCTGTGCCTGGGAGTGTCCGAGGGGTCCTAGATGCCTTCTACAAGTGACCTGAGGAGACCTTGAAGACATCCATTATCTCTGAGCCACTGACAAAGGGCTCCCTAGGAAGCTGGATTGTGCATAATCCCCAGCGTGGTTACTGGGGGAGCCTGTAGATGTTTTCATTCATTACTAAGCCATGGAACCCACACTGGTGGTCGCACTACGTTGCTGATCACACACATCCTGGGTGTGACCCCTGGACCTCCATGATTTCCCATTTGCACCATGCCACCAGGAACCAGCCCTGGGTAAGGGGGAATTTGGTGTCTGGAGTTCATCACCTTCTTTGCACACTACCCTCTCCCCCCCCCCCCCACCCCCACAGAGTTTGGGACACAAGAAACATGATGATACTTTCTGCCTTCAGCCCCCCCCCCAATATTTCTAGGTGGTTCTCTCATTTCTCACCGTTCTCTCCCCCATTTCCCCACAGCCCCTGTAAGTGTGAAGTTAAGAGGGATCTCTGATCACAGCCTTTCGGTCACACTTTCCCTCCCAGAAAGACCCAGAACAGCGCGGCTCTCAGCCCTGTGCCTTGCCTGCTGTTCCTTCCTAAAGGAGCACTTCCCTATAAGCTCAGCTCCACCCTTGCACACCCACCTATTGGGCCCCTCCCCTGGTGAGTCTTCTACCTGCATGTACACGTGTGTGCATACACACACACACACACACACACACACACACACACACACGCCTACCGTGCTTTCTACCTGCCTCACTCTTTAGGGGTGGTGATCTTGCCTTACTCAGCTTTGAGGCCGCTAGCCCCTCGCTGAACTACAGAGAAAGGGGAGGGGGCAAAGAGGTTGATGGAGCCTGGATACCCCAAAAGGGCTGAGGCCGGCTGCTCTCTCTCCCCTGTCCACCCGGTGCCCACTACTGGAGTGCCGTCCCCTGCTCTCCCTGCCTGAAGGTTCCCTGCTGACCTCTTCCAGGGTGCAGGTTTGGATCCCCTGGTGGGAATTGTCTCTGCTCTCATGTTAGAGGGCTTCACAGTGTAGCCCAGGCTGTCTGGACACTCTCCATATAGTCCGTCCACAGAGCTTCAGATCTGTGGCAATTCTCCTGCTTTGGCTACCTGAGTGCTGGGATTACAGATATGTATCTCTATTTGTGCTCAGGGTTTTGTTTTTTTTTTTTTAAAGATTTATTTATTTATTATGTATACAGTGTTCTGTCTGCACACACCCCTGCAGGCCAGGAGAGGGCACCAGATCTCACTACAGATGGTTGTGAGCCACCATGTGGTTGCTGGGAATTGAACTCAGGACCTTTGGAAGAACAAGCAGTGCTCTTAACCTCTGAGCCATCTCTCCAGCCCCTGTGCTCAGGATTTTTAAACTCCCCTTTCTAACAGACTTCCTGGTGGGCATAGGAGTGAAACCTAGCTACTCCTAGCATACGGTCTGGGGTGGTCAGATTTCCTGAGAACACGTAGCCAGTGAGCAGGGAAGGGGACATTCAGCTACAGTTGCACTCTTCACTGTCACCATTCAGATGGACACTAGCCGTGGACCACCCAGCCCTCAAGATCTTTGTTTTAGTCCAGAACATCCTAGACTCCTAAATGTGCTTGACCAGAGCTGCACACAAAGCTGGTGCTCACTAGAGACCCTGACATTCTGCTGAGGATGTGGGGCATCCCTAGTACTGTGATAGGATGCAGGAACGGGCCCAGCTCCAACCAAACGCGCAGGTATGTGACGTGGGCCCAGCCTGCATCAGCCTTCGGCAGCTACCCCTGCTTGGGCAAGCAGACACCTCATGGTCGTCCCTGGAAATAATGTGGGACTCTTGGGCTTGGGAGTGACCCAGACCAATGAATGGCTTCATCTGGCAGTTGGCTCATTTCACTTGTGACTTCCAGGAGTCAGGTCTGCCTCAAAATGTGGCCAGCCACACACATACATGAAATTTCTCAGGGTGCCTTGGGGAGGGAGTCACAGCCAGAACAAGGGTGAGGTAGCATTTATTTATAAGGAGAAAGGCTTTTGACCACACTCTGAAGCCCGGTCCTCCATACAGAGTAGAGGGGTACGTTCTACCTTCTTTCTGTGGGTACCTTTGTTCTAATACAAACGTCCAAGCCAGCCAGCTGTTGCAAGGTTTGAGCCTCCAGCAGGGCAAGGTAGCGTTCCATGGCCTCCCCAGCAGTGGGCAAATCCCCACACCCCAGAGTGGCGCTGGTGTGAAGACTGACTGTGCACTAGCTCTGTGGATGATGCTTCACAGATCTTCTCTGTCGTTTTTATTTTGTTTTCCTAACTCCCCTATAAAGAGTAGAGGTTCTCACTCTGGGCTCCAGATATAGGGTCTTTGTCTGAGACCCCAACAGCCAGTCAGTGGAGTGACTAGAATTCATACTCCGTGCTGGTGTCTCCGAAACCCAGGCACCTCTGTCATGGCGTGTCTCCAAATTGCTGGTACTAAGAGACCCCATACTACAGGGCCACAAGTCTGCAACTGGTTCTGACTTTATGTTTGCTACCGTCTGTCTGGACACTGGCTCCTTTAGCAAATAAGGAGGTTGACTAGATATCTCTAGATGTCCTGGCTCTCTGGAGTTAGAAAGGTAGAGGCCTAAGGTCAGCAGAGTCTCCAAAGCCAGGACTCCCCTATGGTTTCAGGCACAGTGTCCCTTCTGGGATGTTCTGGGCTCTGAGAACCTCACTCCCCTTTCCATGAGAAGCCCCAGAAGTAACTTCAGGTGGGAGGCAGGTCCTTCGCCTGCACAGTGACTTGACTCCCCAGATGACCTGGACACCCAGTAACCATCCCTAAGTGTGGGTTGAGGTGAGCGATGAGTCCTCAAAGGTCCTCTTATCCAACTCCCCCAACTCACACGTGAGTAAACTGTGTTCCAGAATTGTTAAGAAGGCTTGGTCCTACTTAAGTGTTTATTTAATGACTTAATGTCAAAGGTGCTATACAAAATAGAATCCCTTTCCGGAAGGAAAGATGGCAGTCTGAAACAGTTACAATATAAGCACTAAGTGTCCTGTGCAGGTTCTAGATTCCAGCCCTACGCTTTTCCACCTCTGCTCCCAGCCTTAAGGGGAAGCTACCAGGGTTCTGGAATGTCAATAGACATCTGCCCATTGTGGGATAGCAAATCCCTGGAGGATGGGGGTGGAGGGGTTGGGGGGGTGGGGAGGAAGGGCTCTTCCCTGGCCATGCAGACATCACAAGTGGCTCATTGGCTCATCAAGGAGGCCTCTTTCACCCAAGCTTCAGTTCTCAGAGCTCCAGCCAGACTCTACCAATTGATCACAGCCAGCACATACAGTCAATGCTACCTGCTTTTCCCAGTGAGTTCAGCCACAGGCATCTATATGTGTCTGTGCTCTCACGGCCCTGAGGACCTTGTTTTAGATACCACACCTCATTTTAACCCTGACAAGCCTGTGAGGTACGGTTGTCATTGTACAGACAAGGAAAATGAGGCCTAGAGGCCCTGGGCTCACACATGCAACTGAACTAGGATAGATACTGCCCAGGGTGAGCCTGGGGGGGGGGGGGGGGGGGGGGGGGGGGGGTTGGGGGAGGCTAGCAGGTACCACCTGCACTTTAGACTCTCCCATTTCCTCCACAGAGCTGCCGGGGTGACATCTTCCCATTTTGTCTTTTCCAAAGGAAAGGTACGCTCCTGAACTTTTCTGCCCACCCTCTGCCTCTGCCCCCAAAGCCGCCTCTCCCTGGTCCTGGTCAGTACGAGATTGTGGACTACGAGGGACCCCCTAAGCATTTCATCTCCAGTGCGTCATTTGTGTCCAATACCAGCCGGTGGCCAGTACTGTCATCCAAACCAAGCCTGCCCGGCCCAGGTCAGAGAACTGTGACCCCAAATCTTCTGCTTTGTCATTCCGAGGCCATCAAATACCACCAGTTTATGGGCTGTTTGCTAAACAGGTTACAAGGGTGAGGCGGGCTTAGCAGGTCATCGGTTCACAATTTCAGAGCACAAAAATGTTTTACTTCTGAATATAAAGAAGGCTTTGGACTTGAAACCAAATCTGGGAGGTCCAAAAAGGCCAGAGACTCTGGGTAGTAGTGACTTCACTGGCTGAAGTATGTACCTCACAGACCTCCTCCCCTCCTCTCCTTTCCCCTCCCCTCCCCTCCCTTCTCCTTCCCTTCCCTTCCCTCTCCTCCACTCATCCTTCCCCTCCATTCTTCTCCTCTCTTTTCCTCCCTCCTCTTATCTCGTGTGTGTGTGTGTGTGTGTGTGTGTGTGTGTGTGTGTGTGTGTGTGTGCGCGCGCGCGCGTGTGCTCATTCCATGACCTGAGCGGATGTTGGAGGACAGCCTGTGGGTCTTGGGAATCGAACTCAGGCTGTCAGGCCTGGCAGTAGGTACTTGAGTCATCTCAACACCTCGATTTTAGTTTTGGAAACAAGGTCTTTCTTTCCCTGAACCTAAAGCTCCCTCATGGATTCTGCTAGGCAGCTGGCCAAGGAGCCTCAGGGACGGCCTGTCTTTGTGCTGCCCATGTGAGGGTTGCAGGTGCCTGCCGTCACCCTGGCTTTTCCATGGTCTCCGGGAGCCTCAGGGACGGCCTGTCTTCCTGCCACCCGCCCTGTGTGAGGGTTGCAGGTGCCTGCCGTCACCCTGGCTTTCCCATAGTCTCCGGGAGCTGAAGTCAGGTCCTCATGCTCCTGCCATTGTTCCAGCCCCAGGCATTGTTTTAGAAGGAAAGGGCCAGGGCATTTGTAAGATTCTCTTAAAACTTCTTATTCTTAAAGACGTTGAAGCCCCTAGAATAGACTGGCCAAGGAATTTTAAAGGTAGATAAGGTCTGAAGGGCAAGCTGTCTGTGCTTGGGGCGTTTGTGGTCGGGCCGAGTCTCCGGGTGGTGTGCCTTGTTTGTGATGGATACCGGAGACTGAGGCAGTGGTTCTCGGAAGCCACTCGGCTCCTCCCTCCCGACCATGAGCTGAAGGAACTTGCTCGGTACATCTAGATCTCCAGGAGTTAGTGCCCTGGGGGGCCCACTCCACCAGGCTAGACTCACTCCACAGTGACGGGTGGTCCCTGGGCTTGCCCACCCATCTGCAGCCCTCCAAAGCCTCATTGCCTCTCTCTGACAATGGCCAGGGCTGTGGCATGTGCCATGTGCACAGGAACTGGAAAGCGGAACTGGCAAGGTGGTCACCTTGTCTTTCAGGCTCAGCCGTTAGGCAAGCACTGTTGACACCCCCATTCTGGGCAGCCGCTGAGGGCCGAGGTGACCTAGGGACTAGTGCTGGCCTCCAGAGGCATCTGTCTGGCGGGAGAGAGTCCCTCCCTCACTCTTTCACCCACAGGCAAGGAAGTGGTCCAGGATGCTGAGGAGGGAGGCCAGGCCTCCAGCTTGGGTTTTTGCAGATGTATGGCAGTCAGGTCAGTGAGGCCTCAGTCTTGCCCTGGAGGGCATCTGAGCAGTGCAGGAGAACAGTGTCTAACACTGTTAGAGCTCTGGAGGCCTGGGGATGGGTGTGGCTCCTGGTCTGGCTGTACGCTAGGTCCTCTGGGAATGGTGTCTTGAGCACGAGAGGTTCCCGAGGCATAGACCCCAAGGCAGTGCTCCAACAGGCCATTTCTGTTGCTGTGGTCACCTCCATCAAGATGATCCTGAGGGTATACTGGGAGGATGCACGTGTACACATCTGTCCTCATGCCTCCAGCAGGCACCAGTCAGCCTGGACCCATGGGCTCCCCTCAGTAGCAGCCTGAGAGGACACGGGAGAGATCCTGGGACAGTGGCTCCCGAGTCTTGTTTGCTAGAGAAAAATATGTCTTGCAATGGCCGTGGCTTTCAGTTTTTTTGGGAATTTTTGAACGAACACAAAATCCTACCATCTAAACCCTCTCTTCTTTAAGAATACTGTTTTACTTGAAATGTTCATTTCACATTTTTTAGAAAGCAGTATTGTAAAGTTGGTTCTGTTATAGAAGTTATAAAGGGTCCAAGAATCAGAAGCCACAGTTCAGAGGCCAAGGTTAAGAACCCATGACAAGGCTGGAGGATGGCCCAGTAGGTCAAGTGCTTGCCGTACAAGCACCCATGCAAAAGCCAGAATCGATGGTGTGAGCCCGTGACCCAGGATGGAGACAGAGCTGGAGGTTTGCTGGGGGACCTTGTCTCAAAATAAATTAAAGGTGGAGATGGGTAGAGGAAGATACTCGAAGGTGACCTCTGCCCCTACCCTTAAAAAAAGAGAGCCACGTAAAACAGGTCCAGGCCTCCTCTCCCTGTCTCTCAACACATGTGGGCTGCAGGGCAGGAGCAGAACTCCCTCGCCCTTCCCAGCTCTGAGGCTGGGTCCGGCCCCTCCAGTCACCTCTCTCTCTTTTGATATCATTTCTTTCTTTCTTTTTAGCCACATACAAGCCAGAGATCCCAGGGAAGCAGTCCTTCCTCTACAACGAGGACAACAAATGGATCCCAGCCATCTAGTGATGCCACGGCCGCTGGCGGGGAGGCTCCTCCAGGCAGGCCCCCGACCCTGCTCCCCAGGACATCCATCAGCAGAACACGCCTTTCCTCTGTCACCCAGCCCGGGGTCACATACTGTCTGGAGCTGCCTTCTGGAGACTGGCCACCCCTGCCCCTCTCATGCGTTCATTCCTGAACAGAAAGGAGGAGCAGGCAGAGTTCTCTGGCTACCTCTATGTCAGCCTCCAAGCTGGTTTGGGTGACTCTCCTCCCCAGAGTGAAGGGATCTTGAAGTATGGATTCTGATGTGGCGCTCCGGCCTCCTGCCAAGACAGCCTGTGGCGAATTCCTTGCTTAGAAGCCAGTCAGCCAGGGCTCCGAAGCCTGGTCCATGGGTCCTGACCTCCAATTGCCCTTGACTTCTGGGAGGCAGGAGGCTTGGAGATGCCTACAACAGAAACACAGGGATGTTCCCTGGGCACCCCTGCCCTAGCTATGACTTGTTATCACACAGTAAGAACATGGAAACCGGTCATGAATCACTCATCAACCATGGACTTGTAGGCCATGTCTGTATTCATCCGCAGGCAAGGCAGGACCCAGATGGAGCTAGAGGCCTGGAACCACAGTCCCCAGGGCAGGGAGGACCTGTGTCCCTTCCTCCATGTTCTCACTTCCCCAACCTTGCCTCGCCTTCCTGACTTCCCACTCCAGTTCTGAGAAAGCATCAGTTTCTAAGTTGGACCGTGTCTCTAACAGACCTCAGCAATGGCTAGAGGAAGAGCTGACCAAGAACCGAGATGAAATTAAACTGACCACACATCTTCTCTTTTCCCAGGTGTTGATAATGTCTGCCACTTTTCTAGATGGAATCCTCCTGGGCTCCCTTCCCTCCTCCAGCCCCTGATCCTCTTCCAGGATGCATGGGCCTCTTGCTTCCCAGGGCCCCTTCCTTGAAGTTCTCCGGGAACTGTGCATCCTGGGCCTCCCATCCAGACTGGCTTCTTGATCGGCTTTTCTCTTGGGGTTGGGGCGGGGCATGAGGAAGAGGGAGGGAAGGGATGAAGAAACTTATCCAATTAAATGGAATTATTGCTTCTCACAGAGCTGGGCTCTTTGTGAACTTCAGATTCCTGAAAGCTAGGGCTTTGGAATGATGAGGTAGCCTGGTATAAGGGGGCAGCATGGGGGCTTCTGATCATACTGATCCTGGGGACTGGCTGACCTGGAGTCCCCTGGTCCTGGGTCACATTGGGCAGAGGCTGGCAATGTACTGGAAAGTCACATCAGGCCTCTTCAGTCATCCTGCTGCTCCACTGAGTAATGATGGTCTCTCCAAGTAGACCACGAACCAGGCCACTCTGAAGCGGTGAGAAGGACTGGCCTCACCATACCTTCTAGAATTCACTGTTGGGGCTGGGGCTGGGCTGAGGCCCTGAGCTCTGATGGTCTGTGTGATGGTCCTCCGACACTCTGAAGATGTCCCAAGCTGCTCACAGTTCTGTCTCAACCCCCCTGATGGACGTCAGGCTACCTGGGAACAGACACAGGTCCCACACCAGGGTCATGCCCAGCTTGAATCTCAAAAGCTCTGATTGAATTGAATTGGGGCACGACGGGATCAGTTAGTTTTCTTGCTGCTTGATCAGAAGGAATGGCAAGTCAGTGTGAGCATGTCCTCCATGGTGATGGGACAGTGTGGTGGTCAAGACAGTTCAGGATGTGGGAGCATGAGATGGCTGTCACTCTGTAGTCACAGGAAGCAGGTGAATGCTGGCACTCAGCTGGTTTTCGCCTTCCTCCTGTCTTACTCAGGCTGGTCCCCCAGCCCCTGAGATGGTGTCGCCCACATTCAGAGTGAGTCTTTATCCTTCAGTTAAACTTTCACAGACATGCCCAGACTCAAATCCAGACATTGTTATTAAAGGTGTGTTTTTTTTTTTAATTTACTTCTAATTTTTTGATACAAGGCATCCGTCTGTAGTCCATTGTTCTGAAACTCCAGGGCCTCTTTTCTTAGCCTCCTGAGTGCTGGGATTGCAGCCATGTAGCAGTATACTGACTCATGAAGTCCTGTGTGTGCCTGGGACAGAGCTAGCTAGACCCAGGATGCTCTGCTGTTTTACCAAAGGGCTTCCTCAGTGATAATGCACACACAGATCACTAGGGTATCATGTTAGAATTCAGACTCAGTGGGTCTGGGGTGGGGCCAGAGAGCCTGCATTTAGACATATTCAGGTGATGTCAATGCTGCGTGCCTGAGAGCCGTGCTTAGATTAGCCAGGTCTGAAACACACTCCGTTCCTCAACTACTTCTTCCAGCTTCTTCTACTGGCTCATCCATCTTTTTAATTTTTCCTCCTTCCCTCTCCTCACTCTCCTCGTGCTGGATGGTTTTATGTCGACTTGACACAAGCTAGAGTCATCTGAGAGATGGGAACCTCCATTGAGAAAAATGCCTCCATAAAGCCAGGCTGCAGGCAAGCCTGTAGGGCATTTTCTTAATTAGTGATTGACGTGGGAGGGTCCATTCCATTGTGGGAGGGGCCACCCCTGGGCTGGTGGTCCTGGGTTCTATAAGAAAGCAGGGTGAGTGAGGCAAGGAGAGCAAGCCGGTCAGCAGCATTCCTCCGCGGTCTCTGCATCAGCTCCTGCCTCCGGGTTCCTGCCCTGTTTTAAGTTCCTGTCTTGGCTTCCTTCAGTGATGAACAGTGATGTGCAAGTGTAAGCTGAATAAACCCTTCCCTCCCCAAGCTGCTTTGGTATTTCATCACAGTGCTAATAACCCCGACTAGGACGCTTCCCTTCCTCATTCCTACCCTCTTGGCCCTTATTCTCTTGCTGTAAATCCACGGGGCAGCAGTTACCTGTGGACAGGCAGCGCTCTCCCTACCTGCCAACAGCTGCCCTCCTGAAGAGAGAGCTGTTGGAAGGGCCCTGCCGCAGCTCCGTCCCTCCTGGCTTTTCACTGGGGAATGGCAATCTTGGGAAGGCATCCCTGGCCTCCTGGCTTTCTCTAAGGGCAGGAATAACCTTTTCAAGGCTTGTAGAACGCTGCCCTTGGGCCAGGTGACCTTTTTAGCTTGAGAACTCATCTATGTTCTGGTGGCTTGTTGGAGGCTGTAGATGCAGATGGAGGCTGCCAGCACCCATCCTGTGTTCTGCAGCAGGTGCGCTCTGAGGCTGCTGATGCCTCTGTGCGCATGTGCCAGCCGCAGAGACCCGAAGGCACCCATGCCTCTTTTGCGTCAGCCTCGATTGCACACTAGGATCATCTAGGGATCTTCAAAAAGTGCACTGCCTGGGCCTTCATCCAGAACGCTGATTTAGGGAAGAGGGCAAGGCAGAGGGTGCCCAGATGATTCCAACACACCAGCGAGCACTGCCCCCAGGTTTCCTCCTTGCTCTGGGCAGAAGCTGTGCTGGAGGCTAAGAAGGAACTGCGCACACACGGAGTCCTGGGGTGTGCTTGGTACTGGCCGTCGCTTTGCCCTACCGTCCTGTCCCCCCCCACACACATGACTTTGCTCTGACGCCTAGGGCTGCGTCCCAGCAACAGGGAAGCCCAGCTGGGTGGAGGCAGCCCTGAATGCTCCACAGTGTCCCTTGAGCAGGGCTGTACCAACCATGTCGAAGCGCCAGGCAAAGGAAGCATAGATAATGCAGATCCTGTCTTTAAAATCTTGATTTAAAAAAAAAATATTTAATTTTTTTTTCATTTTACATACCAACCACTGTTCCCCCTCCTTCCCCTTCTGTTCGCTCCCATCTACCATCATCCCACCCCTATCCACTCCTGGCAGGGGGGAAGGCCTCCCTTGGGTATCACAGGCTGGCACACCAAGTTGGGGCAGGACCAAGCCCCTCCCCGCTGCATCAAGGCTGAGTAAGGCATCTCACCATAGGGAACGGGCTCTAAAAAGCCAGTTCGTGTACCCAGGATAAGTCCCAGTCCCATTGCCAGGGGACCCACAAACAGATCAAGCCATACAACTGTCACCCACATTCAGAGGGCCTAGTGTGGTCCCATGGAGGCTCCCCAGCTGTCAGTCCAGAGTCTGTGAGATCCCACTAGCTCAGGTCAGCTGTCTCTGTGTTTTTCTCCATCATGATCTTGACACACCCCACCCCTTGCTCCTACAATCCCTCCTCCCTCTCTTCAACTGAATTCCAGGAGCTTGGCTTTAATTTTAAAATGACTTTAGATTGGGCATTATTGGGCCCACTTGTAATCCTAGTGTTCTGGATAGTGAGTTTAAGATTAGCCTGAACTACACATCGAGACCCTGTCTAATAAATAACAACAAATAATAATAACCACCTCCCAATGCACTAAACTGCAATCTTAATTGCATTGCTGGATCCCCTGGCATCCTGTCATTGTGTCGGAGGCCAGCTCCTCACTGGTGTAGCCTGCATCCCAGGGCTGACTGTAGGCAGGGCTTGTATATGGATTCTGTTGAAATTGGGAAGTTCTCCAGGAAGCTTAGTTCTTAAACTTTAAAAATAAACAAAAATATGCACACCTGGTGCACAGACATACATGAAGGCAAAACACCCATACACATAAAATTTAAAAAGTCTTCTTCAGACAGACACAAATTCTAGTTCATAAGAAGCAGAGCTCCTGGGATTGAACACGGGGATGATGACCCTTCCCCACATCCAGGGCCTTTGACACTCACTGGAGAGCCTGAGGCTCTGAGGCGACAGCTGAGACCAGTGAGGACCACACTGTGCATTTTATTGTAGGAAATGGAGATTTGGCTGTGGAAAGGAAGAAAAGAAGGAAGGGAGGGAGGGGAGAAAGAAGGGAGGAGGGAAGAAGGAAGGAAGGGAAGGAGGGAGGGAGGGAGGGAGGGAGGGAGGAAGGCAGGCAAGAAGACCTTCCTTTTGATCTCTTCTCTGGATAACATGAGGCTTGGTTTGCAGGTCCCCCTTGCCCCAGAGGAGTAGACACCCTCACATGGCTGTATACAGCATACCAATTTGATGTCACTGCTGTACGCTTGGCAAGTGATGTGTCATTGCCTTTGGGGGCAGTATGAGTTGGATTCAGAGAAGAGGATAGTCTGGAGAATAGGGCCAGAGTTGGCCCAGGTCTCAGTTGCATGGGTTCCAGCCTCGGACTCTGTCCACTGGCCTCTCTGTGAGGGCCTCACCATTGCCCCTGTGAGCCTTTCCAGGCCTAGCTCTCGGCATCAAGGATCGCCCTCAAGACAAGCAGTCTTGTGAGACCTCATGTGGATTCTACGGCCTGTCGGAATGAGCTCCTCTGTTCAGAGTGCTGTGCTCATTCTCAGCCTTCAAGTGCAGGACAGGACGCCCTTGAACAAGGCCACAGTGAACAGACAAAGAGGAAGGATCCCTCCATCTGAGCCTCTCTTCTGGCTGGAGACTCCCAGAAGGAAGGAGCATGTGAAGCCGGGGACGTGTGCACAGGTAGGCTTTTATTACTAAATCCTATAATATACAAAATGCATAATCGAATAACAGCTAAAAAAATAGTCCAAGAAATATGAAATCCATATTTTTGAAATGATAAAAATGTAACATAAACATACAAAATGCTGCATATATGTACAATATATTTATATATATAACATAATGAAAACTGTAAATAAGAAATGTGTACAACAGTAGGGTGGCAAGGGGATTTGTTCCTGTCAGCTCCATGATGCTGACTGGCTTCCGTCTTGTACTGGAAGTCAGTGAGAAAGACCGTTTCCTCTCCAGTGTCCTTAAAAAGGTATTTGTTCTGAAAGTCAAGAGTTTTCAAGTTAATTAGCCAAAGAGTGAGAATTCTTTGGTCTGAAGTGGCAGAAGGATACAGAGAGAGGGTCAGAACCCATCAAAGTGGCCGGCGTAACCCTGCAGAGAGGCTGCTGTGACCCCTCTAAGGCCTCTGCGAGGGGACTTAGAAGAGAAGGCAGGCAGTTGCGTTGACCCAGACTCCTGGTCTCTGGTGGATGGGAACTTGCAGGAAGCTCTGGAGTGAGTTCAAGTCTGGATGGGACATTTAGATCCTGGGACCTCCATCGTCCCTCCCTGGCCCTGACATCACTGAGTCTGTGGCTTGAGAGACCTCTACCTGAGAAAGGCAT